GTGATCTGTAAAGTTCCTATCTGCGCCAAGACAAAAGATGTGAAAAGGGTGATTCGTGGTCTGAATGTCTCAAGAAGGTTCTTGACGTAATACCGTTCCAAGGCCAACGACTCTCCCCAAGGACAAGAAGTTCGGGAATACCGGCGTGTAATTGATGAAATCCAGATTGACCCCAAGACGTGACAATGGTCCAAGGTGGGAGGGTATGTGTGGATTGAGAGGGTTATATGTAAGTAGGTTGGTCGTCGAGAGGGATGGGGAAGGTTAGAGAATTGTAAGAAGTTGTGCGATTAAATAGAAACGGTGCGGCACAAATCAATTTTTGGTTTAAATGGTGATTAGGAAAGGACGTCAGGTACGCCGCTTCTGTTCTGGTACAGGTTTACAGTACGTTGTTTACTTATGTAGAAGGAGCTGATTTCACTGTTCAGAAAGGGAATAGTTGGCTAAAGAGGTGTATGTAATGCACCTACCAACTTGGGTACTTACACTGTCTGTTATACCGCCGTGCAGGTATCATTGGACGATTAGATCGTTAGCCGTAAAATAGCAGCATTCGCTTGTTTGCACCGTGATCTACTGCGTTGATAACCTGAGCTGATTAATAAGTAAATAGGCATGTACTTGGTCGTGATCAGACGTAACTTCCACATTACCAAAAGAGTTATCAACCATTGTTCGTACTGGTGGAAATTACCTCTCTGATTAGACGAGCATACCCTGGAAAAATGGCCAATAACCGTGTGCCTAAGCGAATCAGTCCGAAGTATTTCTTTTCCCTCTCTACTTACACGGTTCGAGTAACCATGACGCGGTCAGTGTTTGCATCAAGTACTAGACGCGTACGATATCTCTTTATCTCTTCTATCAGTGTTATTTGCTCTTCGGACACAAACCTATGCTTCTAGATAACCCAAAGCACCATACTGCACCCCCCCTTAATCGTTCCTTGCCAAAACTTTTTTCGCTCCCTACGTCCTCAAGGTGGAATGCCTAGGAGATGCTTGCTAATACATACACTTACTTTAGAAGGTATAGTAATAGTTAAGATGACTACTACAATGATGGGACATCGCACACCTGATAACCGGGAATTAGGTAGTAAATGCCCATTTGTGGATTTCAGTTTCCGAGAATCCAAACCATCTTCATCTCGAAATAAATACAAAATAACCAGCTAATGCTGTAACATTGCCTGATCATTAGTATCTCGACCGTAGCCAACACATTTTACCCGTGGCAATTATCAGTATGAATTAAGATAGCAGCACCATCTCATAACCGAAGAACTACTAATTGTTAGAAAACTGCATGTGGTCTGATTTTTATTGAACGGTACTCATAGTTACCTGTCAATATCAAATACATCATGCAATATCCCTCGATTCACAATATTTCAAGAGCGTAGCTTGAAAGTAAGGAGGTAAGTATATACGGATTAAATTCGAGAGGGTTTATGAACAGTTGGTTTTTTTACAAACGGCATAGAAATAGAAATTCTCACTGACGAAAATGTCCAGGTGAGTAAATACGTCTAGTTAAGCTGAAGTAAAACATATGATACATCATGAGACTGGTCCGAAATGGACATGAAGATTTGAGGTGAAGTTGAAGCAAAGAGGTAGGTAATGATACCTAAAGGTCCAAGGCAGGAGGTATGAAGTTATGCGCCACAACTGCGGAGCCACATTAATTGCAGGAAGTGGGTTTAACTTGAAACATCAAGCTTCCAGGAACCTGCGGATTAGAACATGGGGCTATGGGGTTAGTGGCGGTGGGGCTGAATAGATGAGGCTTATCACATGCAGCTACCGTCTCATCTCTAGGCGTCACCTGTAGCAGTTCCGCATAACCTTACTGTGAATATCGAAATACGTAACCTACCTGCATATACATAATCGCCTTATATCCGAGAACCGGTCCAATCCCCTAGAGCATCGAAACTATAGCTGACAATGACGACTTGTCCTTGTCCGACAAACTCTCTCTCCCGCTGAACAACTCCTGACCCGTACAGCTCTCCTAGTCGCATTGTGATGCGACCGGATAATCTTTCATTGCAACGATGCCGCGAAGGGTACAAAACTACGACGATTACGGCTCCGCCGTTCACCAGATTATCCTATCTACCTCAGACGCCGAATTCCTCGATCAATTAATACCTGTCCTGAAAGATGCGACAGCAACGAACCGAGCGGCTACCCTCACGCAAAACCTATCGCAATATGCCGAAGACCGGGAGTCTGAAATCGAGAGGATAGGATTGACCAAGCATGAGGAGTTCCTAGGTTCCGTCAACCATCTCCAAAATGTCCGCGAGCGGACTGTTGCCTTGACGGCCGACATCCTCGAGTTGAATCAGTCTATTCAAGCCAGTACGGAGAAGTTAGCCGAGCAGAAACAGGCATTGGTGAATACGCGAGCTGTTAGGGAAAACATTTCGGATGTATCCGACGCCCTGAAGGAATCTCTGAAGATCCTGCATGCTGTCAACAACGCCCACGACCTGATCCGCAAAAAGGGGTATTACGCCGCGCTTAAGTCCCTCGAGGACCTCCAGAACGAGTTTCTTATTCCGATAATACAAAATAACTATGCCACCCAGCACCAACTTGCCAACCTAATACAGAAATCCATACCCGCATCTCAGAAGACTATCTCCGAGGCGGTCATGACAGATCTCAACACTTGGCTATTCCGAATTAGGGAGACGTCGCAGTTCCTTGGAGAGGTGGCGTTCTATCATACTGAGATGCGCCGTACGCGACAGCGGGAAAGGGCGGAGAAAGATGAGTTTCTCAACAATTTTAAGCTAAATTCTGCCATCGAGCTGGTTTTCGATGAGAGCGAAGAGTTTGACGTGCTTGATAATGAGGAGCTGAAGGTTGATTTTACTCCCCTTTTTGAAGCTCTGCATATCCACGAGGCATTAGGACAGAGTGATAAGTTCCGATCAGAATACGCTGCTACCAGAAGACGGCAAAAAGAGTTACTCCTGCCGAGCTCTGTAAGCTTAACCACTGATGATGAATCGTCGCTGAGCAGTTTGCTGGAGGGCATTGCTGGATTTGCTATCATCGAAAAAGCGACAATGCGGCAGGTCCCGCAGTTACGCACAGCTATTGACGTGAGATAAATCAAATGCTTGCTAGCTAATGGCGCTGACATTTCATTTCTAGGTCGAGGAATTGTGGGATTCGATGTGTGCTACAGCAATATCCCTAACATCCAAGGCACTAAGTGATATAATCGATGCCCAAGTGCTCCTCAATACCAAGGGGCGAATTGATCTCTTTATCCTCACAATGGAGGTTAGTAGAGTAATGGCCATACCCGGATGTCATTTTGACCTCTTTTTTTTTAGGGATGGGGATACTCAGTTTCAAGACTTGATGAATTCCTGGTCGATCTCTTCGATAGATACGCCGAATTGCTGAAGAAAAGGTTCAGCGAGGACTTTCAAGAGGTTTGTGGTCGTCCTTTGTGAGGGAAAAAGGGTTACTTACTGACTATTTTAGAAGATTGTATCGACTGATGATTACATGCCAATGGCTATCAACACCAGAGAAGAATACGAGAAAGTGGCCAATGTCAGCTGGTTTACCCCGGAGAAACCCCTTGAGGAGCTCACGTAAGTCGCTGGCATGTATCCTATTCGACGACGATCTAACCATCACAGGTTTCCATGTGTTCTACCCTTTTCTCAAATGTATCCGCTGTGTTGTATTGACATTAGGAATTTCCTCAACCAGTTCTATTTCTTCTCAGATGACCATTTCCAACATCCGAACAAGATTGACGATACATTGCGCAAGTCTCTCGACGAGCTTCTCACGGAGAAGGTATGCAAATCTCTGGTAGAGAGGCTTAGCTCGCAATATCTAGGTCAGATAGTGCAGATCTTGATCAATCTAGAGCATTTCGAGATCGCCTGTCAAGAGCTGGAACAGCTTCTAATCAGAGCCCGGTCTTCGGGGTCCGCTGGCGGCCCTTTAACCTTGACGGCCACGGAGCAGTTCAGAGAAAACAAGAAGACGGCTGAAAAGCGCATCTTCGAGCTCGTGAACTCCAAGATCGACGACTTGGTCGAAACCGCCGAGTATGACTGGATCGCGTACAACAAGCCTACGGAGCCAAGCAATTACATGCAGACCTTGACTAGATACCTGTCTAATATCATGAACTCGACACTGTTAGGTTTGCCTAGGGAAATCAAGGAGCTCATCTACTTTGACGCGCTCAGTCATGCGGCGAACAAGATTCTCGTTAGTAATTTACCGTTTAATCTAATTCACTTAGGTCGTAGTATTAACAAGACACCACCACAGGCTCTCCCCCTCTCCCAAGACGTGAAGAAGATCAATCCGAACGGCGTTGCGGCGCTATCGATGGACGTCCAGCATCTAACTACCTTTGTCGACGGCCTCGAAAACGGCTTCATGCTGCGGTCTAACTTGGACGAGCTCGAGCAGACGATCCAGCTCCTCCAGTCCGACAATACGGACGAGTACTTCGACATCTTGACACGAAACAAGAAGTACGGCCGTGTCGATGCCATGAACGGCCCGGCATTATTGGAAAAGTGAGTATTGGACTATTTAATGTTGAAACACGCGTGGCTTGAAAACGGTACAACTAACATGCAAACAGGCTTACTCAGCAGATTTCGAGTCCGGGCCAGACGGCTCAGCGGTTCGCCAATTTCTCGTCGAACCTGTCGTCGCGTTTCGGTACGAAATAAAAGAGTCAAACAGACGAGTATATCAACATCAACATATTTCACATCACGGGCGCGTGTATTCATTAGATAAGATAGATACCTGAGCATGTAAAATGAATTGTATTTCATCGCACTGAAAACCGCAACAATGGCGGCTAGAAAACCCGATGACCTATAAACCCCTACGCCGTACTCTCAAAATAAGAACATGTATCTGTCGCCTAGTAGTAGTGGTAGTATTCACGGAAATCGTTTCTGTAATTTGTATGATACTGTCACCTGGTCCTATTCCCTTCTCTTTCTCCTAAGTAGTAATAATTTGGATATATTTCTCGAGATCCCGCGTTTCGAAATTCACCATCCTAGGGCTCATTGTAAACTTGGTTAATCGTCACCTGATTATACATCACTTGGAGTGCCCTGCTATCCTCCTATGGCTGCTGGGGCATGCCTGGGTAGCCGTACATACCCTCCATGTCCCCGTACATGGCTTGGGGTGGTTGTTGGCTATAGGGACCGCCGGGGCCGGCTTGGACTTGGTTGTACATGGGTGGGCCGCGGTATTCTTGATCAGAGCCCATGGCATGGCTGCCCATGCCGTAGTCGCCTGGTGCCATGTGGTTGGCGGCTCCAGGCATCCCGTGCGAGCCCGGCATTTGATTACCAGCTGCTGCGGGCGGCACACCACCTTGAGACTGCTGCGCTTGGGCGGGGTTAGCGCGCTTAGCGTGACTCGCCTCTTCGCGCGGAACGATGTCGATTAAGAAGTCGAACATGTCGCTCTTAGCGAGAGCAGAGGCGATATCGGATCGCTGCAATGTTCGTCTCTTATTTTCTTCGGCATGAATCCACGCCCGCATCGTTAGCTCGGTGATGAATATATCGCACCCCTTCGCGAATAGGATGGGGGCTTCGGCAGAGATCATCTTGACCTCGGGATCAGCCTTCATGACCTTCTTAATTCGAGCGAGGGGTAATTGATGGAGCTTGTAGTCATGTTGGTCTGACTCGAGGTGGTTGATGGTATTTTGCCAGTAGGTTGTGAGAATATCCTTGTATTGGCCGTGTAGACCCTGGTGAACATTGGCCCAAGGTCCCGTGTAGAGCTCGGCGGGTGCGAAGCCAGAATTTGCGAGCTAGATTGGCTATGTTAGCAAAGTGATAATACGGGAAAGAAGGGATCGATCGATAGTAGAAATGCAGGAAGAGGGGAAGAATCCGGTAACAAGAGACGAGAAGCGAGAGTCAAGATGGAAGATGAGACGGGAGAGGGGAAGAATGGTGGGACTTACTGCTGCACTGGCACCTAGAAGGAGAGATGATTAGCGACGTCGCACGAATAAAGGCAACTCGCAATAGACGAGTGCAATCAAGAGGTACTTACCATAGTGACCTCCATGGGCTATATCATATACACCGGCCCCTCCACCGCCTCCCCTCGACGACTGAGGGTGATTTGACGAAGACTGATCCATGGTATTTTGTTTGAGGAAATTGCGCAATTGGTCTTACAACCTCGAGTGCGCAGGTAGAAATACGTCGAGTATTTCAAACGGCGCGCGAAATAAACACAAGACTTGACCGGAGCTGACAGGGCAAACGAGAGTCTTGCGCGATGGTATTGCACGCACGCGCACGACCGTAAAGGCAGTAGTGAATTTTATCGATTGGTCCTTTTTCGCTTGCCGAGAACGTTCGTAAGTATCACCGTGCGTAGATAGGCTCCCGACGGCGGAGAAAAAAAATTAGAGGGCTTGTTTGTGTTGTTTACACAGAGCCCCAGATTGAAGCTTTGGTGCGCGTGGTGATGTAACAAATAGGCTTTTTGGTACAGTAGGTATTTCCAAGTTAGACCCTTGGATTGGAAAGATTGATTGGCCCGACGGGAGGTTGGGGGTCGGGAGGTGACTAGGAGAGTGACTAGGTTCGAGGAGACGAGATGATTGATTGGGCGATCGTTTGGCTTTAGGAAAGCGGAAAGCTGTTTGTGCGATTTTGGTCGAGGAACGGCTTTTTTTTTTTCGCCCCTTTGTCAGCTACTTAGATTATTATTCGTTCCCGTTTGTTTCTTTTTTACCCAGAAGTTTGCTCACCTTGCGGCTCGCTCCGAGATGCCCACTATTTTTGCTTGAGCTTGAGCTTGAGCTTGATTCTGATTCCTTGACTTGACCTTGAACTCGAACTCGAACTCGGACTCGAATTTATTAAGGTATCCGCCTGTCTAGCCAGGTTTTTATCTACTTCTTCCCGGAGTTTCTCTTGGATAAACCGGTGTTGGATCAAATGAAACGAATTTAGAAGTAATAAATAAATAAAAAGTTTGAACTTGGATGGAATGTTTATGATAACTGTAAACTTTTATGAATCGTGTGTCATTCACGTATGTGTTATGTGTAGGTAGGTTAGTACGGTATGTATTAGAATGATCTGATTCACAACCCAAAGCTAATAAATTAGCTCTATGTATGCGTTGGTCGGGATTGGGCAATGACGTGAATGGATTTTCTAGAAGTGCTTAGATCTTCGATGCGCTTATACGTTGTAGGGCTGGCTGCGAAAACTGGGCAGCCTCGATAGGAATCAATGCGCTGGCACTATGGTTGGGCATCAGCGACCGCCGACTTCAGAAGGCACGACTCTCTCTATCAGCTATTGAGGTACTGTACGTACATCGTATTAAAGGTTGGGGGTGGCTGCAAGGATTAACTAGAAGGTGGTGTGCTGCCGGAAGGCTCTGACGGGTAACTCTGTTGTCTTATCGATAGGCTATGCTAGGTAGGTACCGCCTTGTCAGCTTGTAATCCTTCGGCCAACCAACTAACGCCGCAAAGTCCGGAGTACACAGTTATATGATTAGGTAATATGGTAGGTACGTACCTCCATCTTAGGTACAGGACGTAGCCACATAAGAGGCTAACCAGCCACATAAGCCTAGCCACACTGCACTAAGACAATTTTTATTATCTTTTCAATGGAGCCCGAACTTTTTTTTCTTCCATCTTTTCAAGCTTTGAGGACTGACCATCCTGTAAACGAACTGTGCTGTTGCCCACCATGGCAGAAACAGCAACCGCGGAATGTCTCTCAGATGATCAAATCGAGCAGCTTCTTAGAGAAGCTGAGGAAAGATTGAAAGCAAAACATCAAGGACAAGATGAGAAAGCTGTTGCCGCACCCAACAAATCGGACGTCGCAAAGGCCTCCAAACCAGATCCCTCAGCGCCGAAGGTAGCCTCTCTAGTCTCTTCCAAGGACAAATCAATGTCTGAAGGGTTGTCGGTAAGAGTACCCGAGGTTCGGCGGCCAAAACAAGAAATGGTATGTTGCAGCTCGATTTCCTATGATTTCTATACGTCGCTATCGGCACAACCCTTTCATGATGAAATTTATATCCCAATTTAATTGAAGTAGTGATTGTTCCCGTTATGGGTAACGTTACTGCGCCAGAATGATAGATCCATATCATAGTTACTCTGACTCTTTATCTCGCTTCTTATTTCGCTTCAGCTTGTGTCAAAGCTCTTTGCTGACTAGATTCTCAGGCTGTCAAGGCGGATGCTGGACCCTCGTGGTTTAATCTCCCCCGGACTGATCTTACTCCCCAACTCAAAAAGGATCTACAATTACTACGCATGCGCGATGTCCTAGACTCTAAACGATTTTACCGCAAGGATAGTTCTAGAGCTTTAGTACCGCAGTTCTCTTCAGTCGGGACTATAGTTGAGGGCCCGACCGACTTCTTCAACGCTAGGTTAACCAAGAAGGAGAGAAAGCGTACTCTTCTCGAGGAAGTCCTGGAGACCGAAGACGCCACTCGGAAATTCAAGAGCAAATATGGCCAGATACAAGACGTAAAGACGAGTGGTAAGAAGGGCCACTACAAGAAGATGATGGAAAAGCGATATGGTCGTAAGGGCCGAGGGTGAATACTGGAAACGAGGGATCAATGCCCTTGCTGTGCGCAAAGTGCTACGCATCCTAGATGCCCTTAAACATGTTCTAGTGTTATGGAAACGCAATAAGCGTCCATCATCAGCATTCTGGATCATGTTAATTCCAGCAGCTGATGCGGCTTAAAAGAAGCGTACAAGTAAGTTAAAACCTTACAATTGTGCTATAACCCGTTTCTAACAATATTATAGTAACCGGTAAGAATGTAGAGACATTTTCGCGAAATTAATCGCTTGTGCTACGTCTTGACCTAATGGTAGAACCATGTTACTTCAAATTAGGTTGACGTACTTAGGTATACTAGATGGTCTGAAGATTGGGTCCTTTGAAATAAAAGCAACCAACCTGAAGATTCCGTCGAGAGGATAAGAGACCTTAGATAGTACTTGAGTGAGTTAGACAAATCAGAATCGATAAAACATCATACAATACTTTAGGTATTATATTAGTTTGTATGTCTATCAGATGATTAAGAGTCTCTTTGGAATCATGATTGCTTTTGCCATCTTGTTTATCTCTGTGCTTGCGTGTTGTCAGCATGCTTGATGTCTCTGAACAGGTTCTAAAAAAAAAAAAAGTTGTAATTCTGTCTAGCATGAGTTGTTTTAACTCACTTCGTATAAATCAACAAATTGATTCTCATATAACTATGACTGTTTTGAAAGACTAATAGGATAGTTCCTTAGGAGAAGTCAAATTTAAAAGGTGAAGACCGCGCATGTGAATGTTGAATGCTTGGGCGCAGGAATTACGTAGGTAGGTACCTGGTAACCCGAACTTTATCCGGTGTTATTTCCCATTAAAGCTCCAGGTACCAACCTTAGTTTCCCATCACCCACTTACTGCCTCTCATGCTCTACACTTTTATAAATTCATATAGAACGCATTTCAACTATTTAGCCTTAGTTGCTAAGATGATGAAGTGAAATAATCATGGAGGCGATGCATCCGACCGCTGGGTGGGAGAAAGTGGGAGATAAGTTTTACCGCAAGACCCAGCTGTATACCGCGATATTCGACCAGGATCTTGACCTGGACAATTATATCGTTGCTGGTGCTCCATATGGCGGCGCTGTAGGTAAGCCACGTTTTATATCATTACATTTTACATTTTTAATACGATCCCAACTAAGACTTCGGAGGCCCCTGACTTGCACTTGTAATCTAACATGAGAGTTGGTTACTTCAATTGCATCGTCCTTCAGAGTTGAGGTGTATGGGGGGATAGCTTATACACCGCATATAGCTCTCACGAAGCATTAGACCTCACTAACTTCGGATAGCAATATGTCGAGATGATACTAAAATCGTATCTTACCAGCCATCCAAGTCATCAAAGCCCAGTATTGACATATATAGTTGTGCTGGTAAGCTGTTGAAAAGCATTTCTTGGGATAAGGGTTCCATCAAAGGCCTTGGTTGGTCTGAAGACGAGAAGCTTCTAGTCGTGAGCTACGATGGGACCGTGAGATGTTACTATAACCTGCAAGGAGATTTTACACAATTCTCCCTCGGGCGTGAAGCCGAAGATTTCGGTGTTCGCTCATGCCGATTTTACGATCATGGTATGGTTGCCTTACTTACTAATAATATACTCATCTCTGTGTCCTCATACGATGAACCACGGCCAAAAGCTCTCGCATCGCCACCAGAAGGAGAAGTTTACGCCTGGGCCCTCATCTCCCCAAGCTTCACACTGTCTAGATCGGTAGAGGTGCTCTTAAGCATCGGCAAGACGGTCTATGTTGTGGATAAAACCGATTGTGAAGATCGTTTCCTCGACATTGGCCCGTTTTCACACATTGGCGTGTCTCCGAATGGGAAGTTTGCAGCGCTCTATGCTACAGACGGGAAAGCTCACGTTATCACGGCTGACTTCCAGAGCCGTCTAAGCGAACATAATTCCGGGTCTCAGCTTACACCTAAATATTTAGAGTGGTGTGGGAATGACGCTGTTGTCATCGCATGGGAAGATGAGGTGAACGTTGTGGGACCCAACAATGCCGTGGCAAGCTACGTCTATGAAGGCCGCGTCCACGTAATACCGGGTAAGTGGTAAATAATCATCTTCTCCTACGGGTTGCTAATTTACGATAGATCATGATGGCGTACGGTTAATTACCAATGATGTCTGCGATTTCCTCCAAAAAGTACCAGATGTTACGGATGAAGTATTCCGCCTTGGTAGCGGGTCGCCTGCTTCCGTCTTACTTGATGCTGTAGAGCAGCTCGAGAATCAGTCGCCAAAAGCCGACGATAACATTCAGCTTATAAGACCAAATCTTGTTGAAGCAGTTGATACGTGCGTTGCTGCTGCTGGACACGAATTCAATATCCATTGGCAGAAACAACTATTGAAAGCTGCCTCGTTCGGCAAGTCGGTACTAGATATATACAATAGTGACGACTTCGTTGACATGTGCGAGACATTACGAGTGATTAATGCCGTACGATATTACGAAGTCGGCTTACCCCTATCCTTCGAACAATATCAACGCCTTACGCCCGAAGGACTAATCCAGAGGCTCATAAACCGCCACGAATATCTACTTGCTCTTCGAATTGCCGGGTACTTGCGCTTGCCCACGGACCGCATATTTGTCCACTGGGCTTCCGCAAAAGTCCGAATCGGTACAGAAGATGAAGAAACCATCTGCCGAATGGTGGTAGAAAAGCTATCAGGCAAGCCGGGCATTTCCTTTGAGGCTATCGCCCGCGCCGCTTACGACGAGGGCCGCGGCCGATTAGCTACAGAGCTTCTGAATCATGAGCCTCGCGCGGGGCGACAGGTCCCGCTCCTCCTGAGCATGGAGGAAGACGAAATCGCGCTTGACAAAGCGATCGAGAGCGGCGATTCTGACTTGATTCTCTTTGTACTGCTCCAGCTGAAGAAAAAGCTCCCACTGGCGTCCTTCTTCCGCGTGATCAACGCAAGACCGACTGCCACTGCGCTCGTTGAGTCGTCAGCAGCGCTAGAGGATGACAATGCGCTCCTTAAAGATCTTTATTATCAAGACGATCGCCGAGTAGATGGCGCAGGTGTGTTCGTCCGTGAAGCCTTGCGACAGCCTGACTCACGTACAGCAAGCGACAAGCTCGCCCTCGCCGCGAAGTTGCTATCTGATTCGAAGGAGAACCATTTCGAGTTGGTAGCTTTAAAGGAGGCAGCTCAGCTTTTGCGCATGCAGGCGGCTTTGGATCGGGACCTAACTGACACGTTTACCGGGTTAAGCGTCAACGAGACTCTATTCAAGCTGATTCACTTGGGGTACCATAATAAGGCCAAGAAGATCCAAAGCGAATTCAAGGTCCCAGAGAGGGTGGCTTGGTGGATCCGGTGAGTTGATAAGACATGTTTATGTATTTCTATACGAAAATAGTATCTAACACGACCCCCATCGTAGGCTTCGAGCACTCGTCGCGAAACGGGACTGGAACGAAATCGAAGATATTGCTAAGAGCAGAAAGAGCCCGATTGGTTGGGAGGTAAGCTCGTTCTCCCCTTAATTCCTTACCTCTCCCTCTCCAAGTATTTCCATACTAACAGACCATCGTTTCCAGCCGTTCTTCAACCAGATCCTGCAAGCGGGCAACGCCCACCTCGCAGCCTCCTTCATCCCCAAGTGCACGAATCTGGAAGCTGGGGCCGCCATCACCATGTACGAGAAGTGCGGCCTGCGCGTTAAGGCCGCGGAGGAAGCCGTCAAGGCCAAAGATGCCGATGCGTGGGCTCGCCTGTTGGAAGCTGCCGGTAGAGATACGGCGGACGGGAGAGCTATCGAGAAGTTGGGGGCACAGGTGTTCAAGAAGTAAGCTTGGTTGATAGATGGACTTGTCGTTAGTAAAGGCCGGGCAGAGAATGTGGCAGTTATATCCCCCCTAATTATGTTAATACAAGCGTCGTTGATAATTAAACGTACCTAGGTAAATAATATTTTCATAATGTGGTAAGTATAGGAGTGGCTATATGTACGAGCACAGTCTATTAGAAAATCATTTTCGCATTCATTATCCCGACGTCTATGTGAACCATCATCTTCTTCTCCTATCTGGCTACCTACTCGGGAGACCAGGGACGAAAAGGCAACGAGACTCAGCCTTGTAAGGCAAGACCACCCAGGGACAGATCCTTGGACCAGCGTAAGCATAAGCCCCCTTTCGTCCAACAGACGGCGAAAATAATACAAGGAAAGAGAAGAAAAAAAAAAAAAGGACACAAATACAGAAGAGAGAAATAAGGAAGTGCCCGACCCCGGCCCACAAACTCCTAACTGGACTTTTGTTTAGCATCCGGGAAAAAAAAACGAACAGCAGGTTTCTCATGGCACGTCATGGCATTAAACATGGCGCAGCATAACACACACAACAACTTCCCTTTCCTTGATACCTGCTTCATTTTGCTTTACCACCTCCCTCCCTCATTCTCGCCATTCTGCTTGCTCAACGAGCCCCCTTTTCCACCCTGGTCCCGACCCTGATCGACGAATGAAACGCATGCACATCGCAGACACCAGATAGATACCATGACCACATGAAAAAGAATCCCAATGCCATGCCTTTCCTTTCTATGCGGCCATAGACCGTCCTCGACAGGGACGAATTCCTGTAAATAATGACCCACAAACACGGGAAAACGACGAAGATGGAGATGCGCGACGCAATAACAACCCAATACTTGTCTCTAGATGCGCCGGCAAAGGCATACATGCAGCAGCTGTACAGTTTGCTGTTCAGTCCTACCAACGATACCCCTTGTAGGAGGGGGTATTGGTATATACGGTGGGGCAGGTGGCAGACGCAGCAAGCAGATCAACCTCATAACTCGTACGTACGGAGTAGTGTAGTCGTCACAATAAGGAATAAAAAGGGGGGCAGGTAACGGAAAGAAAAAGGATCACAAGTTTTCTTCGTATTGCAAGTCCATGTATTATGGTGTGCCAATGAACTCCCCCCCTCCCACGAGCCTGAGCATGGAAGATCTGAATTTTTGTACAGTGCTAGCTTCGATTAAACACGTCGAGCATTACGGCCCTTTGCTTTTGGTACGGTCGTCCAGCCATCGGGGTCCGCAGCCGGGGCGGCTTCGACTTCTGGAGTAGGTGACGAGGGTTGAGTAGGCTGTTGAGGAGAGCGAGGCTCAGAATGGCCATTTGCTCGACCACCTCTACCCTCATAGTTGCCTCGAGGTCCTCGTGGCGCACCACCACCGCGTCCTCGAGCATCGCCACGACCTCGTGAGGCGTTGACATACCCACCACGGCCTTGGCGCTGCTCTCCCGATGATGATGTTCTCCAGTTACCGCTCTCGGTTGCTCGGGACTTCGCGTTCTGGGCGCTGTCCCTGGATTTAACTGGTGCCTTCTGCTCTGCAGCTTCACCATCCCCGGCATTTCCACCCTTCGGTTCCTCCTTCGTCACAGTTGCGACCTCGGCCTTCTCCTCGACCGGTTCAGCCTTCGCTTTCTCCGCTTTCTCCGCTTCGGCAGCGGCTTTCTCTGCAGCTTCCTTTGCCGCAGCCTCCTTGGCAAGACGTCGCTCTTCCTTTGCCTTCTCATCCGCCTCTTTCTTTTCCTTCAGCTGTTGCTCTCGCTTCTCTGCAATCTCGCGCTCTTTTGCCGCTGTATCAATAGGACGAGCGGCACCGAAGGGGCTCGCTTTGGATTCGCCAGTCGCAGATGGCAGTCCAGGAGATATCACATCTGGAGATTCGGATACGGTTCGCTTCTGAAGGTTGAGTCGGGGACGGCCTGCGGGAGCTGGGGCAGCAGCCGAACCAGCGACTGATCCACCAGCAGGCGACGAAGGCGCCTCGGATCCATCACGAGAGCGTTCAGGGGACTTCACCAAAGAGTCGGGCCTCATGTTGCTGCGCCACTGATTGTCGCGCTCCGCTGCCGTTGGAGTGCGCTCCTGGCGCTCCGGGCGCTCGGGTCTATCTCTGAATTCTCTAGGGGGTCGAGAACCCTCCTGGCGACCTTCACCCCAGGTAGCTGGTGATGCCCTGCGATCCTTTCGGAAGGTATCACCTTTGCTAGCATCGTTAGTTCGGGGACGGCTACTATCTCGCGATCCCTCAGGACGTTCAGTCTGAGGAAGTGGTGATAGGGGGCCCTTGCGCTCCCAGTTACCGAAATCGCGAACCTTGCCGTCATCAGAAGGTGCGTCTCGGAAAGCGGGTGCTCGGCGTTCCCCAAATTCGGCAGGACGTCGATCGTTACTACGAGAGGGGAGGTCCGCCAGGGGGCCTTTTCGCTCCCAGCTGCTAAGATCACGAGCGGACTCGCCGCCGGCACCACGATTATCTCGATCCTTGGCTGAAGAATTATTAGCAGTTATTCACTTAACACTATTGGTACTTGGACTTACGAGGATCGGCAATCTTAATCTTGATGGTACGGCCTTGGAAGCTGGTTCCATCAAGGGTTAAGGCCTTCTTCAGGCCCTCAACGTTTGCAAACTCTGCATAGGCAAAACCTTTTGGGCGTTGTTCGATTCGATCTTCGATGATTCGAACACTAGTGATTTCGCAGTCCGCAAAGAAATCGGTAACAGACTCGTTTGTGGCTTCGTAGGATAGATTTCCCAGATGAGCGGTGTAAGGGGGCTTAGTTGGGAGCTGGGCTGGACCCTGGGTTGCGTAGGAATCACGAGAGTAGCCTTGAGGAGTACAAGTTAACGGTTGGTTAATCAATAACGGTTAATCAACTCAGCTTACCTCGATCATTGCCCGAGCCTCCGTAACTGGAATAGCCAGTTCGTCGTTCGGTGGAGGGCAAAGGCTGAGAGCCTGGGGGATAAGAGGTTAGCAAAATCAAGTCCATGTATAAAATCAAACCCCCGTTAGGAATTATGACGTACCGAATGAATCCTCAACCTCATCAGCCCATGATCCGCCATATTCTATTTTATGTTAGCAAAGTCGCCCGTTCTCCTCGTTTCTCTATTTTAATTATGGGGATGTCTGGGTTGTCTGTTTATGGAATAATAGCATTGTGGACGGTGGGAAGATGGGACGATGGGAGGAAAAGGAGACGGGAAGGGGGAGGGCGAACTGACTCTCCTCCTGCAGAAAGGCCCCAAGGCTCATCTTCTGCTGCTGTTCCTTCTTCTTAGGCGCTATAGGACATCAATTGTCAGCATATGATCTCTTAGGGCAAAGTGAGGCTAATCGGCGACAACATACCCATGATTGCGGTGTTTTAGCCACGCGCAACGCTTGTCGAGGTCGTCGCGCGCAGGTGGGAGATGAATGGCCGAAGAAACTAGGCTTAGTTCTTCGGTTTAGTTGCTCAGTGATGAGAGAATGCGGGTTGGACGGTAAGGCAGCAGTGATTTTCACAGATGCCAGACCGACAATAGGATTGAGAGGATACAAGTGGTAATCGAAAGTTTGCAGTGCAGGATGGGCAAGGAGAACCGAAAAGTTTCCTTGACCAGAAAGAAAAAAAATGGATGCTGTGAAAAAAAAGGCCGGGAGGGTTAGCTTAATTTTTTTCGCCAACGTATGAGAGATGGGGAGAATTAAGCCTACCTTGGTACAAGTTGATCAAGTACCAGCAATTTTTCAATTCGTGATGGCGGGGTTCAGCTTTTAATAACGATAAACTTCACACATTTATTGTGCGTTTTTATGTGTGTTGTATTGTTGTACCTTAGGAGGGGAAAGATTCAATCTTAGGTAGGTACATTAGGTACATAGTTACATCTTACCTAAGGTGCCTAGGTAGTTACATAACAGGTAGGTACCTACTAAATGTAAAGTTTTGAGTTTTGGTAAGTGGTCCGATAGCAGTTAAGTTAAGCCTCAAGGCGCATAACTTAATGCAAAGTACTGATATAAATACCTAACTACTAAACTTCCCTAAGGTTAAGTATTTCTTTTGCTGAGCACTTGTGCAAGTTATTCTACATACATATAATTATGGCAAGACCTGGGGGTTTCGAGGGGCTCACCGATTCCCCTCCTAACTGCATGTGCTAAATGTGCTAAATGGAATTATTATCAAGATGCGGACTGGACATGCTCGCGAGTGCCGCAGCTTTCTCTTGTCTTTCATTGGCCAGCTTTTACTGGGCCATGGCTCAGGTACCTAATCTCCAAGTACCTAGCCTACCTATTGATAGGTCTAGGTAGCACTTAACGAGGTCGGCGGATTTGAGCGCAGGGATTTATTGCCGCCGATGGCTTCGATGGCTGGATAGGTAGAATTCATATTTTTGAATTCGATTACAATACGAGAAGTCTCAGCTCAGAAAACTACCAATCAAACATCATGATTGATTAATTGATTGATTGCATACCAAATATTGAATAATAGGTATGGAATTTTAGATATTTATGCTTTAGATACGAATACTTTCACTATTAACAGCAACATTCAACAATATCAGTACTATCACGTCTGTTAGTACAATTATTAGTTTTTTTAGACTCGACCAACTGATATTATCTTAGGAGGTAGTCTTAGAGATTAGAGAAGCGCCTCTAGTGCTAACCTTTCTCTACTCTTTCGATAGTCATATCTACCTACAAACATGGTTTCCTCATCACAGCAACCGACGCCCCAGAGGCCCTCAGTCTCAAATCCTAATACCAATCATAACTCTGAGGCTATTAGTCCATATGATAGAGAGATGCCATCTACAAATGAGCTTAAGGAAATCGCAAGCAAGTCGTTGCAGACCGGAGTTATGGCCGGTAAAGTCATACCTTAGCCAGCGGATTAATAGTATAGACATACTAACTTAACTTCGTCCAGGCGGCGCTGGCTTGGTGATTGGGGCTGGGGCTGGTATTGTCCGGTCAGCGCCACCGGCATTGTTTGCATTAGTTGCTGGTCTCCAATGGTTTGCTCTTGGGTCTACTTACACAGGTGAGAATTACCGTCCTTTAACCACATGTTTCTAGCCGCTAATTAATATACAGCTTCAAGAGAACTCCTTTGGCATGCCTGGGGTGGTAAAGAAAACCTCACCACATCAGACCTAGTGAAGTCAAGCGGTATAGCTGGCGGCGTGGCTGGGATGGTCGGCGGCATGTTCCGTAAGTCATTCCGATGTCTGTACGTACTATATTCTGAACCTATGCTAATTGCTATGTAGGGGGCCCTAAGAATATTATACCTGGAATTATAGTTTTTGGCACTGCTGGAACTGCTGGTGCGTACCTAGCTCAGGTCCTCAAGAGCCAGTCCAAGGATGATTCCAAGGCCAAGTCGGGCTGGCTTGATTCAAAATGGAGTCCTTTAAAACGATTATCAGACAAAGAGTATGAAGAAAAGCTCGAAGAAAAAATTCTCCGGATAAACGCCGAAATCTCTATCATTGATGATCATATTGCTGCTCTTCGAGCGTCAAGCGGCGCATCAACCAAGACAGGCGAGGAAAGTAAAACAAATAACAACTCATGAACTGTTACCCGGTATGCTGAGTTGTTTATTACAACTATTAGGATTTCCGTGCCAGCAACAGAAAAGCCTAGATGATATTCTTTGATAGAAGGAACCAAACTCGGTCGATATTAGGTTCTGACGGGAGGAATTGGCACCAGAAATAAGACAGGCCAATGACGAGCACTTCATCAATCTCAGCCAGCCACCTGTATGAGACATCATATATAAATATATATACCCCTGACACCGATAGTACTTCACTTTATGTACTTAAAAACGTGAGTTGTACCAAGCCTCTAGCATTACAATGACCATTAGCTGCCGTGTAGCAACATGTGCAACTCTTCGAGGATAGGATACTTATCTAGGTAACCTAGAGTACGGTCTCGAAGATCTTCATCACTATCACTGCTAGTCTTGATCTTACCGTGACACATTCAACGTGATAGGAGCTCGGTATGCCAATTATATCGAAAGATGTAAGACTATGTAGGTACAAAATATAAATACATGGATATGACCTCAGCATACGTCATTGTCTGTGTAGACAAACCATCCCCCACATATGATAATATCATAAGTAGCCATCTATCTACATCCATCCAACTCATACACACTAACCAATTCCAATATTACCTACCCTACACGCCCGATACAACTTCAATTTTCATAAAAGCCAACCAAGATGACTGATTCGCGAGGAGGCCACTCGTCTGAACTTGAGCAGACGCCCCTTGATTCGCACCAACACGGCCAGGCACAGTAAGTTGCCCCTCCGGTTTATTTCTACCTACATATTAAATAGCCACGAAGATTCAGCAGCCTATCCAACCAGTCCCAAATACAGTCCAAACCTATAATGAACCCTTTCCTAACTGCTATCATACGATATACCACTAACCTCCCCCTTTCAAACAGAAACATCATCGATGAGACCTCCGCGACGTACGGCACCACTACCCAGCCAGACCTCGGGGCCAACATGGAAGTCCATGGCGAGGCGCTCAAGGACAAGGTCGACGGTGCCGTGAGGACTGGGCCGAAGGTGGCCGACGAGACTACCGGCGGCAGAGTGCAGGTCGCCGAGACGGGCGACTTGCACGAGCTTGCTGCGAAGAGGCAGCCTTAGAAGAAACATTAATTCAATTCTGGCTTGGATAACTATGTGATAAGGGAACATGTATAATACTGGAGTTGGACGGTTTTATTGTTTCGATACGGGAACGAAGGTATAAGCACGGTCGGTACGTTTATCATTGCTCGTGGGAATGTGATGTTTACGCCTGAACCAAATAGTACTCAAGACGCTCGGTCTAGCTTCAAGCTTTGGATAAGGTCAATACACAAGAAAGTTCTGCCTAAGGAATGCAGTTTAATACTCTACCGGAAACTAGGACAAATGGATGGCTCCTGCGCTGTTCTTGTATGCCTATATTCTGTATAAATGATCTGATTAGCGTCTTCGAATGGGCAAGATAGGCATATCCCTTACTTAAAAGGGGGGGGAGAAAAGAGCAGGGGAAAGCCAAGATGTTGTGACGAGCATGTGTAGCGGAGATATGAAGTTCCTACCGAGTACCTGATATGCATACGGGCCTGGATCTGTTCAAGGTACACGTAAATCTTGTTGAAAGACTTACCCCGGGACTGGCCTGAGATATCCATACAACGAAGGAATACATATATAGGTACCTACGGTTCCAGCTAGTTGGGTCCGTGGCTTACAGGCACATATGTCATTTCCCCATAGCTAATACATATCATAACCAGCTCTATCATTTACCGTAGGATGGTAATTTACTTGTATAAACAAGATCGATAAGATATATTTGCAGGTACCTAACGTCGATATTTCCCGTGTAATACGTATAGTCCATCGTGATCTATGTCTAAGCTGGCCATTCAATAAGTCTTGCCGGGCCCATAACCGATTCCCCCATACAAACCCTTCCCTGCAGATATAGAGCCAACTATAGGTATCATTGATATATATTACCGAGGGTAACAGTAGGTAACTTCGAAATAGACCACGGCCATTTCCCAGTTATCTTGCCAGTATAAATGTATATATACCTCGGCTACTCGCGGTAACAATTCTATTTGCCAGCTGTCTATCACGTCTTTGATACGCAATCTGGCAAAGATAGTTACCGGTGGGCAACTATGTAGGTAGTCGCCTCAGAAAAAAAAACCCCCAGAAAAAAAGAAGAAAATAGTGTCGAGACACGTGTCATGATATTCAATGAATAATTAAGAGAGCTAAAACAACCGTAATAATCCTGAATATACTCCAAATTACCAGAGGTATCGAGGTCCATTAACAGACGCATACACACATACACACACGAGAGACCGAAATGAGAATATCCGGACCCAAGCCCCCGCAGCCTTCCCTGCCAGCTAGGTACCTAAGGTATCCCCTTTGGCCCATCACTCTTTAACTAACCCTTAGTCCTTCCTGATAACCGCGTCGAAGATCTCCTTCATCTTCTTGGCGCTGTACTTCTCTTTCCGTTGCTGGCCGTCGGCGTAGTTGACGTAGGTGACGCCGAACCGGGTCTCGTAGCCCTCGGCCCATTCGAAGTTGTCCATTAACGACCACGCCATGTATCCCTTAACGTTGACGCCGTCCTCGCTGGATGCCTTGGCCATTGCGTTGATGTAGTCCCGGAAGTACTCGTATCGGAACGTGTCGTTGAGGATCTCGGGCTCCTTTAGGTCGTTCTCCCCCTTGATGCTTGTTCCGTTCTCCGTTACGTAGATCGGCGGGTAGTTGTACCGCTTGCTGAGCCAGTTGAGTAGGCCTCGGAACCCTTCCGGGTTAGGGCGTAGCCAGAATGATTGTGTCTCGGGGCCGATGCAGTCACCGTTCTTGCTGTAGGGGTGGGTTGATAGGTCACCTAGGAAATCCTCCGGGGCCGGATTACCGTCGCCGTGCTTGACATAGTCGGCAGTGTAGTGGTTCATGCCGTAGAAATCGTTAGAGCCCTTAACTAGAGCCAGCTCTTCAGGTGTAAACTCCGGCAGTCGGTCACCGAGTTGCTTTCGCATAGAGTCTGGATACTTGCCCAAGTAGATAGGGTCAGCAAACCACGAGATGGCAAACTCAATCTTTCGGTTGGCAGCTTCTACATCTCTCGGGTCCTCGGGGTCCCACGGGTATGTGTAGTCACCGTTCAGAGTGATGCCAATCTGTCCCTTGTCCTTAGGCTTGAATTCTTCGCGGTATACCTTAACAGCTCTGCCGTGAGCAAGGAGCAAGTTGTGACCGACGATCCAAGGCTCTCGGCTGGAATCACCGACAGCAGACTTGGCTCGGTTAGATGTGTGACCAGGGGCGAAGAACCCCGTACTGTACCCTAGGATAGAACTGCACCAGGGTTCATTGAATGTGATCCAGTTCTTGCATTTAGGAATTGACTTGAAAACGATGCGGGCGTAGTGCTCGAAGTCGAGTGGGAACTCTGTCCTATTTAAAAGCCCGCCATATCGTTTATCAAGTGCATCCGGGACGTCCCAGTGTAGTAATGTTATGAAAGGAACAATACCAGCTTCAAGTAGGTCATCGACGAACTTAACGTAGTGGTCGATACCAGCCTGGTTGATGGGATCATTCCGACCACCGAGAGGGATAATTCTTGCCCATGATAGAGAGAAGCGGTAGGCAGTAGCACCCAGCCTCTTCAGGAGGGCGATATCTTCAGCAGTTCTATTGTATGAATCGCAGGCGACGGACCCGTCAGTTCCATCTGCAATCTTCCCCGGAATGGCGCAGAAAGTATCCCAGATAGTTGCACCACGGCCATCTTGTTGGGTTGCGCCTTCGACCTGGTAGCTATGTGCGGAGAAAGGCTGAAGTCAGTGGCGAAATTCTCTTAGTATGTGGGTAGGGGTTGCTATATGTAATAGAGACAAGGAGCTCGGTATATAGTACTCACGCAGCTGTAGCGAAGCCCCAGAGGAAATCTGAGGGCAACGACATATCGAACAAGCGCTTTGAATTCTCAAAGGTGATAGATGTATATCTACATAGGCTATTCGAGATTGCCTACTAGCGTTTCGATTTCGTCCGGGAAAACGGATATTTACTCTTTACTCTTATGCCTAGCCAAGACTTCAGACGATCTCACGAAGGGTATATAAAGAGCAGAAGATGATGATGATGACTGTTGAGTCGAATCAGGCCGAGCAGAACGACTGCTCGACGTTGAAATGGAGGCTAGCATCTTCTTTATACCCTTGTGAGGTTTTAGGCTTTCAGAGGCGAGCTCGTCTTCTCTTCGATGTATAGTGTATGGCAGTGTATGGCCGGCACTTTCCCCTTTCTCCCGTATCGGACCGTGACGACCGAGAACAACAGGCTTGTACGATGATGGCTGTATCTCCAAACCATTCATACCCATTCTAGCCATTCTAGCCATTCTAGCCATTCATACCCACATAGGCCATAGCAACCATCTCCGCCGCGGGGTAATTGGAGCTTGTAAGCACACAGGCAAAGAGACAGGGTCCAATTTTTGATTTGGGCTGTTGGGATGTCCCCCCACAAACGAACTCGTCATGTGCCGGAATCATATTAGATCCCAGCGACGGCCCGTGTCTCCGGCCACCAAAAGGCGCATGTCTATCCAAGCTGGCCAAGTCTCGAGTTCTTGGCCCTTTATGCAGCCAGGAAAGCCAGGGGCTCGTAGAAACTTCGGCGGTATAGCCGAGTGGGTAGACACGATAGTCCCCATTCTTCGAACAGCGGTGTTCCTTGGATTCGGGATAGTCACGAATTGATGAGTGGCGGCGCTAACGATTCAAAAGATCGATCTTGGCCACCCGCCCTGCCTGCTCCGTTGGAATGCGGCGCAACATCCCTTCACATCGAAGGGTCCAACTTCGAGAAGCGGATGTTAGTTCACTATCGGCGAGTTATCCGACTTGCGAAAAAAAAAAATCAACAATAAACACTTGATTAAGCATTGGACCCTTGGAAATGGCTTTACCTAACGTCAAATTCAGCTTGGGAGCCGGTTGGTTTATGCCGAGTCCCGGATATCAATGTCGTCGTACATACATAATAACTCCTCTTATACGTTGTTTTGCGGAATCTTTATCCTTTTTCCTATGTCCATTTACCGACTGCCATCTCGGTCGCTGCAGAAAGATCTCGGCGATAATCACTCGATGGTTTGAAAATCACCTGTTTCGGGCTTACCCAATTCCCTGGCCGAGTCAATTCCCTACTCGATACAACTTATCTTCTCATGTAGACGGAATATCGGATCTCATTGACAGATCATTAATGTGTATCCTTGTATATAATGAGGGCTTCAACATAAGATTCACGTATCTAGTCGCCGCGTTGCAGGAATGAAAGGCACTGCCAGCCGCTAACTAGAGAACTCAGGAGGAAGTGAGCGCATTTCCGACGGATGCAATACTTATCCTATTTCGAACCGATCTTTCTTTCTCGCTAATGCTTTATAGTTGTATCATCCGGTAGCGGGTAGACTCGATCGGCCGCATGTACGGCGACCGAGCGATCAAAGTGATGCCCTAGGCAATATTCCCGCCCTCTCCTTCATCAACCACTCCTCGTTTTCTCTTACCCGTCGTAGGCGATTCATAGAATAGTACCGTCTGTCCTGCTTCGTTCCCTGCCGCATCATCTCCCGTCCATTCTGTGATTTCGTATTCGACTCGAGTCTTGCCGTCTCGACTTTCCCTGACACTTTTTGTAGTACGTATGTTGCCCAGACGACTACCTAAAATCATACTTTCAAACCATGGAATACCAGCTACTTCCCGTCCGATCAATTGCGAGTCTTGGTTGGATGCATGAGTAGGTTTAATAACCATAGAATCCAATTCGGATTCGTCGGGAATCAGGCCTAGATCCTCCAGGTCACGAAGGTCCTCGGTTAAGAGGCTACCCAGCGTCAATTGAATATAGTCGGCCTCACTCCTGGGTTCTTCGGACCAATACGACAAGGGAGTGCCGCAGAACCCACAGAACTGTCGCATAGCATTTTGTTCAGCGGGGTGGGAATAGGCACGTTTAATATTAGCCCGAGACTCGTCGGGAAAGAATGGAAATGTTTGGCTATGGTACCATGAAAGCGGAACTCGAAGGAAGGCCGAGAGAGGTGTCGCTGATGAGATTCCTATCCATGTATGCAGCGTTAGCTCCGCGTGTATATTGCAACCAGCTACTTCGTAGATGAAAGAATGATAGGGCTTGTCAAATGTCTACTTACTGTGGCTTGTAGTCGAATCAAAGAGGACCTGAGCTCCTGCCGGTGAACCCCCGGGTATCAGGATCGTGTACTGATTCCTGCCGCAATGGCAACTTCCTCGTAAAGCTCTATCGGAGCTCATCATATATCGTTCTCAAATGATTTAAATCTGAGGGACGAAAGTGAGTGAAGATCAATAAAACTTAAATTGCTAAATAAATAAAATCGCAGAGACAAGACAAGACAGAGATTGGTATTGTTTTGAATTAACTAGTATAAAGTATAAATCCTAATATGTATATTTGTATGTTATGTAGAGGTTGGAATCGTCTGGAACGAACGAAAGTGTTCCAATTCGATAATCTCGTGTTAAGAGAATCATCAATTAAATCAAGGCGCGTCATTAAGTGGGCTGATAACGTTGGCCCCACGCAGGTAGTGAGGTAATTCAACTGGCAACTACAATCTGATAACCCGTTATTGCAATTAGCCAGATTACCTAAGGTAAGTTGTAAACTTGATGTCATAGATACGGGAAAATAATATTTAGAAGATGAAGATTATTAATCTTACCGTAGTTATTCCTATCATTAAAATAAATATCGTCAGTCCCAGTCTTAACAAATAGTGTACCCGAGTTATCTCATGAAACGGCTTTCTCGTGCAGCACGCTTGCATTGGTCGACTCGGCTAGAACGCCACAATTTCTATTCCCCGCATCCCGGAGATTGTCGTTCAGCTCATCGACAGCTTGATTTTCCTCCTGGGTCGTAGCTGATTCAGCATCTAGGAGCCCCTTATCGGATCGATGAAGCCACCACTTAAAAAATATGGTGAAGAATTGTGCTATAAATACCTGTTCCACCGTATATAAGAGTACCGGGACTTGGATAGACGAGATAGTAAAATTGTCGAGCTGAGACCACATGGCAGCAGCTAACGGGATCCCTACGCTCGTAGTCTTCGCAGCTCCGCAGAAGCAAACAGCAACAACGAGTTCTTTGGGCATCTTTTTAACCCTCACAACCTTCCGAATTGCCTCTGGTAGATGAGAGCCCAGTCGTGAGTCAGCAACGTAACCATTGATTACCTTAATAAGGACATCCGGTGGCGATGCTACCCAGTAGCAAATAGCAGTAAACAAGATATATTCTGCTATGTTTATAAAAACATTGAATATTATAGACGATTTGGGTAAAGCAGTGAGTGCCCCTGTCTGGAACGCCCCTGAAAAAGTCGACCTAACAACCTAAGTTAGTTTACGTCGAATCCTACACAATCTTCTCTGTCCCTCTATCGAGGTTGGCCTACTTACCAAGCTACTAGCATAAGCAACACGGAGCAGAATTGTGCTAGATAAAATGTACTCAACGTCCAAGACACCTGCTTCGGAAACGTCCATCTTAGCCCCTGACCGACGACGAGCGGAAGGAGAACGCTAAGCCCCAATTGCTTCATAACGTTGGCATACATTGGCCCTAAGGTATCTGCTTTCGCCGGTTTAAGCGAGTCAAACTCGCCCCCGCTAGGAAGAAACCCATATATTAGCCAGGGCGAGAGAAGGGAGCCGACAACATTGCCAATCACCACTTCGATAATAGCGGCGGCTTCATCACCGCCCGCATTTCTCGTCATTACCACGTTAGATGCGATGGTGGTCGGGATACAGCTAACTACGACCATTCCAACGAGGATGCTAGCATCAATCGTCCCCGAGCTCACTCCTCCGGCGACTATTATGATATGGATTATGACTGGGACGGATCAGCAAAATGACACAACACCGAAACGCAACTAGAATTCCGCACCAAGTTGAATAACAGGTATGAGGACAAGATTTATTCCTTGCACGACAATGTGCAGGCGCCAGTTCATTACATGTTCCTTGAGTTTTGCTGGACTAAGTTGCATCCCGTTGATGAAAAAGATCAAAGCAATGCCCCCGTATAGGATAGAGTATTCTGACCGGATGATACCGCCACGGGCCGCAACATCTGAAGAATAGATCAGCAACCGAGTACAATACCGAGAAGATATCCAAGTCTCCCCTAACATACTAGGAAAGAAATATCCCAAAACACAAGCAAGACCAAATCCCAACACTAGCCAATTGCTCCAGATGAAGCCTAAAACTCGCTTGACCGCCTGAACAAACTTTGGGCGTTCTTTCGTAACGGCGCTCTCATGAGCTCTAGGAAGCTCTCTCATTGTTTCCGGTCCGCTCTCACTTGAGTATCATAACCACTAATCTTAAGTGGCGACCGGGTTGGTACCCAGCTTGAGTGATGATCGCGAATACTTAGATGATGATCAAATCTAACGAAATAAAATTTTAACATTTCATGATGGCCCAGAGTGGTTACTGACAAGGTTACGATGGATACGACTTAGAGCACGCAACCTCGGGAACGGCTCCTATCATCGGAAGGAGGCCAAAGTTAATCCCATTAGGTTATTCCCTATCCCCGATTCTATCCGACATGGAGAAAGGATCCACTCGCAAAACCACATGGCGTTCCCATCTTCCTTTTCGCGAAACGTGACGATGGGAAAAACGTGACGATGGCGATCTCAAACACTAAAATAGAGAAGATAAGCTTACATCCTCTGTATTCTACCTTCAGCACAGAAACATATCACAATCGCTAGTACCGGCCCGTCGCTTTCGTCGTCCCGTCGTCTGTACCTAATGTTTCAAATCGTCTGCAAGGAAGAATCCGGGGAATGATTCCTGACCACGCGGGTTTCACCAGTGAAGATCGGCAAGGTCTAGACTTCCGAGACCTTGATCCGGAACAGAGTCTGTTCAATCTGAGCTTAAGCTGTTTATTTAAGGTAATTATTAGTTAAAACTTTTAAAGGTCCGTCTATGAAATTTTCTCCGCCGGCCGACTCCCGATTTAGAGCAAGCTCTTCCCCGTTCCGCGCCCATTTCCGAAGGTATCATTTTCTCCTTGCGGCTTTTGCTTCGGAGCCAATACTTCAACGATCTCTTTTCCTCTTTTGGACGCCATTCAACACATCCTGCTAACTGGATAACTTCAACCTCGTCGGATTATGATTTCCCAAATCGGCTGTCTATCTGAAGTGAATGTTGATGTCGTTGCATTACATTCACCGTATTCACCGACCCATGGGAGACATCTCCAATTCTGCCATGCGGTCCCATACACTTGGGTATAACTTGCAGGTCTGTCAACCGCGCGCCGGTTCTCTTAGGAACTCGGGTCCGGCGCGGAACACCCAACGTCGTATTCCAGCGTTCAAATGACAGCTCTTCGTCATCTTCGCTGCAACGTCCCAGGGGACGAAACGTACCATAAAATTCTTTATTTTGTCATTTACCAGAAATAGTGATTCGCTTATCGGAAAGAGTGGGTGAATTAAACAAACGAATTTCTATTGCTGACCTCATTTGGTATCGAGTACTTCATTGTTCCTATTTCTCTCATGCTTTCATAATGTTGTCGTTACATATAGGAACTACGAATTTACTAGATACTGAATACAGACCGGACATCGTCATGCTAACATGTAGAGAGGGTATCCGAATGAAAATGGCCTACGTGAGTATTCAGATGTCAATTCCCTACAACACATATGTAAGTAGCCCCCGTAATTCGGTAAGATACCTACCCATCAAACGGCTATGAGACTTGAGCATTGGTTAGTTAGATGGGTAGGCCAGAGCTTCTCTCCAAGCAGATCCGCTCCATCGTCCCGAGCCTCCTAAATACTGGGCATTAAGACAGAGTCACATTTTGATTAACCTTGGCATTGATGCAAGGACTCTACCCGAGAACACTGCATAGGTACGCTTTCGTCACAGGTACCCAAAGTGAATAATATATGGGCGCGGAGCCCCTTTATTCTTTATATAACTTACTCGCCCATTAAAAACGATATGATAGTTCGAGAACATCTAGAAGATATAACTATATGTCGTGCAATATACTGTCTAACTTTACAGCCCATTAGGTACTATTCTAACGATGTTAAAGACCACGTAGGCGAGTAAGTTACGTACAAACCATACTTCGCTGTAAGCTGACTATTGGAAAAAGTCATATTGCAAATAACCATAACGTCGAGTAAGCCGTTAAAGGGGAAATATAAATTTTACCATCGGATGATCAATCCATCAGTACGGACTCCCCGTCAAACCAAACACTTCAGACCACGCGCGTTTTGAGTAGTACCCGTGTCCAACATAGACGTAACAATAGCCAAGCATAAGCAACCCTAGATGTAATATAACAACCTATTGAGGTGGTACCGATGAAACAGACATACAGCAAAGTGCCGAATAAACGAGAATAGCAATATGCCCCAAAACAAAAAGACCATATACGCGCGCTTATTAAATAGGGGATTAAGCGTAGTCTCATTCCAACTTTAGCAGCGGAGGTTCTGTACTGTTTGCCAAGAGACATACATACTACCCACCAGTATTATCCCAAAATGAGCTCCCGGTATCCGGAACCGGTTGGATACCGATCGCGGATTTGAACAAGCCATCTGGTTCAGAGTATTTATTATCATTTAGGTTAAGATATCTCTTTCCGCTAGAATCATAGGGGTAAACTGGTAAAAATCTAACAATTTAAATCAGAGGAACTATGAATTATTCGAAGGCCACCTCCATGCCTAATTACTTCATGCGTCAGCGTTACGTGACTCACGAGGGACATTACAAGGAAGATCACTCGACTTATATACATATCGACTACGTAAAGCGTATGTATATCAAGTCATTTTCGTACATCTATTCCCTATAATGGATATCGGAGCATTCTGGTTCTGGTGGTGCTGATATGGACGACGACATGCTTGCTTGCGGCTATTCCGAGCGGAAAGGCCCGTTCCGAGGATAACTGTCGTATAGTTTCAACCATGCACTTCGTCGATAAAGTGGTTATTAATACTATAAACTCCAGGGATTCGATATTTCCATTCACCCCTGAAGGTTTTGCGGCGGCTCGGTTATGAGCCGGTATAGGGAAGCGTAGCCGAGCCGAACTTGGATGTGCTCGTTTCCGAAGGATGCCATTCTTTCAAAGGGGGGGGGACTTGGTGAGGTTAACTGTAAAGATTGGAAATACATAATTGCTCGGAGAGGCATTGATGGGTAAAAATGGGATAATCCATTAGTCTTGTAAGGGCTAACGTTATCTACGAGGATCATAATTCTCTTTTATGAGATACTAAACGCATCGTAGTGGTTTACTACGAGCACATGCAGAATAGAGAGATGTGAATATCAAAGATTTGCGTAACGATCATAGCCCCTATCCGCCTCCCGGTTTTGAACCAACAACGCATCTTTTTTTTAGCTTCTCAAAGTAATTTATGGCCTGGGTACTTGCCAGGTAATAGTTACCTAATAAATTGCATTTCTTTTAAAGCTGATATAATATCTTTAGATTATCACGTCGGCGATGCTTACCTCTCTTGTGAAGTCGTATTCAACATCTGATGATTCCCTTTTACTCCCGAAAAAAAAGTAGCTTGCTTACCTCCACATACACCTAACGCCCAAAGCCTTAGTATATCGAAGTATCATGTAAAGAAGCGATGAGTGGCCAAGCCCTTCTTTATTAATTTGTATTTGTTAATAGGTAGGAGCATCCAAAGAGCAATACAAACCGATGCCGATGCCCTCTTCCAAGCAGAGCGCGAAGAATCTATAGCACAGCACGACCACGCCACCGCGATCTCGATTTCCCAAGGCATTCCTATGACATCGGATATGGAAAGCGATGATCCTAAGTTAGCCGAAGATTTGGAACTTATGAATGAGCTTACGGATAAACTCATTGCTACCTATATCACTGGGGTCGAGGACGAAAACCAAGATGGAAGCGAGATAGAACGTTTGGTTCCTGCTGCTGACGGGCAACCTGAGAGCTCATCTTGGGCTACCGCTCGTATACCTCGGAAGTTTACTCCTCCAGGCCGGGACTGTTTGGCTTGTGGAGAGAGAAAATATTTTATCGATGTGGCGCGGGTTCCTTGTAGCCATGAATATTGTCGAGAGTGTCTTGCGCAACTATTTCGGAGCGCAATGTCCGATGAATCATTGTTCCCTCCGCGTTGTTGTCGGCAGAATATTCCTCTCGAAAAGGTCCTGTCTTTCCTTCCAGAGGAACTCATTCGCGAATTTCGAGTCAAAGAGGTTGAATTTTCGACGCCACGTCGGACATACTGTCACCAGCCAGAGTGCTCTGCCTTTATCCCCCCAGAAAACTACGTGGGTGATATCGCAACCTGTAAAGATTGCGGTGTACAAACCTGCATTACCTGCAGAGGTCCCTCGCATAAAGGCGATTGTCCAGATGATAAAGATCTACAAGAAGTCCTCGAACTCGCCCAAGAGTATGGATGGCAACAATGTTATAATTGTTCATCGTTGATCGAACTGAGCACTGGCTGCTACCATATGACGTGGGTATCATCTTAGTAGATGGTGAACTAAAGTATTAACCATTTCTAGGTGCAAGTGTCGTTCTCAGTTCTGCTATATTTGCGGCGACCCCTGGAAAACTTGTAGCTGCCGTCACTGGGATGAAGGTCGAATCCATTACCGGGCAGAAGAGATATACCGCAGAGACCATGGAACAGACGACCAAATGGACACTCGAGACGCAAACATAGGACGTATTGTGACTAACTTACGGGAAAATCACGAATGTGGGCATTTCTCTTGGAGATATCGGTCTGGGACTTACAGGTGTGAAGAATGTCGGGACACGTTGCGTGAGTATATTTTTGAATGTCGCCAATGTAACATCATGGCATGTAGAATGTGTAGGTATAATCGCTTGTGATGTACGTCGATACCTACCTACCGAGGTAGTTATTAATAATAACAACCTATTATTATATTATATCTAAGTAATTAATAGGGATATCTTATGTGGAATATAGGCTGGGTTGTCATTTTTAATTACCCAGGGTGACGTTGTTATATATTCTAGGTAGGTAAATATACTATACGCTGTGACGCGATGCTCCCTGAAGAAGGAACACTGCCTTTTTACCCTATAATTATTGAGATACCTGAGTAGATATAAGATGGTGGAGATGGTAGGCGACTATTCATGTTTTAACTCTATAATATCATTCAACTAGGAACTTGACTGTTGTTGGTCCCACATACTTAGAACTTCGCAGGAAGGGATAAAGGGTGCTATACCGCCTACTCCGCCTATAATGTTATGAAGATGAGCTATCATTATGTGTATTATCATTTACCTACAACAGTAGAATATGGAAAAATTTGGTCTGTATTACCCCAGAGTATGTGATACGGTAACTTGGAGTGACATTAAATGTATAGCTTCCTGGTCCTTCGGTCTTCTACTAGCTAGGTAATAACCGAGTAACAGCAGCGAAGTCCTTGAAGCTGACCACAATAGCAATACTATAAATATTTATGGTTCTGTCTGATGGTTAAAATTTTCTACAAAAGGGGGGGATCTACAAACATCCATATCTCAGATCCCTTTATTTGAGGGTTTGTGAAGCACGAATGATACAATTCTACGATATAGTGTAGTTGCTCCGTCTAAGCCTACACTCGGTCAAGACTTAATTATATGGATGTGTATTCCAAGCGGGCCGTTTTAGGGCCGATGCGAGATATTATAGTCTAGCCCGAAGGTTGGCAGATAGGTTGTCTTGGAATGTAGGTACCTGACTGGCTGAACCCAATGACGTATCCCATTTGAACCTCGAATAAAGCTTAACTCGGACAGTCTTACCACATACACCAGATCTATAAATAGCATTGCACTAAAGACTATACCTTGTACGTACATACATGTACCTATTGTACATACAGTAGCGTTCGTTAGTGCTTAATGACCCCCCACTCACACTGTCCTAAAGGGAACTAAAAAGGTGAGACGAAAAAGAAGCCCCGCTTGCAGCTAGATTCCCAGATTGTATAGGTATAGTCTTCCTGTCGTCGAGTTAAACGAACCTACCTATTACCTAACTTGGGGGCGATATGCGAAGAATAAGCTACATAATCCACCTCGGTATATAGTCGTATGTAACATGTAATGTAGCTTTAAGATAATACCTAAACCCAAAGCCTCAACGATATCCCCGGATACGACTATATGTAGCCTATTACAACCAGTAAAGTGGACTAGGACTCGAAAGCAAGAATAAGATCTGCAGGTGTAGTCTGATGTGAGAGGCGATTCCCCGAAACTGCTAATCACATGAATTATGTATATGCTAATAGTCACTGTCTTACAATTTTTTTTATTGAGAGCAAGAGCATAATGGCGCCGTTGGGGCTGATATACATGCGGCCTTTTCTTGCATCGGACAGATCAGCAGAGGGGTAGGAAACAACATCTCAAAGTAGGTACCTACCTAATTCAATGTTTAGTTGCAGATGTGTTAGGTTAGTTATACGAAATTGAGTTGAGAGACTTCAAGGTTTGTAGGAACTCACAAGGTAGGCACACAAAGGCGTAGGTCTTTCTTACTTACATAAGATTAAATGGCCAAGTGCTCCTTCTTACGGTTAGGTTAGGCAAAAGTATATGCTAGTTGAAGCTGGGTAGTTACCTCAGAACGTAGCTATACACTATGTATACCTAGGATTAGGTTATATCATTGGAGGAAAAGACCTGGAGGTTGGGTTAACAAGTGGAAACTGCCTATTGTGGAAGTACAATACATAGGAAAGCCCTGTCGCAACCTACCAATGGTACTCTATTTCTTTTTGTTAATTGACTAGCTGAACGATGAAAGTCCTCATAATTTCATAATTTTCTCCTCCCATTCTCGTTCAACATTCATCCTTCGCCCCTGGGCGTTGCCTATCTTAGACTTTTACAGGCGCTTTGTATTTGTTTATGTCTTTGTGTTTCTAATGAATACTCGGCCCTGTGCCCCTTTCTTTATCGCTCTACTTTGTTGCTACAACCTGTCCTTGACGTCGGGGTTTCGGTCGTTTATGTCGGATTGGGTCTTTTTTTCGACGCGCAGTTTTTGACGCCGATCGCGATTCGCACAGCCTATTAGTGACCGGAGTAGCTCAGTCAATTGCGCCGTCTTAGAAAACGGAGAAGACACGGGCGAGGTCAATCATCTGTTTTTAAAACCTCACTTGTTTTATTCGTCTAGTTACAATCGTAACCGTTCAGATCTATTCGCCTATTTATCTACTTAGACGATCGGCCTAGTTATAGAACAGCAAAGCAAAACAAAGTACGAGTACGAAAGTAATACTTGGACATCTTCAGCACAGCCCCCCGCAAGAAAACGGGAAATCCCTGTAAGTTGATTAGAGGGGTGCATGTGGGAATCAGACGGCACACCTCGAACAGAAAATAAGCCAGATCGGTTTTATCTATCCAAAAATCCTATCTGTACGAAACGGTTGATCTCGGTTCTGTTCCTGTTTTGTGCTTTGCCTCGAATTCTCCTTGTCTGCGCTGCACCGAGATCTGCAGCTGTGGGAGAGACAAAAGAGAGGTAGATATAGCGCAACAAACGGCCCAATTCCGTTCGGTTTAGGGAGAGTAAACCTGATACAATAATACCATTATGCCCTCCTTCGGTCGCATTGGAAAGCACAGTAATCGTTCCCAGCATAACCTGGTCGAGCAACAACAACAGCAGCAGCAGCAGCAGCATCACCACCACCACCATCTTCTTCAGCAGCAGCAACAACAACAACAACAACAGCAGCAACTTTCATCTCATCAACATCAGGTGGCGGGCAGTGGAGCTACTGCACCGCCCCATCATCCTCATCAACAGCAAGCTGGTTCTACTTCTATTTCTACCTCTCAGACTGGATCTAGCCCACTGAATCCCGGAGGTCGTCGAGTATCTGCCGGTGGTGTTCCTGTTACAGTTCCCGTGACCAGCTCAGTGCCTATACCGGGATCTGTTAACGATTCTAATAACACACCTTCTTCAGCCTCGTCAATCGGCCTTAGTTCTAGTGAGTCTTTTCAACAACAGCTGCCACCACCACCACCATCACAACAAAAACAACAACAGGTCGACACGAGGGCCGGTCAACCACAATCACAGCAGCAAACTCCACATACTTCACCGCGTGGACATCAACATACGCACCATAACCAATTAAGTAGCCAGCAACAAAGCCAGTCGGCCCAGCCTCTTGAGGCGTACGGAAACAATCAAAATAATTTACCCACTAATTCAATACCCCTCAACCAAACCCCCGCTGCTTACACCGCGCGACAACAGCCCCACGATAATTTCGCCGAATTAGTCTCAAGGTCTCAGTCTGCAAGATACTCACAATTAAATCCTTTGCAGACACAACATCCATTCAGCATCGCTTCGAGCTCGGTCGACAACTTACCTCAGACCGTATCTTCTCCCTCCGTACCCTCCAGCCAACCATCTCTACCGCATAGCCAAACCGCCCCCACTGAACCAAAGCGATCAACACGAAAGCTAATTAAGAATATCCTCTCCGGCTCTTCTTCCTCTAGTCGGCCCAATTCAGACCACTATCAGGACGCTTCCTACGACAGCGGCTCTGGTTTAAATCGCCGACCCTCCAAACGGGCAAGCAATACCCCTGTCGTCAGAGGCAACCCTTTGTTGTCGCGACCTATCGACCACCCCGACTGGGTCCCGCCCCAAAGCAGCTCGCGTAGCCACCACTCACCCATCCAACCTGTACGCGACCTTGAGGACCCCTACTGTGCCGCCCATTCTAACCAAGATATGCTTTCACAGAATCGCACAGAGCCATCCCAGAATACTATAAGACAAGTTCCTACCGATTCCGACCCTGACGCCGACAACTCACCATATAGCCGCGAAGACCTTTCTTATCAACAACAAGCTATCGCCCAGCACCAAGCCCAGCTACAAGCGCAGGCCCAAGCTCAAGCTCAAGCTCAAGCTCAAGCCCACGCACAGGCGCAGGCTCACGCGCAAGCTCAGGCCCAAGCGGAGCAGCAACAGCAACAGCAATTATACGGCGGTCAGATCGTTGTCGACCCGGCGCAGAATCAATACCAATACGCACCTTCTTACGAACAATATCAATCAGGTCGTCGGCCATCCCTTTTCACTGGGCATCTTAGCACGGCGAGTTCTCAGCCGCCTAATCCCGAAACCGTTTCGCAGGTGTCACATGAGTCGCCTGATTCCGAATCAGAGTACCAGCAGCAACAACACCAACCACAACCACCAGCCAACTCTCAGTCTGCGCAGGATTCACCCGCCGTGAGCTACGTACAGCTGGAACTGCAGAGCTCGCAGAACCAACAGCAAGCATCGGTGGGAACAGGACAGACCCAGAATATGGCACCGCCACCCGGAGGGTCTGGGCAGAGCCGTAGATCGGGGGATAACGAAAAGCAGATGCGTTCCGTTGAGCCTCCCCCGGGGCCACCACCTGGCTATAGACATAGTCAAGGGCCCATGAATGCGATGAACCCTCTCCCGCCAACGCCAAGCATCTCTGGTGCTCCACAAAATTACCGTACCAGCGGCGTTCAAGAGCAAGGGCAGTATGATAGGGCTGCTCCCGAAGGTGGTCGAAATAGTCCCCAGCCATCGACAAATGCCGATCGGGAGGCTGACCCAGAGAAGCAATTCAAAGACTTGCGTAAGAGATGCATTGATAATCCGTTGAACATATTGCTGACCTCATATACTAGTAACCAAGTATAAGAACGTCAAGAGGCTATATTTCGATGGCAAGTCTCAGATCGAACAATTAACTTCCCAGGTTGAACAATTGCAGAACGCAGTTGCTAACCAGAGGATGTCTCAATCACGGACGTCTCTCGATGATAACGAGTATTCTACGCGGTTCAATCGACTGAACGGCGCGATAAACAATTTGTCATTTAACATTCGTAAGGATTGGCGAACGTTACCCGGCTGGATCGAGAGGTATGTCAGCCCGGAAGCGATTAAGACAGGCAAGCAGGAGATGACTGCTGTTGGGCGTGCGGTAATCGTCCGGTGGATCGTGGACGAAATCTTCAACAAATGCTTCCACCCCGCCCTAGACGTCCACCTTAGTTCCCACCTTAAGCAAATAGAGCAGAATATCCGCAGATTTTCGTACACGCTAAGCAGCCAGGAGGAGTACGATGCGTTAACAGCGAAGGTCGTGAACTGGCGAATGGCTACTTTAGAGGGACTCCAACATCAGCTCCAAGCGCCTGAAGGTAATGACTATAAAGCAGATTTTACTAAAATGGCCACCGGAAACCTCACGGCAACATTGTTTCAATATCTGACGGACCCGCCACCCGCCGGCGTAGACGGAAGCGCATCGATGATCGTCGAGTTGGTAGTGGGCATTGCGAGCCATCTGCCCATGGAAAGCCGAGACGTCGCTATCACATATCCACTGCCCGGAGAACCCATACAACTCGACTTGATGGAACCAGAGAAAACCGGGCTGCCTCCCTTACCAGAGCCGGTGGACGATATCGAGGAAAGCAACGACAAGGACAGCGAAAAGACTGCTGCAGCCAAACGAGAAAAGACAAAAAGTGGTATGTTGAATATGCTCAGCGGGACACCGTATCCCGGGAGCAGGAAAGGCAGCACGGCTTCGGTTATTACTGACACGACATCATCGGCAGCAGCGGCGGCGGCGCAACAACAACAGCAGCAACAGCAGCAAATACCCCCCAAAGACCCTAGTAAGGTTCGGTTCGCAGGCTTCGTAGCGGTCGAGGTCAGAGGACGACAGGTATTGGTTAAAGCTCCCGTGTGGACCCTAGGTTGACGAAGTTCCCCCGCATAGAAGAGGAGACACGGGTTCCATGATGGAGGATTAAGATACCAGTAATTACTTTTTTCCCTTTCCCGTTCACAAGAAGGTTTTGACACGACATAAAATATGATCCCCGAGGGCGGTAGTAGTAGGCAGGCAGGCTAAAGGCCGTGGAGGTAAGGTGGTTTGAAATCCGCAGCTGATACCCCCATCTCCTTTACCTGGGTGGGTGGATCGATTGCGTAGGGTGAGCGATGATAGGATATTGGGTGCAATTACGACGGATATGTGCTACCTAGGTACGGAGTGAAAGATGCTTGCCCAGCTAGTCGAGTTCATATATATAAATACTTAAAAGGTTTTCGCTCCCCCACTTGCTAGTTACTTGGTATTTCATCATGATTATTGCAGTATCCATATAACCTTGATATACACATGACTACTACATAACTAGCACGTAATTTAGGGGCAGACCCTGAGCCGAGCATGTTGCAAGTAATGATTTTATTACTGTCAAAATACAAATAAGCAGAGCTAGCAACGAGCAATCCCTTAACTACAAAATCCTCACAACCTAACGTCCCTAAGTAAAAACTCCCCTCTCGCCCGGGCGCCATGCATGCCATCACTTCCTTGAAGGGGGCGGAGTTGACCAGCCTTCATAGCTCCAGGCTTACTTGGTTGATGTCTTGGGAGGGGACAACCTTCCAAATTATCTTGTCTCACACTATCTCCGTCTCCAACTTCTGCGAAAAAAAAAAAAAAAGAATCTTTTTGTTGCGTGAGCATCCAGGCGTGCTAAAAACAAAAACAAACAAACAAAGTAACAAGTAACAATCGGTCGTCGTGATTAATTGGACCTGTACAAGGAACCAGAATTATGAAACAAAAGAATCCTGTACTTCCGGAGCCAGAACGAGAAAGTTGCGTGGGTGTGTAATAGTAAGCCAAACTGGTCGCGGTGTTGTCTGTCAAAAGAACCAAGTGGACGATAGAACAAAACCGGAGTTATGGCAAAATCGCAAGATAGAAGGGCGAACTCAAGTAGCGTATTGATGATCATGAATTCATTCGTATGCAGGTCAACAGATCATATCGGGCATAATTGTCGTTTCTTCGTTTTTCTGTCGCGAGATATTAATCATGAGAGCTTGGCAGAGCCATCTGAGACTTAGACGATCATGCTCTTAGTCCTCGAATGAACTCGTCTGGTCTCGGCGCGCTTTCGAAGCATCTCTTCCCGCTTAAGGACGAGTTCACACCACTTCCTGCGGGAACTGGGAGCGCCGGTGCTGTCTTCCTCTTCCCCGGTTCGACCGATGACGTCGCCGAGGACCTTCATCCAGCCTTGCTTGTCTTCGCGGGTGTCGGCGTAGAAATCGATAATCTCGCCGTTATTGAAGCGGATACGGAAACCCTCCTCAACAAACATGTAGCCTTCTTCCTCTTCCGCGAAGGCAGAGCGACGTCTCTTTCCGCCGCGACCCGTGGTCTCGGGGTCAGTCAGCTGCCGTCGGTCGTCAATGAGTCGCTTGGCATTGGAGAGGTTGATTGTGGCACGAGGTTGACGGGTTGTTTCGTGATAAGCGGTAAGCTTAGTACCGACAAGCTTGAAGTAGCGGCGGCGCCAGTACTATTGATTCATTAGGTTAGTATTCGAATGCCTCTAGGCTGCGCGTTAGAAGTGATACTTACGGGGCAATCTCCTCCTTGCTGGCTTAGGTGACCCTCCCAGTTCCTGGATAGTCTCTCCTCGGCTGCCTTCAACTCGCGGATGCACATATTCATGCTCTTTGGCATGTCATCATTCGTTGATCCTTTAGGTCGCGGCACGAAGAGAAGTTGCACTTCTAGTTTGCCGATCTTGTAAGGTGCGCGACGCACAACCGAGTTGCTAGGAACTCCAGAGCGCTTGCTCTTGACGCTGTTGGCGAAGTTAGGCTCCTCGGTAGCCCATTCGTTAAAAGTCGCAATCTCTGCCATATAAGGTCGTCCATAGCAGCGGGATTCGTGCTCCTTAAGGCAGACGTATGCGCGCGCGAAGGTTCCGTCCTCTGCCGCAAGAGGAGATAGTAGGTCCCACGCCGTGGGTACAACATTCCTCTGCTTCGTAGCGGCGTCGCGCTGGGCCTGAGCGTAGGCTTCCTCTTCGGCACGTAGACGAGCTTCCATCTCCTTTCGCTTCTTGGGGCTAGCGAAGACACGAGAAAAGGTAGATGGCTTGGGTTTTACCGCCTTAGTTGGCGCGACTGTTACGCGCTCAGGCGGCGGCTTCTCCAACTTCACGTTGAGGGTAAGTTGGAATTCCAATTCGTTAGGGACAACAAGCTCAAACTCCTGGCCGATCGGAGCGTTACGTGCCAGCTCCAGCCAGGATGTGGTCACACAGTGTACTCCGTTGTCGAGAGTGAGGCTAAACCATGTTCGTTCATCTTACGGGAGGTTAGTACTTAGGTAGGTATGTAGGAAAACGTTCGAGTATCAATGTCGAGGAAAACTTACTCTTAGGCAAGGGAAGATCAAGATCTTTCACGCCCATTACCTTGACAAACAATCTGCCTCGCTCGCCACATTCTTCTGTCGCCAGCTCGTGGCTATCTTCTTCGGGTAATGAATTCATCGTTGTCGAGTTGCTTTCATGACCTGGTAGAGGTGGTACTTGACCGTTGATACTTGGTGCGTGTCTCTTCTTGATGCTTTTCCTGTGCTTACCATTCCAAGGTTCAACAGTCCACGATTGAGGTCGTTGCTGCTTAATTGGAGAATTGCCAGCAGAACGGGTACCAGCTCGAGCTTCTTCGGTCTCTTTGTCGCTTGCAGTAACGAGTTTGGTGTTCTGGCGCATAAGGTAACCTCGCTGTCGTGGAAATTCAATGTTAGTCTTAGGTGTTCCAAGGTACGAATTGTCTTTATTGGTGTTTTGAGGATTGGAGCCTGACGCTTGTCTTTTTGGCTCGTTGATTGCAGCAAGGGAGTGGTAGTCGTGGGGAAGGAATTGGGTATTGACCTTTTGTGCCTCAATGACCCGCTCAAAGTCCTGATCAAGACTGAGACCCAAGTCAAGATCCAAAGTTAAACTACGCTGTTTAAAGCTTGGGTGTCGCTCAATATAGTCGTCACCAGTGGGGACCTCGAGAGTATCAGGTGCTAAATCCCGAGAAAGACGGTTACGATGCCGGTCAGGAATTGGTGGGACCACGGGTGCTACTTCTCGGCTTACTTGTCGGCGAGCCTCACGCATGGACACAATGTCGGACGGGGTGGCAGAAGCGCGAGTCTTCAGCTTGGATCCTGAAGAAGATTTAATGGTAGCTTCCCGCTCAGGAATGGCAGGCGACTCGATTAAAAATTCCTCGATCTCTTTAGCTTCTTCGACTTCTTGGGCTTCTCTGACTCCTTCAACGTCTTCAATTTCTTCAACCTCCTCAACTTCCTCAAGTTCATCTTCGTACTCTTCTTCCTCATCATCAGATATAGGATGGTGGATGACAGATTCAGGAGTACCTGGCTCCTCTGATTCATATTCATCCTCTTCGGGATCTCCCCATCCAGAACCATCATATACCGGCTTCGATATAGGTCTTTCTGGGGTCTTTGACCGTTGTAAATAAGAGTCTGCATCCGACACTTTGTGGCTTTCCGAGTGCGTGAGAGCACCTGCTTCCTTAGGCTTTGGAAGCATATGTGATTGTAGGCTACGAGTGAATTCTACGTCCTTAGACGAACTTGTTATCTGGGGAAGGGTAGCGCTGAAGTTTGTGATAGCACCTTCAAGGGCTGGGCTCGCAGCTCGAGGAGTCGTGACTGATTCTTCTTCAGGCTGTGCGTCCACGGGCTGGGGCTTCTCAACCTCATCAGAGTATTGACTCTCCGTATCATCATCATCGTGGTCATCATGATCACTGTGATCATCGTGATCATCACTGTCGTCCTGGTCATCATGGTCATCTTTTTGCGACGCAGCATCTCCATCTTCAGACCGTTGGTATAGGTCATAGACATCACCTTTATCATCTTCGCTCTCGTGATGAACCACACTATCTTCATTCGACTCCTCACCATCATCAAGAATTGAGTCTTCGATACTAGCGATAGGAACATCAGGATCATAAGGAGCGTCGCGAGTGAGGCCCGGTTCAGGACCTGGCGACATGAATGTGAATTCAGATTCTTGCTCAAGTGCCCTGTTGCCATTAACACGGCGCAGAATGGATTGTCGGGAAATACTTGGAAGCTGGTAATCCATATCCAGTCCGGATAGATCACCAACAGTGTCGTCCTCCTCATTACCTTCATCATCTCGGTCTTCGTGATCCTCATGGCCCTCGTGGTCTTCATGGTCTTCATGATCTTCATGGTCATCATGATCGTCATGGCCTGGAGTGGGGCTTGTAACCCTATCACGGCCTCCAGCTCGTCGCATGCGACGCTCCCGCTGTTGTTCAGCGAAAGTCTTTGCAGAGCTGTCAGACTTGGGACTTGTCTCGTCCAGCATCATGAGCTTAAGTCGCTCTTCCAAAGACATGCTACCATTGCCAATATTGTGGATATCAGACTTGCTTATTGAAGCAGGAGGTGGCGATGGGAGACTTCGAGGAGAGCCTAACATACGTTCTGCAGTAGCAGACAGCCCATTTGAAGATGCAGACTGGGACCGGGCATGGCCCATCCCCGGAAGAGGGGGTAGAGGTCGATGTTCACTACTAGATGTTGATGAATCTGTACGAGAATGCTGTGATTGTGGAGACATGGCTTGTGACAAGGCACCCTCAGGCATTGGACTGCTATCAAAGCGCGTGTCCCGATCTTGACGCCAATCATCAGGCCCGACAACTGGAGTCTTGTCTGTGTCTTCTAGTGTCGCATCAAAACTGTCATCCTGTCCGTCCATCTCACCCCCAGGATAATGTCCATAGATATAGTCATCATCGTCGTCGTCGTCATCATCATAACTGCCTTCTCGCGAGTTTGTGCCAACAGAAGACATATCAGGGGTTGCCATTTCGTACTCATTAATCTGAGGTGGGGCAGCATCGAAGGTAACAGACTTGGCGTGGCGGTGGAGTGACCTACCACTTGGGAGTTCGTGGTCTTCGAATGACATATCCGAGAAAACGTCACTATGTAAATCTTGGCTGCTCTTGAGGCGGGCTGAAGAAAGTGATGACTTAGCCGGAGATGCTTGGTCTTTGCTTGGACTGGGGGGTTGAGAGCCAGTAGGAGCGGGAGACGATTGAGAGCCAGTCTTTGTAGGAGTGTATAGAGAGATACTGGTCTGGCTATCTGAGCGGCCATGGCTTGATCGAAAGTTGTTGGCGAAAGCATTTCCTTGGACCTTAGCAAGAGGACGCTCGATTGCTGGTATACGCATAGGGTCGTATTCTTGTTTTTGTTCTCGGGCAAACATGGTACTATTTTTTACACGGGACGCCTTCTGCAGTCGCTCAATAGAGGAACGCCTAGTAGGCGACGGGGAACCAGCACGACCTCCATACAAGTCGTTTTCGATGCGATTATTGACATTGCGATTCTGCCAAAACAGGCGCGGTGAAGTTGTACCGTCCAGAGGAGATGACTGGAATGGAGATGAATCGGTATTAAGACCCATCTTCTAACGCCACGAGGGTTAGCAGAGTCAATCTGAATTTGAGTTGAGTCTAGAATGGTAGAATGGAATTACCTTTGGTGAAGGATTCCAGCTCGGTGAGTTTCGTCGCTGCTCAGTGGCTGAGATCTCAGACAACGGACGTGGAATGCTACTCTTAATTGGCGATGTAGCTGGAGTGTTGTTCTTAGCAATACGCAAAGGCTGCGTTACCTATTGATTAACAGTTAATTCTCTGTCATCTATTGTTTAGACTTCCCTTTCTTTACTTACAGGTTGCCCATCAGAGGCCATACTGAAAGGAAAACTTGCAGACTATCTCGCGATTATTGGTGATTCATATCTCCCAATGGAGAAATAAAAAAACGGGTTACAAGATGTGTGAGATGTATGTTCAAGTCTCGTGGCGGTGCGGTGCAGAATATGCGGCCTACAAAGATGCACAATTCGAGAATGGCGCTTAAGAGTTGTTTTGGCAAGTTATAGGGTTGCTAGGTTGACGCACCAAGCACCAATCGGTGACAGCTGTAATGTTTACAAGCGGCTGAAAGTAGGTAACGCCGAAAAGGCTGAGGACGGTTGCTAAAAAGATATCGTTACGGGGTCAAGAAGGGAAAAAAGAAAATAAAGAACACACGTCAATGGTGTGTGTAATTTACCAAGTGAAAGATTATCTCCTTTCTTCTACAAGAATTGAGAAGAGAACAAATGTTGTGATGATAATAACAGTGACCGAGGTTCTTGATCACAGGTTGCAGGAGGTTATTTGGATGGCGGGCGGAAGTAAACAGACATGGGAGAGTGGCTTGGTGGGGAGTGGGGGATACCTAGCTACCTAGCCAAGCGCTATCGCCCCACCAAATATACACCTACCAAACATACAAGTTCCCGCCGCTAAATCTAGGAAATCACCGCTGTTCTGTCCAGGCTTTTCCCGTTGCTGTTGCCGTGCCAACACGATAACTCACGAGCCGCTAACCGATCTAGGATTATCGTTTGTCTCAAGTTGATCTTAGTTACTGGGATACGTGTGCACCATTATGCACAGAATACAGTAGTATCGTAGTACGTACAGCCATGACCGACTTTCGACATGACCGACTTTCCGACTGTGCAACTCTCAAAAAGTATCTTGATCTTCAAATAAACATGTTGCCATAAGTGTATGATTCATATAATAATCGCAATAGCCTTTTACTTATATAGAATGTCTAAATAATACTAGTGTTCGGCATTTAATATTTAATAAGCATAAAGTCGGGCATGCATGCCTTAGGCACTTACATAGAGTAGGTATTTATGTAGTAGTTAAACAACACTACCTGTTAATAGATTAGTAAAGTATAGCTAGATACCTAAGGTACCTAACAGCCTTCTGCATCTCTTAGGTAAGATAATCGAGTCCGTGGGTACCTACATCAATGCATTACATGTAGGTACACGACATAGATGTATGCAACTCCATAAGGAACATGTTGTACGATTGAAGAAGAAAAAAAGATGCATTCAAATGTTCAAATGTTCAGATGCTCAAATGCTCAAATTTGCATGTGCGTATGACATTTATCTCTATAGCTCGTATTTGGATACCTCATGTTTGGTTGAGGCTATGAGTTTAATTTTACTCAAGAATAGGAGATAGGAGAAGACAGATATCAACGGCAACAATAACAACAATCAGGGGCAAAATACATCACTCTTGAACGAAAACTAGCTGCAGATGGTAGACCGCTAGATAAGAAATATTGGGAGAGAACAAAAAAAAGGAAGTTTTATTCAAATTTCTTCCTGTAAAGACCGGTTGGTATCAGATGCACCCGCAAAGACGCCGTATAACACACACTATAAAAGAAGACAATTATTATCATACACATTAATTAACCATTAGTTATATACATATCATCTATTCCTCTTCCTCGACCACCTGCTTCTGAGCAATGTAAAAGCGGTCACCACCCTTTTCATCCCTCTCATGCTCCAGCGCAACCTTACTTAGATGTGTAAGGATATTCTCCATCATGGTATCCTGGGCCGATCTCTTCTTGCGGCCGAGGTCGTTGAGACTCTGCATACGAGTCATCATCTGGTAGATGATAGCAATAACAATGACACACGCAATTGAGTATATCCAGACGACAACGATAGTCAAGATATCCGTAGCGCCGTTCTCAGACAGCTTAGCAGAGAGCGTCACCGGGCTGGACGGTTCACCCTGGCCGCCCGAGAACCAGCCGAAGCCAGCGAAGAGAGACGCAAGGATATCGACCCCGAAAATCGCGCTGACTAGTTGCCACGAAGGATATGTCTCGAAGCCACGTGTGACGAAGATAAGCCAGTTCTCCGTAAGCGATACCTGGAGGAAGATGATCTCCTGCACGCTGCCATATTCCTGGATAACGCCACCAGGGAGCCAGAGCGTGCCGCGGAGGATCCAGGTACCCAGAGCAAGTAGAGAGCCGAGGACAACACTTATGATCCAGATCTTAGGTAGTTGCCATTCCACCGGTCGCTTTTCGTAGTGAGCAGTATCGTAAGCAACGGCAATAGTAGCTAAATCGGCGAATAGAGCCAAGAAAACAATTAGGTCCGCACGAATGGTCTCATTGATGATGATCATAGTGGTAACCAAGTAGATCTCAAGATGCAAGCAGAGAGCAATACGGTATTGGATGTAAGCCTTCATGCGCTGGAAAATTTGTCGAGAGATCTTAATAGCTGAGACGATAGTGCTAAGACCTGGCGCAAGGAACACAATATCAGCAGCGGCCTGGGCAGCCTCGGTAGCGCCTTCGACGGCGATACCACAATCCGATTTCTTTAATGACGGCGCGTCGTTGACACCATCACCAGTCATAGCCGTCAAGTGACCTCGCTGCTGAAGCATTTCAACTACCTGGTATTTGTGCTCAGGGAATACCTCAGCAAAACCGTCAGCCCTCTCGCAGAGGTCGTGGATTGCGGTACCAGCCATATCACTGTGTAGTAGCTTATCAGAGTTGTAGACTTTCGTGCCTAGAGCAAGCATGCGGCAAGTCTCCTTAGCAATAGCAATAGCGTCGCCAGTAAGCATCTTAACAGATAGACCAAGAGCCTGAGCCTCGGCAATAGTCTGGGCGGTGTCGGAACGGGGAGGGTCGAAAAGAGAAATCATGCCGAGCATTTCCCATGGGCCGTCTTCCTCCTGAACAGCGACAGCAAGAGAACGGAAACCACGACGAGCGAATTCAGTAGCCTTTTCCTTAAAAAGAGCAGTTTGCTCTTCGTTGCAGTTCGTTAATGCTAGAACAGCCTTGGGCGCACCCTTAGCACACGTATACCGAATAGGACGTGAATTCGAACCAGCATCTTTCGCATGGTAAGTGCATACAGCAGTGATCCTCTTAGAGACGGGGTCGAAGGGGGTAAACTTCTCAGTCTTCCAACCCTCGCTAATCATCTCCTTCGCCTTAGGGTAACGGTTGAGAGTAAGGATGGTGATTTTGTCAATAGGGTCGAGGGCTTTGATGTTGTGAGACGAAGCCAAAGCGGCGACGGCCATCATCCAGTTGATGTCAACACCTTCCATAACGAAGGGTTCTCGGACGGAAAGCTGGTTGGCCGTTAGGGTACCAGTCTTGTCGGAACAGAGAATGTCGACGCCAGCGAGCGACTCAATAGCTGTCAGCTTCTGTACGATGGCCTTTTCCTTAGCAAGATATGCGGCACCAACAGCCAAGGTAGTGGTAGTAACGACGGGCAAACCAACGGGGACACCGATGATTAGTAGAATTAGCGCATAGGTCAACAGGTTGTTTGAGCTCTCCTCTGGGGAGACGATGTGGAGGTTGCGATAGAATCCACCAATCCAGGCAGTGAGAATCCAGAAGACAACCAAAACGAGCAGCGTAGTACCGATAGAGTCCATGATAGCCTTGAAGTGACCGGAGTCCTTAGCTCCTTGAACAAGACTAGCAGTCTTTCCCACGAACGAGGCTTGTGCGCCAGAGGTGACAACGGCGTATGCCTTGCCACGCTTGCAACCAGTAGTGTAGTAGACGGTATCGGTCATGTACTTGTCAACAGCAAGAGATTCACCGGTGATAGCACTCTGGTCGATAGCAACGATCGCGTGGCCTACATGGGGAGTTCCCTCCTCTTCAGCTTCTTCGAATTTCTCCCGATGCGGCGATGTGACATCTTGAGCTGAAAGTTCCGCTTGATACTGAGCCTGTCCGTTGGGGTTGTCATATTCGCAGATGAGACGAGCGTCACCCGCGACGACATAACCTTCTTCGATGATAATCTAACATAATTAGCTGTGTTGAGCTCCCGAAAGGATTGCGAAATAGAACTTACGACATCGCCCGGTACTAGCTCCCTAGCCCTGATCTCCTGCTCTTGGCCGTCACGGACGACACGTGCCTTCATAGCAATATCTCCCTTTAGACTGGCGACAACGTCGGCAGCCTGCTTTTCCTGGTACCAACCGACGACAGCATTCAGTAGCAAAATACCAATAATGATGCCACCATCAAGCCAGTCTTCCATAGCCAGAGCAATGATAACAGCAACTTCCATCACTATTGAGTATGTTAGTTGGTGAACACGTATAAGCAATTAGCAACATAGCACGAACCGTATAAGACAGGGCCGCGGAAGAAACCGATGAACTTGATCAACATGTTCTCCTTCTCGGTTGACAACTCATTCCATCCAGAGTATTTCCGTCTCCGTTCGACTTCCATCGACGAGAGACCCTCTTTGATGTCTGTGTTCAACCAGTCACCCGGCGTCTCAAAGTCACTCAGAGACGCGCGAGCATAACCACTCTTGCCACCTCTCCAGAATGCCCACCATGGCCTCTTCTGGTCTTGTTCGGAAAAGTCTTCCTCCCCCGCTTCCGCACGTGGATCTCTGTACGTATCGACATAACGAATCAAGCTGATAAACAAGTTAGTCGACAGTAAATACATTGTTTTCTTCTTACAAAGGTACTCACGCTCTGTACTCGTCCAAGTACGGGTTGTCGCCGTGATTGTTGTTGTCGACCGCATTATTCCTTTGGTCTTCAGTCAAGAAACTCCCCGCCTCTAGGTCCTGTTCGGTTGACGACCCATCGAGTGTAGAATCGATATAGCCAGACGGAGCTACCTCCTTATGATGGCTGAAAACATCCATCTTCTTGAAATTGGGTGCCATTATGACCCTCGGTACAGCCCAGCTGTATTGAAGAGAATAAACTGAAAAGGAGGAAGGAAAAAAGAGATATGCGGAAGGCGAGGGAGGGAAGAGAGGATGAAAGCGGTGGGAGTGACAGACCAGGCCAAAACTCTATTCCGAAGAGTTGAGGACGAGCCTCTACTTATACAACTCCCCAGTGGGCGGAAAAGAAAACGGCACCGGCGACCATAGCGAAACTCTTGGCCGGTTAACTTAGTTAACTCTGAAGCAGCCCCGGGAGACACCATTTTGCAAGGAAAATGATCCACAAACAAGCTATGAAGATACCAAAACTACCCTATTTAGTCCGAAGCGGCAATCTGAAGCTTGTCATGAAAGTAGCTACTAAGATTTCCATCCACAATGAAGCTTTGATATCAGACGAATTGACCTATCACAGGCCGAGTAAGTGTTGTATTAGTGGTAGGGGTCTCTCTGACAAAAAGGTCCGTGAGATAATGTCGATCCGTTTCGAGTCGACCGTTGTAGCTACGTCGATATAATTGGACGGTAGCATTTAGCCCAGACACGGCCAAATACCGCGGCTACGAAAATGCCTCACCGGACGCGGTTCGTTAGTGATCGATCTCATACGCGAGTCTGGGGTTATCGTAGAGACGTACGGATCCGTACACACGTAGTCCCTTGCCGCGGTTTCAGCACTGACCAGAGATGAAACCGCCGGTCGATGAACTTGGAAGTGCAGCACGTGATGAATTATACTATGTATCTATGGATCTATCATCCAGTCATCCTGGCGTTGAGCAAACAAACAATAATGTGTTGAAACAGAAACAAATCAGTAGCCAAGCTATCGGGGTATCTTCTCACGGCGCTCCCGTCTCGGCCCTCCAGAAAATACCAGTGCCAAGAAGAGTCCTATCAGAGATCATCGCTTCTGGAAATAGCTAAGACAAGACGGAAACAATACGAAGAGATATAACTAGTTACTATTAATAACTTGCACTTGGCGTTTACTGTAAGTCAGTCTCGTCGTTACTAAGGTTTGTACATACCTAGTATGTATATGTTGATCGATGAAGCGAATAGGTCAATAACGATCAAATCCTAAGTTATTAAAATATCAACTAGTTAAACGAGATACGACGATACCTTAAAGCTTAAGGCTTGTGTTAAGCCTCTCGGAGATGAATCTCAACGTCATCTCTAGTTACGGGCCTTTTCAACAACAAGGGATGGGCTATAATAACGGGGACCACCAGAACGACCTAACCTAGTCTATCGCACCTATATAGTAGTATGCGGATCTTATCGGAATCCTTGAAACCCCACGGGAAAAGAAGCCTCACATCGTCTAGCTCGCCTAGGGTTGCGATAAGATGTCAGGATGTCTAATTGGTAAGAGATTGCTGTGGCACCTTCATCCAAGCCTCGTTACTAACCTTATGGCGATAGTAATTCGTACCTATTTTCATACTAAAACCGATGAAACTTGAGAACATCAAATGGCTACTTACTCCGCAACGAGCAAGCCAAGTAGTAGTAGTAGTAGTATTGTTATTCGCTGGCGTATGTAAAGAGAGTGTGCCATATGTAGGAGACTTGAGTCTGAGAAGCACAGATGAAAGTCGCACCAGTTATATTGAAGTCGAAGTCGTAGGGGTTCTCTTGGCCAAAACTCTTGGCTTTAGTGGTGCGGCGACCACGGTATTGACCAATTGGAATAAGCTCAATGAGCCAGCCGGTGCCAAGAATGTCGACAGCCTCAGCGACAAAAGCTTGGTTCGTCTACACTACCTAGTCGACTTCAGAAATGCGTGAATTGGGATGAAATTCTTCGAATCGACTTGTGGGGGTTTGGAGACGCGCGTGAGCTTTGCGCATTCACCCAATAATGGTAGATTATCTACCCTGTCTGCTTGTACCCCCTAGCAATCCAATCTCAACTGCCGGAGAATGATTACGCAGTGGTAAAAGGGGAAGGGTTTTGCTAAGGACAGCGATTGAGATGAACCACAAGGAGGTAAAAGTTGCATAGTTTTTATGTAACAGTTTTTATGTAACTAAGCAAAAAGATGCTAGATTAGGTACTTTGGTACTTCCAAAAGACCTGTCCAAGGTACGAAGTAAAATAGTTGTTCCAAGTTCCGTTGTCAATGATAAGATAAGGAATTATTTTTCTGGACCCACTTAGACTATCAATCTACTCTGCTGAACAGCTGAAGTGGATGGGTTATCACTGCAGACGCCAACCATTACAACTTCAAAATCTCTTATTTGCTACTATAAATCCAATATTATGAAGCGCAAGTTAGACGAGAATGATGCGCCGGTTTCCACCGCCACCGCCAGCGCTGAAACACCGAGCGCCGGTATAACCACCACATTCGCAGACTTCGGCCTCGACAGCAGACTCCTTCAAGCCACAGCCCGCCAAAACTGGCATACGCCAACCTTGGTTCAAAGCAAGGCCATACCGCTGGCTATCGATGGTTGTGATGTACTGGCAAAGGCTAAGACAGGCTCGGGGAAGACTGCCGCTTATACCCTACCCATTCTCCAAGCTATCCTTAAGCGCAAACAGGTATGAATGAACATGATCTACTTCAGGTCAGATTAGATATGACAGGATGGGACTAATTCCAGGCTAGATCTCATCAGATTCCTATACGGCCGCTCTTATCCTAGTCCCAACGAACGAATTGGTAACACAAGTCGCTAAAGTACTCGAATCTCTTACTTCGTATTGCTCTAGAGAGATCAAGGTCTCCAAGCTCTCCGATAAACTTTCCGATGCTGCCCAGCGCGCCGTCCTCTCAGATTCGCCCGATATAGTCGTTGCGACACCTGCGAGAACATGGCACAACATCAAAAATTCCGCTCTGTCCGTGGAGAAACTTACACACTTAGTCTTAGACGAGGCGGATCTTGTATTATCATACGGTTACGATGAAGACCTACAAAATGTCGCCTCTTCGCTACCAAAGGGATTACAGACAACTCTCATGAGCGCGACGCTCACACCGGAAGTTGACACACTAAAGGGGCTTTTCTGTCGAAATCCGACAGTTCTAGATTTAATTGAGCCTGATGAAGATGGGGGTGGTGTTTCGCAATTTGTTGTCAAGTATGGTTGTGCATCTCCTATCTTAAATCACAATGCTAACAGGATGTATAGGTGCGGCGAGGACGAAAAATTTCTCCTTATTTATTGCATGGTAAAGCTAGAATTGGTTAAAGGCAAGGCAATTATATTTGTCAGTGACGTCGACCGATGCTATCGACTCAAATTGTTCTTTGAGCAATTCGGAATACGGAGTTGTCTCTTGAATTCCGAGCTACCAGTTAACTGTCGAATCCATGCTGTTGAGGAGTTCAATAGGGGAGTTTACAATATAATTATTGCCTCGGACGAAAATGAGGTGGTAGGCGAGGAAAAGGACCAACTTGAATCAACCAGTGAAGAGGCCTCTGGTAATGCTCGTGGAGATGCCACCAGTGAAGTGCCGGAAAACAGCGAAGAGAGCAAGGCTATTGCTCCGACTCCAAAGAAACGCAAATCTTCACGACGTGATAAGAATTACGGAATATCTCGAGGAATCGACTTCAAGAATGTTGCAGTCGTCATAAACTTCGATTTACCGTTGTCATCTCGCTCGTATCTGCACAGGATAGGGCGGACTGCGCGCGCAGGGCAAACGGGCATGGCATTATCCTTTGTTGTCCCCAAAGACAAATTCCGGAAGCACATGCCTACCAGCGTTGAGACAGCAGAAAATGACGAGAAGGTGTTATCTAGGATTATCAAGCAGCAGGCTAAGAGAGGTCAGGAAGTCAAACCTTACAATTTCGACATGAAGGCCGTGGAGGCATTCCGCTACCGAATGAATGATGCGCTAAGAGCCGTCACAAAAGTAGCTATCAGAGAAGCGCGTCTACGAGAGCTAAAGCAAGAGTTGCTCAAGAGCGAAAGCTTGAAGCGCCACTTCGAGGAGAATCCTCTGGAGGTGCGTCATCTTCGCCATGACGTTGAACTTCGAACAACAAGAAGCCAGCCCCATCTCAAGCATGTCCCCGATTACCTCTTGCCAAAGGATGGGAAGAAAGCAATCACCCCCAACGAGGTTGGATTCGTACCGTTTAAGAAGGTACTTGATGGGAAGGGGAGGAGAGGCCGAATTTCAAAAGGCAGGGGTAGGAGGATAACTGGTCGCAAGAACGATCCCCTGAGATCGTTTAAGGCAAGATCAAAGGCCAAGTAGGTAGTAGGGCTGTTTTGTTCCTTCTTAGCTAGAAGTAGTAGTCTCATACTCGTAGATACCCACAGCCCTCATAATCAATCTAGCAATAGCGACTAAACGTGCCTCCCCTGCGAACATCCTCCCTAGTCTATATTACAACGCAGCAACTTCGACCTTCGTTATAAGAAGGTGTGTTCGATGTGCTTTCCTCGATCAAAGCCGTCTACCTAGCGTCGGCATTGACCAGGAGAGTATGTAATTCTCTAGGCAGGTAAGGGCTAGGGATGCTATACAAGAAGTGGAGGATCTCATGCCAGGCGAAATTCTAGCTCTGTCTCCCTTGGAGGTAGTTGAATGATGTCGCCACACCAGATGACGACCTACGACAGGTCAATGCAGAAGCTTACCATCGTCGCAGAGCTACAAAACAGGATACCTATTGATTTTGATCAGCATGAGCGATCAAGCACGCCTACCGAGAGCGAAATCAGTGACAATGCTACCGAGAATGCTCCTACCGCTATGAATGCCTTTGCCTCTATAAATGTCCCTGCCTCTAAAAATGTTCCTGCCGCTATGAAAGTTCCTGCCGTTGCGAGAATTCCTACCCCTACCCCAACTATCGTAGACCCGGTCGTCGCAGACAAAGCCGCTGGCCCAGCACCTATTACGTCGAAAGATAAACGTGGTTGCGTGTCCACAAAAGCCGAGCTAGATGGAAGAGGACCCTATCTATACAAATGGGAATATGTATTATTCTCTACGACCAACGACCCTCCAGAGCTGCCTGGTACATTCGTGAATCGTGAACAAGCCAATGCCAAACTGGCTGAAATAATGCACCACGATGACACCAAAGGTGGCATGGCCGCCCTAACCCGCAGCGTCGTCTATGAATATACCCCATCCAAATTACTCAAAGTCACGCGCACGCTGACCAACGGCGAAGAGCGCGTCCTATGGGTCGAGAGGCGTCTTGTGAATCTCCAGCACGACCTCACCAAGAAGGAGCGCGCGCTCAAGAAGTGGTCTGCCAATAGGCCCAAGCTACCCCTCTATATCGTGGAGTGCGAATTCATGACGCGAACGACCACGGAAACACCCCAGCAGGTCCTCGGAGAGGAGAGCGATGATGGCTCGATTCCCGCCGTGCTGCCTCACGAGCAAGTAGGCGCTTTCAGCGGCGAAATCGAACTGTACCGTCTACCGCTAGTCATATTCACGGAGAGAGAGCTAGCCAACGAACACGCTCGCACTCTGTTCCTTGAACACTCGAGGATTAAGGAGGAGATCCGACGGCCGATAGATGATTATTGGTGGGCTCAGCACGCGGTGGTTATTCACGAGGAAGCAGACAAGGCGGCGAGAATGCCTGATGCGCTGTATGTCGCGGAGATGTACACGCACGATATGAATACGAGGCTGGGTTTTGACATGATTAGGGTGGCGGTGCATGCGGTGGATGATGTGAATGGGCCGTTGAATACCTAGAAGGCATCATGCTTGTGCTAGACGGGCCAAGAGCTTCAACGGGGAGGGGTTTCGCGGTGGTTTGCAGATAGGAGGCAATGCTAGGGTTATGGGCAATATGGGTTGATTTAAAGCTGAGTTCTTCCCGGGATTAGAAATGAGTTAATAGTTGGAAATTCATGATTTTACGGAAAATAAGGCCCGAAACGAATATTGAAATGATTAAATGCGTCGTCGAAAAAGAATTTAGGGATATTGCATCTTTTAGTAAAGTCAATATGTATAGGTATTTAGTCGAGCCCTACTGCGAGGCTGTCTGTCAATGCATCGTATCGCCGGAACTTGCTATAATACAATAGTAACTACACAATACAATGCCGGTATGTTTCGCCCATAGGCATACCGTTATTATCGAGGCTGCTCCTGATGCTTGGCCTTCTTGGGACTCTCATTAGTCTTTCAATCGCGATCATTATTGCATCGTTTTGAGGAAGCCGTCTAAATCAAAGCTTTCCTCGTACTGGCGGTTATCCCAGAGTTCTCCTAGGTCATCTGCCCATGCTTTCTTGCCTGGTGCTCTCACGTCTCCCGTTTCAACATCCACCATATCCTCTTCTCGTCCTTCGATAGCGCCTTGAGGTTTATCTGATATCAGGTTCGGTCCTGAATCACCCAGGCTGAAGAGGTCTAATATTTGGTCCGTGTCCATGGTTCCCTTGAGAGCAAATTAGTACGATTTTTCGGCGTGGCACATGAGCGACGTTACTTACCAAGCCGGCATTCTGTTGGTTCACTACGGTAGATGCCACATCTATCTTGAATGCTTGAAGGCTATATCCAGCAATTAGTACGTGTTTATTAAATTAAGCGCGGATATATGTGTTAAGTACTTACCTCAGAATCTTCTCTTCCAGTGTGCCTCTCGTAATCAACCGATAAACATTGACAACTTTCTTCTGCCCGATTCGGTGAGCACGGTCCATGGCTTGGAGATCTCGTTGAGGATTCCAGTCATGCTCGACAAAGATGACAGTATCCGCTCCTGTAAGGTTGAGACCTAAGCCACCAACGCTAGTGGTGAGTAGTAAACAGTCGTAGGAGGGATCCTTGTTGAATTTATTAACGATATCCTGCCGCTTATTCGCCTCAACAGAGCCGTCGAGTCGTAGATACGAAACAGAAGGAAGCATGCGCTTCAATACTGTATTCTGGACCATGTCAAGCATTTCTTTCATCTGACAGAAAATCAACGCGCGATGCGGCTTTATAGGCTGGTAGAGAGGATCGTTCGCATCGGTACCTTCAATTCCAATGCCGCAATCAACCAACAGGTCTTTCAGAGCGGTCAGCTTGGGAGCGTGTACCGGGTCGTCTATGCTAGTTCCTTGTTTCACAAGGAAGCGCTGGGTATCGTCGTAAAGTTTGTTGCTCGGTGTCATAACAAGTGCCGGAGAGTTACATAGCTTTCGCATGTACTGCAGAGCTTGGAAGATGTGCTGCTTGGCTTCTTTGTCGTCACGGCCAGCTTCCTCCGTGAGCTTCTTACTCTGTTTCTTGGTGAAGTCTTCGAATAGTTTCCTTTGCAGGTCGCTAAGATCACAGTAGTAGTTTTGGAGAATCTTGGGGGGCAGATCGTCAAGAACTTCCTCTTTCAAACGACGAAGTAAGAATGGCAGGACTTGTTTGTGTAGAGCTTCGATCGCTAGAGCCCCGGCTTCTTGTTCCTTGGAAGAAGCTTTACTGAAGCGACTAGCGGCTATCGGCTTAGCAAATCGATCCAAGAACACCTTTTCGGCTCCAAGGAATCCCGGCATTAAAAAGTCGAAGAGTGACCAGAGCTCTAGGACGTTGTTCTGAATCGGTGTGCCGGTTAGGATTAATCGATGATTACTGGCGAGTCTCTTCACGGCAAGGGTGATCTTCGCTTTGGGGTTTTTAATCAAGTGACCTTCATCAAGAACAATGTAATTCCAGCTCTGCTTCTCAAGATAGTCAGTATCGTTGCGACAAACTTCATATGAAGTAATGACGACGTCTGTCGAGGCGAACTGAGCTGCCTTGGCCCTTCTTTCGGCAGGAGGTCCAACGAAAGCGGTGACGTTCAGGAAAGGAGCGAACGTCTTTAATTCCTGTTGCCAATGTCCCGAGAGCGTTGGTGGACAGACAATAAGGGATGGGAGCTTTCGCACGTCTGGAGCACCGGTCTTTTTGAATTCTTCTGCTCTGTTGTAATGATCACTCGCGACGATACAAAGGGTCTGAAGCGTTTTCCCAAGCCCCATATCATCGCAGAGAATACCGTGAAGGTGGTACCTGTTTAGGAAATGAAGCCAATTGACACCCTCTTGTTGGTATGAACGCAACTCAGCATTGATTGCAACTGGTATTTTGAACGGCTCAACCTTTTTGGGGTCAAGGAGCTGTGCGATAAATGTTCTCTCGCGGTCTCTACCCTTTAGTAGCTCTTCAGAGAGGCCAGGTGGATCAGGGATGCCAGCTTCGAGGGGTACCAGTTTAACCAACGTAGCGAAGGACGTAGTTGCGATCAGGCGAATATCGTTGTCCGAGTCGCTCATACGACCTAAAACAGGTACGATGAGGAAAATTACGTAAGGGAGGATGCCGTCGCCCATAACGGCAATCAGGTGATAAATAGCTTCTATCGCGCCTTGACGGAACTGTAGATCTATAGGGTTGTTAATAGAAGGCAGCACTTTCTCCACGAGGGCAGTCATGCCCTCTACGGTGATGACACTGCAGATAGTGGCCAAGCATTTTGCAGCCATGTATCGAAATATGGATAATTCTGAATGGAGTGACTTGATGACAAGTGGTACTTGTTGCATTATGAATGGGTGAAGGGCTTTGTCTAACGTCGGTGTCATGGTCCGGATAACCGACATAGCATCTACAATTTCCTGCCCGAACAGATCCTCAGGATCCTTGGCTTCGGCAGGCAGTTCGCCTGAAAATGCTTTCGTCAAAGGTTCTTCCATAAAAGCCCTCAAGCTCGGGACTGTAGTAAACAGATCTGCACCAAACGTGCGAGAGAGAATCTCAAGAGCTTCTTTCGCTCCCCGTCGGGTGATGCGAGCACCTTTAGCTTCCCGAGCAAACTTAGCAGCGTCTGGCCCATGGTCAACTCTGTCTTCCTCTTTTTGCATTGATAGGATGATGTTTGTCTTCGTTGCGTGAACTGGAAACTCGGGCGTTTCGGCAACCTCAACACAAGAGAATTTGACTAGATTAGAAACGACCTTATCGGCGGGACCTCGTCGGCCTTTCTCGGTGAATAATTGGACTAGCCGGCCAATTGTGTCTGCAGAGCGAGTCTGAAGTTGCTGGTTCTCCTCTAGCTTGATGCTGTCCATGATAGCCTTAATTAGAGGGCTTGGTTTCTTGGGGAGTACTTTCATTGCTATAAGAGCGCAGGCCGCCGCGGCTCTGATACGAACGTCCCGCGTGTCTTTAACAGACTTGGCATCCTCAATCGCTTCTATGGCAGCAGCGCGAAGTTCGTTGAGCTGTTGATTAGCGATCAAGCGTTGCGCTGGTACCATAACCCTCTTTAATCTTTCGAAATCCTCATTGATGCACTTCTCAGCCGTAATGAGAGAAAAGGCTCCTGGGCCTGCTTCTGCCTCGCCTTGCACAACAACAGGAAGAGCTGGAAGTTTGTGTTGAGGCACTTTTCCATGGTCTCTGAAGAGACTCATGAGCTGTTGGCACTGTGAACGTACTCGTTGAACATAACTCACTAGATCGCGATATTGGGAAGGTCGTTCCAAATCTATGATCTTTTGCAGTTCGCCCGTATATCTCGACGTCTCGGCTTGAGATGAAACGCAGTTTCGAGCGTATTCGTCGATCACTATGCACGCCGCGAGTTGGGTAGATGAGTAAGACGATGTTAGTCCCGGGACGAGCGTGGCATCGTAGGATTCTAGATGCTGCGTAGGCACAAGCGACATGATCAACCCCATTGCTGCCGCCGCAGAAACGCGAGAGCGGACAAGGGTATCGATCCCGACTAGGTCTACATCTCCTTGCATCATGTGGCCATCGAGATCGTGTGAATGAGCGGTTGGGGGCGGATCGTCAGCTTTAGTGGATTTCTTTCGCCTCTTCGTAGCTCGCTCTCCCTCCGGCTCGGAACCCTTACGTGCGGTCGAAGGGGCGAAACCAGGCACCGAGTATGTGCCTCCGGATGGTTTAAGGAAGAGCGCACCATTCATAGGTATAGGATGCCGAGAGACTCCAACAGGATGTAGAGTAAGTTGCATAAGGGCATCAATATGCGGGGCGAATTCATGCGCCAGCTTATCTGGATTCTTCGCCAGGCATTTAACTAGAGCAGCCCACAGATCCATGGACATGCGGAGAGTCTCCTGGTCACGTTCCACGAGCATATTTTGGAATATCAATCGGAGGGTTCTTCCATCAAGCCAACCTTGGGATTCTGTGCCGAGATTGACAAACGTCATGAGAGCTTTCAAGACGGCAAGACGAACCGAGGTTATTGTATGTCGTAAGAATGGATAAAGTCGCGGAACTAATAGCGTGAAAGATCTCTCTTCATCTTGTTCGGCAGAATGCTTCATTGCTTCTAAGACCTCCGGGAAGCCGCAGAGAGTGGCTAACAGGTCCATAATCTTACCCGTGCTAGCACTAAGATCATCTCCTAAGCTGGACAGACTTTCCCACATAATGTAAATCAATTCGTCGAGTGCCCCTGGTCGAAGCTTAACGAACTCCTGGGCTATGGGGATCAAGGTGGCCGCACTGACGGATCGGACATCGTCGTCGCTGTCACCGAGACCCTTCATGACAGCTTGGACTATACCATCAATCATATCGTTGTGCTGGAGTAGCAAATCCTTTCTCACCGCAACAACATATCGCAAGCCCACCATGCCACCATGGCAGACAGCCCAGATTGGCCTGTCCAAACCAAGATCCTGCTGCATCACCATTCGAAGCAAAATTCGATAAATACTATAAACAGACGCCGGTGGCACGTGTTTTAGGAATGAGCCCAGAGTCTGACCAACGGTCTCTCGAATTGGTGCGACAGATGTGTCGGAGGCATAATCAGTGAATCTGTCCAGCATGAGCACGCAACAGAGTCGGCAGGCCATGTCATCCAACCACTTTCTGTTAAACGCATCGTTCTCAACTCTCGATTTTCCTCTCAGCCGGCCAGCTCCGGCACCGTGTACCCGTAGTATCTCTCGCAGGCCCAGTGCAGCACCATGGCGCGTTTCCCACTGCGCGTCGAATATGTCGATCTTGAGAAACTCACATAGGCGTTCGTACGGCCATTCCGACCCTTGAAGCTCGTCTTCTGTCTCGATTTCTGATTTAATGGTAACAACCGGCCCTTTAAACTCGGAGACGATCTTGGTATCCTCATCAACGTCGGCTGGTCGATTAAGACTGAAGTAGTCCGTCTTTCCGCCCTTCTTCGTATCAGCATCTGGCATAGGTGTATCGTCTAGCCCTTCTGATCCCGCGGTAAAGGAACGGCGTATGGATAAGTCACCAAAGCCACTTTTTCCTTGGGCGGCTTTTTGCGCATCTCTCTTCCGTTTTCTTTTGAGAACGTTTAGCTGTCGAGCGCTTAAACCGGACTCTTCGGCTGGTTGATTAGACCCGACACTAGCATTAGTATTAGTATCGTGACGGGCTACACCATTAGTAGGGTTAGGATCCTGCGGCGTGAAAGGGCTAGCTGATTTTTCAGCCGTGATCGGAACCTCTTCATCTTCGAATCGTCTACCCAGCAGCCCAAGCCGACCTGTGAGCGTCTTCTTTTGATGCGCGAGCCGCGCTTGAGGGTCAAGACTTGCCAGTCCGTAATCCACATTACCAGTCCTTAGCAGCTCACGACCATATTTGAGAATAATCGAGACGTCTAACGCCTCAGGCTTGAAATACTCGTCAGAGGATAACGGCGGCTCATCGTTTTCCTCCTTTTTCACGAAGTCAGGTTCGCCGCTGGCCTCTTCCTTCTTCGCTATAGTAGGATCTTCATCCTCATTAGGATCATAAAAGGGAGCGTTCTCGATAATTTTACCAAGAGCCTTAGCCGCAGTAGCTCGAGTGTCCCAGTCCTTGTGACGAAGGTAAGGTACAACTCTAGATAGTAGGTTGAAGAGTTCCTCAGGGTGTTGCTTTTGCCAATCAGCTAATTGGTTGACGGCAGTATCTTTGATTAACTTCGTGCTGCCTGTCTCGAGGATCCTACAAAGAGTCAGTAACTGAATGCACAGGGCAACAAATGACAAAGCTCATTGATCTGACTGTCCCAGTTGACCCTTGGCCGGATGAGCGAGTTCATTAAAGCGTCAATAAACAAGGCGAATGAGGATATATCCGAGCTTCAATAGTAGCTCCCCTCCTTACCGACTGGACATAGGTAGGGCGAGGAACAAACAAGTAATTACTTACGTAACGAGACGGTCAAGCCTGTAATACGTTCTATGGGTCAGCCTGTGTTCCGTAACTCACGCTGTGAGAGGGTAGATGGGACTCACCTTGACGCCATTTTCGTAAGTCACGCCTAGGCTACAATGCCAATACCTGGCAGAGATTCAATTCATAATAACGATCTGCAAGCGTTGATTAGTATGGTGTTCCCGTTAGTGAACAGTAAAATATTTAACGTTAGTATATGGGAAAGTAATAGTTGAGAGGTTGAATGTTGGATGTTGGATGCAAGACTTCGTGTCTTGAACATGCACATGCATTGTAAATCGAGTACAAATAAAGAGGCTATTGTGATTTTGGGCTTGCTACCTGAGCAAGGTAGCCAGTAGTTCTACTACAACTTCTGTTGCATCTGCTGCATCTCTTGTTTCCTACGCCACTAAGCCTCGAAAAAAACCGAAACAATCACAGTGCATCCCCAGGAATATTGGTTTGAAGCAAACACTTGTTCTTTCTTATTAGTCCAAAAGCACTCTCGACGTCGACAGGAACCGTAACCAAATTAAAGTCACAGTCCTTTCTATACGCGATGATGGCTTATATGAGAGGATGGGGAGATGACTGGATGATTAGGATAGAAAATAATAGGACTAAAGTCCAATGAGAAAATGAGAAAACCAATAAGAGAAGAATGCACAATAGTGAAGTATGCAAGGGTGTGTAACGACAGTGTGTAATCAAGAACTGAGAGTGAAAGAAATATATGGGTCAAAATAGGAAAGGCACATACCCTGCAGGTAGTATCGCGATGCTAACGATCAGCGATGCGGCAGCTAAGTTCGTTCGTTGTAGTAAGTAAAACGGGCGAACGATGAAATAATTAAAAGTAAAAATTCGACCAAGCCGCACACGTTTAACTATAAACCGAGAATAACGCTGAAATAAGTCGCGTTGTAGAAATTATTTCTGGTTATGACGGCTGTTTGAAGTTTTGGCAACCGAAATAATTAGGTACCTTAGAGAGGCTCTAAAGATTGGTAGTTGCTATGTGGTGGCGCGTGCACGCCTTTGATTGACTTTGGCTGCTTAGGAAGGTTGGGCGGACTGAGGCGGCCGGGGTCTGTGGTGCCTGTCAGAAAAATATGGCGGGATGTGCAGCAGCAAGTCGTCGCAGATGAGGGCACCGGCTTCCTTAATATTCCTGTATGTATGGATACTTTTATACACGTTTTGATCTGCCTTGGGGGCCCCTGCTGGTCTGAGCTCCAACCATTAGATAGCCACCTTTCCTAATTTGGTAGTCACTACCAGCTGTCAGCAGCTGAGTCGACTTGAGTCAAGCCTGATACCTGTAACCTAGCCTTGAATAAGCTCAAGTCCACGCGTTGAACCTTTCACTTTGAAAGACATGTATTCCACCTTCCTACCAAAAGTTGTTCTGTATTACAGCATTATGATGGCTACAAGCGGCCTCGTTTTGTGAAGATCCCCTTTGGGATAATTTAGTTTTAGAATGCAGCATTACACAAAATGCTAGACTATACCTATTCCCAGTTGCGAAACCTTCTTAGAAAAGTACATATGTATGTAGAGGACATCATGCAAAAGCTGTGCCTTCTGGTACCTCAATACAAGGACTCGTGATACACTATCACTATGATGATATGTATCGGAATGAGTCTCGTAGTATTGATTGATTAATTAGGTAAAAGGAAAGGAATCTATCTAGGAAGCTATTTACAATTTTGTATGCATTCCTTACTCGTGGACCTGTGGGTCCTTACGAGTAGTGGTCCGTGCCCAGTGGTGACGGATCCACATTATCCTCCTCCTCATCAGATGATTGTCCTCAATCATCACGATACCTCATATTAATCTAATCGCTCCTGTAGGCGTTGCCTATCTTGGTCCAACAGCCTCTTACTAGCGTACCACATACTGCGGACCGGGTGTCCGTCTTGAATATAGGCGGGGAATAAGTTGGTGCCATTGTATTTGTTCTGCAACTGTATTCCTCCGGGACTCCGTATTTTATAAGTGTTGCCAGCGTGACAACTAGCAATAGTCCAGGGGCCATCGTAATACGGTTCGTGTTTGGCTGTTCTTTGTCTTACGCGTAATACCCAGTCTCCAGGTGCGTAGGTCCTGATCAGACCTTTCTTTTCCTGCAGATAGGCGCGTATTTGGTCTTTTACAGACCTGGCGCTATTGAAGTTGCCACGGGCTAACGGTGCCTCGTGCTGTGTAGCTAGTTGCTTTGCGAATAACATCTCTTCCTCTTCCGTCGCTTCGCGAGTGTATTCGCTGTATTCGGTCGGTTGTTGTTCTTGTGGGGGTTGCGTGCCGAACATCAAGTAGAAACTGCTGTATCCTCCTTGTTTAGGAGTGCGATTGTGAATTGTCAGCGCTCTTCTCAGTAATTCGAGGAAATTCGCTTGGGGATTTGCTTGGTGTTCACGTAGCATGATCTTTTTAATGTCTCCATTGGCCTTCTCCACCTTGCCGTTTCCTCTCGGTCGTAATGGCGTGGAGTGTTTGATTGTCGAGCCGTGTTCCTGAGCCCATTTATTCGCGTCTGCGCTTATAAACGATCCTCCGTTGTCGCTAATCCACTCTTTCGGGTAGCCGTATGTGTTGCCTATGTACGAAAGTAGTTGCAAACACTCGTTGAACGACGTGGTGTGTACGGGGCAGGCCTCAACCCATCCCGTGGCGTATTCCACAGCTACCAGTAAAGTGTACGTATTGATCGACGTATGGTCGATCGCCCATCGCGTTAGCGGTGTTGGCGGTTGAATTGGCTGAAGATCGGGCAGTAAAGGGTCTGGCTTCTTCATCAGTTGGCAGCTAGGGCATTCAACTATGACCCGTTGTGCCGCTAGTGTTATTTCTGGGTGCCAATACTGTTTCAGCGCTTCCTTGAGTATCACTCCGATAGTTGCGTGGCCTCGATCATGGTGAATACCGCGTACTCGAACAATCAGATCATCGTATTCCAGTACTTTCTGGAGAGTTACAGCTTTGTGTGCTGTTCCTGCTGCGTGAGGCGGGTCTCCGGCGGCTCTGTTGTATTCAATGACTTTGTGGAGGTTCCCTTTGTGTATAATGAAATGATCTTTTACCCATTCTTCCTCGATAGCGATCGGGAGCGTGGTTCCGAATTGTAGATATTCGTATATCGCTTGGAGGTCTATTCGGTTGAGTTCGTGGGGATGTCGAATCTTTCTTCGCGTGCTCGTTTCGTCAGCTGGGTGGCTTGAGTCGCTTGTTTCGTCGGGAGGCCTTGACAAGTAATCAGCGAGAACGTTAGCTTTGCCTGGGCGATAGATAATTCTGATGCCATAGTGTTCAATAGCATCGAGGAAACGAAGAATTCTGGCTGGCTGCTCAGACTTGTTGTTGATCGTCTTCAGTGATTCGTGGTCTGTGATCACTGTGATGTCTCCTCCTTCTACCCAGTGTCGCCAGTGCTGGAGTGCTAGCATGATTCCCAGTAGTTCTCTTTCTTGTGTTGAGTATCGTATCTGTGTTTCTGTCAATTTCTTTGAGAAATAGGCTACTGGATGGAGGACTCGCTGGTCTCCATGCATGCGTGGCTGTAAGAGAGCTGCTCCGACATATTCTTTGCTGGCGTCTGCTTCTATTATACTCGGTAGTACCCATTCGAATCGTTGTAAGACAGGCATGGTCGTGATCGCGTCACGGACTTCCTTCCAGGCTGTCTTTGCTGCTTCGTCCAGTCGAATTGGTTGATTCTTGAGTCTCCCTGATATTGATGATAGTGGTCCAGATATCATCGAGTAATCTTTGATGAGATTTCGGAAGTATCCAGCTGCGTGAACGAAAGACTTGATCTCTGTTGATGTTTTTGGCATAGGTCGGTCTCTGATTGCTGCGACCTTTGCTGGATCGGCTTCGATTCCCTTTTCTGATATGATGAATCCCAGGAATATACCTTGTCTGACAAACATTTGTGTCTTGCCTGCGTTCAAGATCATGCCGTATTCAACTAACTGTTTGAATACCATCATGACTCGTTCGTGTAGTTGTTCGTCAGTGTCGGCCCAAATGCAGATGTCGTCCAGCAGTCCTGCTACAAATTCTCGGAATGGTTCCAAGATTTCGTCTATCACTGCTTGGAATGTTGCTGGTGCATTTGTTAATCCGAAGGGCATAACGAGCCATTCGTAGAGTCCGAATGGTGTCACGAAAGCTGTTTTCTCGCGGTGTCCTGGCTTGATTCTGATGTGCCAAAATCCATCTTTCAGATCAATGAACACGTACCATCTGTGTCCGGCTGCTCTCTGGATTTGGTCCCAGACATTAGGTAGCGGATGTGCGTTCTTTTTGGTACGCTTATTCAGTTCTCTGTAATCGCAGCAAAAGCGCCAGATGACTTTAGGGTCGTACTTGTCGGGTTTGGTTGTCTGGCCTGGTGCTTTCTTGGGTGTCAACAGTGATGGTGATCCCCAAGGGCTTTTGCTTTTCTGTAGAATTTTGCCTTCGTGAGCCTTGATGAAATCTCGCAATGCTTGTTCCTGGTGTGGGCTGTATCGTCTTGGAGGTTGTTTGATTGGTGGGTTGTCCTCCGTGTCGATCTCGTGTTCAGTCTTCAGCTTCGCGTTCGTTCGTCTCTTCGCTTTGTCGAACAGTTCGGGGAATTGTTGTTCGTATATTAGCAGATACTTGTTGATTTTCGGGTTGTCTTTAGGCGTGTCCTTGTGCCATTTGACTTTTAACGAAGTATCTGTTGGTACGGTGGTTATCTTGAAGATAGTCTCTTTGTCTGTTGAGAGGCAGGTCGGAGGGTCTTTTATTGGTTTCAGTACCGGTTCACCGATGAATTTCTTCAGTTGTATTGTTTCATCGGATGGGGTTCCTTCGCAGTGTACTCCCCATTTGTGAAAAATACTTCGTCCCAAGGTTAAATCTCCAGGGAATGTTCCATCCGGGACTATTCCTGCTGTGACGGCGAAGGTTGCGCTGTAGCCGTCTATTGTTTTGAACCTTGCGTGAACGATTGTATCTTGTCTGATTCTAGGTCCGGTTCCTCCGATTCCTGACATGGTAGACTGTCTTCGTGATTGGTATTTCTTCATGTCTTTGGCTAGTGTTTCTGAGACATAGCAAGCGCCACAGCCGTAGTCAAAGAAGACTGTAAAGTCTCGATTGTCGTAGGTTTGCGCTTCGAAGGTGTTGTGGTCTTGTCCACAGCCTTCTCGAAGAGGCTTGTCTCGAAACGGTAATGGTCTTTTGCCTCCATCCACTTCGACCCAGTGGATGCGGCTGTCCTATTCGTCCTCTTTGTCCGCGAGATATTGTCCGAAAATATCTTCGAGGGCTTGGTCGAGGGTCTCGTCGTCTAGTTCTGATGCGCGTTCCTCTGTGTCGTTGTCATCGTCTTCGTCGTCGGCGAAGTGGACTCGCTTGTCGTTCTTGTTCTTCCACTTGTTGACAGCTCCTTTGAATTTCTTTGTGAAATTCGTCTTGTTGTCTTTAAAGAGTGTGCCTTTGATGGTGATCTTCTCACCGTTAGAGGGTGACTTACGGGAGAACTGTGTTTTCTTCCTACAGTCCTTGGCCCAGTGGCCTTTTTTACCGCAGTTAAAACATTCGCCATCTGATGTTTTGGCTGCGTAGCCGTGTTCATCTGTCATGCTGACTTGGCGGTCATCATCTCGAGGGTCGGATATAGATGATTGTTTTGCGGCGTCTGGCACTGTTCTTCTCGCGTCTTCTGGCGCGATCTCTGCTTTTCCGGGGTGATCGGGTGTAGCTTCACCTATTTTCATGTGATAGAATGGTGCTGCTTTACCTTGTAGTTGTATCGTAGTCTCCGGGGTGCTGTATATCTTGTCTTCTACTGCTGTCTGCTCGATAATGCGTGCTCGTCTGACGGCTTCCTCGATTAACTCTCCTGTGTTCCATGTTTCCATGTGGTCCTGACACGTCAACCATACTCTTGGTGCGTGTGTTCGCAGTATGTTGATCAGGATTTCTCGTGTCTGGTGCGTGGCTCTGTCGTCCATCGTCAATCGATAGAATGCTTCGCGAATTCGTCGCATGAAGTTGGTCAGGTTCTCATTCTGGTATGGCAACATGGTTGCGAATGAGGTTATCGGACTGTGTAGTACGTGGTGATCTGCCAGTACTTGCAGTATGGCTTCTACGAATTCGACCCAGGTGGGTAGCCATGCGCGTGTCCATGTTGACACTTGTTGGAAGTCTCCTGACAGTTCTGTTGCTATTCTTATCGGCCATAGGTTGTATGGTACGAGTGCTATCATCAGTCTGTCTTGTATTTCTTTAAGTTTGTCGAGTACTTTGTTGTCTGCCCAGACGAGCTTGAGGGTAGGGGGTAGAACGACTTTGTTCTTGTCTTCGCATCTTGCGTAGCTGTTACCTTGGTCGCTCAATACTACTTCAGGCCATATTGATTTCACTTTCTCTTCCTGAGGTGTGTATATGGTGCGGCTTGTGTTCATCGGGCGGTGTAGATTGAGCTTACCGTTTGCCAGTCGGCTTTCGTCGCTGACGTTGACAGGCTTCTGCTTGAATTGGTTTGTGTCGGGGGCTTGTCTCGCAGACTTCTGCGATGATGATGATGATGCTGTTGCTAGGGGTGTTGTCGACGATGACTTTATCGCCGGTGTTGTCGGATTGTTTCTGAATCCGCTGATTTGGGTTTTCATATCTTTCATGGATTGTTGCATGATGTCCATTGCGTTCATCAATGTATCCATTTTATTGTCGAATGATTCGTTTTGTTGAACCATTTGTGCCTTGATTGTATCAATCGTGGTGTGTAGTTTGCTGCCGATTTCATCCATTCTTTGATGGGCGCCGTTTACACCTGATCCGTAGCCGGTTTGGCCGCTTGTCCAGGGATCGTCACCTTTGGCGCCTTGTTCATTGTTGGATTTCTTAGGATCCGACATTGTGGTTGTTTTGATTGATGTATCAAGATGTCACGTTGTTTTGTTTATTATTTCTGCTATTGGCGGTCTGCCTGCAAAAATAGCTATTTGTGCCTTCTGGTACCTCAATACAAGGACTCGTGATACACTATCACTATGATGATATGTATCGGAATGAGTCTCGTAGTATTGATTGATTAATTAGGTAAAAGGAAAGGAATCTATCTAGGAAGCTATTTACAATTTTGTATGCATTCCTTACTCGTGGACCTGTGGGTCCTTACGAGTAGTGGTCCGTGCCCAGTGGTGACGGATCCACAAAGCTGCTAAGAAGAGAACCTTAGTCGACTAAGATCTTCGGCCATTGATGTTCTTCTCCTGTATCTTGTACTTTGTAGTTCACCCTGTCCAAGTGCGTGCTTTCTCGCTTAATTCCTTAGCTCAAGATGCCTATGCGCTAATGGCTAAAGCCGTAGGAGACCCACTCTTTTAAAAAAAATATGGTGGCTTGTTGGAATGACGAGTTTCTTGGCCTGTACAAACTACAAATATTGACTTCCAAATACGTGTCCATTTCTGCGCTTTTGGGGAGATATTTAAAAGGCGTAAATATTTGTACCGAACTGGCATACACGAGAAACTGATTATTGTGTCGATGGTTCTCCGTTTCACTTGCTTCTCTACATACTATGTAGTACGTTCATCATCGTTAACAGGCACACGTTTCTTGCTTCATCTTAGACCCTAGCTGCCCTGCAGTCGGTATTGACAGGTTCGGTAGCCTACGGTTTCTGTGCCGCAAGCTTGGCGGCGATCGACCAAATTGGCCGGGGGTTGCAACGGGGCGATCAAAACACCAATGTGGAAGTCAACTTGCATATTTTGGAGCTAATAAACCGCACATCACGATATCCATCTAACTAGCCCGACCTTCCAATCTGTGAGCATAATGAGATGACAGCGCCGTACTCGCTCTAATTATGTATGTACGCAGGTATGTGCAACTATAGTATGCATGACGAACCTCATTCAAAGATTTCCTAGGTCGGAGTTTTTACAACCTGTACCAATGAATGCGTGTTCCCGTACACAAGGCTTCTTAGATCTAAAAGGTAAGCATAGCCGGGCAGCCGGGACAAAGCGTTTGCCTACCAATATTCCACTAGTTATGCTGGTACCTACCTATCACAATATACATAATCAAACTTCGAGGAATAGACAAGAACAAGAATTTGGCCAGCGAAGAAAATTAAAAATTGCAGATGCAGATACATAGTAAGGCTGCGTTAAAAATATCTTGAGGTACAACGAAGTGACCTATATTCAAGTTCCGATGACAGCCGCTTGCGTTTTTCTTGGATTTTCAAGATTGTATGGATTAGGATTACCAGTCGTTTATATTGTCCATTGTAGTTGAGGATATTAAGGATGACCTGGTTCGACCCAGCGGCCATTCAATCATTCAATGCCGAAACGCGCATGGGCACTCTTCATGTATTTCATCCTGGAGGCGTCGTATACCTGGATCCTATTCAACGCCAGCAATCAGAAAACTTAATTACCTACCAACAAAATGGAGTTTAATGAGGTTAATATTTTGTAAGACCATGAGGCAAGGAAAAGTTAGGGAGCCGCGCTCAATAAGTGCATAGGGCTATTAGATTATGTGCCTTATACCTATACAGAATAGGTATCTAATAAATACCTAGCCTAGGTATCAGATACACAGGCATTGAACAATCAGACGATGGAATAATTGAGGTCGTAGAAAGAAAAGCCTAAGACAAAGAAACGAGACCGGATCTCCGTATCTTCCATCCTTAAGCGTCTTTCTGCATCCCTGAAACATGTGACCGCAAAGCCACCGAAGCCACAGTCTACAATATACCTCTAGTGTACATAGTGAGGTACGCAAACTGCCCGGGCAGTTTATTACTAACCCACCTAAGCAAACGCTAAAGCGTGCAGCTACATATTGTATTGTGCTAATTGAACCAGCCAGCTTAGGTGCCTTAACTAACTAATTTAGCAGCTTAGAATGATCCCGCCTATATTCATTCACACTCCCCCACCCCCGAAATCACCGCGCTCGAAAACGCGTCGGCTGTACATTTTACGTGTCAATTTCGAGGTTTGACGAACATTGACGAACATCTCCTAACCTGTGTTATCGCATCATTCGTAAACCTCTTTTTAAAGTTTAGGACTGTCCTGCGACGATAATTCTGACATTAGATTCGAGCTGCCCGATCGGCAGCGCCTACCGCGACCATGTACATAAAACAAATCATCATACAAGGCTTTAAGAGGTGCGCGTTGACAAGTCATCATAATCCGCCACGAATTTCAGTTTCACCATACTAATGTCTATATCCTACGCAGCTACAAGGACCAGACGGTCATGGAGCCCTTTTCGCCCGGTACGAATGTCATCGTGGGTCGCAATGGTTCTGGAAAGAGTAACTTTTTTGCCGCGATACGATTCGTCCTAAGTGACGCATACACCCAAATGAATCGCGAGGAACGCCAGGCGCTACTGCATGAAGGCTCAGGTTCGGCAGTTATGACTGCTTATGTCGAGGTTATTTTCGATAATAGCGATGACCGATTTCCGACCGGAAATAAGGAGGTTGTTATACGCCGCACAATCGGCCTAAAGAAGGACGAGTACTCGGTCGATAAGAAGGTCTCTACCAAAGCAGATGTCGCGAATCTGCTCGAGGCCGCCGGATTTTCGAGGTCGAACCCCTACTACATTGTACCACAGGGACGTGTCACGGCACTCACTAATATGAAAGAGTCGGATCGTTTGAATCTGCTCAAGGAAGTTGCTGGAACTCAAGTCTACGAATCCCGTCGCGCAGAGTCACTTAAGATCATGACGGAAACAAATAATAAGAGGGAGAAGATTGACGAGCTACTAGATTATATTAAGGAACGGCTAAGTGAGCTGGAGGAAGAGAAGGAAGAGTTGCGCGACTACCAGGACAAGGATCGCGAGCGTAGGTGTTTAGAGTACGCGTATTATTACAAGGACCAAGCCGCTACACAGGAAGCTCTAGAAGAATTAGAAGAATCGCGACAGGGTGGTATTGAGGATACGGACGAGAACCGCGAAGCATATAACTCGGGTATGAGAGTCATCGCTGATCTAGACGCCGAGATACATAAGCTTCAACAGCAGATGGAGCTTCTTCGTATAGACCGTCGGCAGCTTGACGAAGACCGCCGAGAAAGCGCCAAGGCGATGGCGAACGCCGAGTTGGTCGTCAAGAGTTTATCGGACAGCATGTCAGCTCAAGACCAAGCCAGATCCCAACATGATGCAGAGCTAGAGGAAGTGAAGACGACAATAGCACAAAAGGAGGCCGAACTAAAGAATTTGGCTCCTGAGTTTGAGAAGGCAAAACGTAAGGAGGCAGAAATTAAACAAGCTTTAGATTCGGCGGAAGCTGGACGACAGCGCCTCTTTACAAAGCAGACCAGGGGAAGTCAATTCAAAAGCAAGGCAGAGCGAGACGCGTGGTTGCGAAAAGAAATAGATGAACTCAACGTAACGCTGAGCCAGCAAAGGGCGAATCGTCTCGACGCTGATGAAGAAGTTAAAACTATCCAGGCTACCATCCAACAGCTCGAGAAGGAGATTGCGGATCTGCGACAGAGAAACGAAGGATTTGGTGGTGATCGACTCGCTCTCGCCGAAGAAGTCACCAACGCGAAAGATGTCCTAGATAAGCTCAACGAAGAGCGAAAACTACTCCGCCGAGAGGACGACAAGTTGGAGACAATCATCGCAAACGCTCAAGGCGAGTTGACCAATGCCGAACGGGAACTAGCACACACCATGGACCGCTCCACCTCTCGAGGTTTAGCATACATACAACGATTGAAGCGCGAGAATGATATCCCCGGTGCGTACGGTACGTTAGCTGAGCTCTTGGATGTCAACGAGGCGTACCGGTTGCCGGTAGAACAGGTCGCTGGTGCCAGTTTGTTTCACTACGTGGTCGATAACGACGACACTGCAACATATCTGGCCAGTATGCTTCAGAAAAACTTCGGAGGGAGAATCACATTCATGCCGCTCTCCAAATTAAAGCCTAGGATGCCGAACCTCCCGAGAGCTAACGATGCAGTTCCGTTGCTCAGCAAAATCAAGTACAACCCCGAATATGAAAAAGCGTTCCAGCAAGTCTTCGGCAACACAATTATCTGCCCAAACCTCACAATTGCCAGCCAATACGCGCGAAGCCATGGTGTACATGGTGTTACTCCGGATGGAGATACCAGTAACAAGCGTGGTGCAATGACGGGTGGATATATCGACACGCGAAAATCGCGTTTAGAAGCCGTACGAGCCGTTAACAAGTGGAGAGAAGAATACGATCAGCTAAAGTCCAAGGCAAATGACATACAAAAGAGAATAGAGCAAAAGGACCAAGAGATCACCAACGCGTTAGGCGAGGAGCGCAGGCTAGCACAGAGACTCCGGCAAATGGAAGATGGCTATGGACCGCTGCGAGCAGAGTTGAATGCAAAGAATAACCAGGTAGATCGTGAAAGAGATCGGCTCGAGGCTGCAATCAAACGGCGAGATATTGTCGAGAGGAACATGAAGCAGTTCCAAGATAACCTCAGCGCACATGAAGCCGAGCTGGCTTCGGATTTTAAGAAGGTCTTGACAGCTGACGAGGAAAGACAACTTGAGAGCCTCGGTGCTACCGTTCAAGAGTTACAAAAAGAGTGGAATGAGGTCAGCAATAAGCGGAGAGAACTTGAAATTCGCAAGCGAAAACTAGAGCTAGATCTACGAACAAACCTTCAGCTCAAACTCGATCAGCTCACTAGTCAAGCGTCTGAAACTGCTTCCAGTGGTACCAGTGCCTTAAAAGAAGCCAAGCGGGAGCTCAAGAAAGCACAAACGACGGCAGCTTCAATTCAGAGCAAGATTAAGGCCAACGACCAACAGATTGAATCTGCTGAATCTAAGATTGCGAGCCTAGAAAAGCAAAAGGCTGAGAAGGAGGCACAACTACAGGAGATCGCAAGAGAGATCAAGAAGCAGGAGAAAAGGATGGATAAGAATAGGCAGATGAAGGCTTTGTTGGTAACAAGGTCGGCAGAGCTAGCCAAGAATATTAGAGACCTCGGTGTCTTGCCAGAAGAAGCCTTCGAGAAATATGAGAGGCTCGATCATAAGACGGTACGTCTAACCCTTCGTAAGAAGACACGACACGTTCATTACCGGCTAACCCTGCATCATAGGTTGTCTCGCGTCTAAAGAAGGTTAACGATGCGCTGAAGAAGTACAAGCATGTTAACAAGAAAGCTTTCGAGCAATACAACAGCTTCACCAACCAACAAGACCAGCTACTGAAGCGTCGCAAGGAACTCGACCAATCACAAGCGTCAATCGAGGAGCTAGTTGCTCACCTCGATCAACGCAAAGATGAGGCGATCGAGCGAACATTCAAGCAAGTATCCAAGGAATTCGCTACCATCTTCCAACGTCTAGTGCCTGCTGGTCATGGCCGTCTAGTGATTCAACGCAGAGCCGATCGACGAGTCGACCCGGACACGTCTGACGAGGAACAACGGAGTAGCGTAGAGAACTATACAGGCGTCGGTATCAGCGTCTCGTTCAACTCCAAGACGGCGGATGAGCAACAGCGCATCCAGCAGCTCTCAGGTGGTCAAAAGAGTCAGTCGCACAATCTTCTTATTTAATAATATTATCCTAGACTAACAAGAACAATAGGTCTCTGCGCTCTCTGTCTCATCTTTGCCCTCCAACAGACAGAATCCAGCCCTATGGTCATCTTTGACGAGGTCGACGCCAACCTAGATGCGCAATACCGAACGGCCGTGGCTGGGCTCCTGCAGTCCATCTCGGCTGAGGCGGGCACACAGTTCATCTGCACGACGTTCCGACCGGAAATTGTGCACGTGGCCGACAGGTGCTACGGCGTGCTGTTCCGCAACAAGAACAGCACAATTGCCTGCGTGAGTAGGGAGCAGGCGCTCGACTTCGTCGAAGGCCAGGCACCGAGGTAAAGTAAATTGGCGGAAAAACCATGAGCTACGCTAAGCTGAGGGGTGCGATGGCGGGTCTATGGTGTGTATATGGTCTTAGGCGAAGGAGTTTACGTGAAGTCAAGTCATAACTGCGTTGTATACCATGAGGCATGCGAGAGAAGCTTGACGCTGTTATTCATTACCGCTGTATGATGTAGCTTATGCTTCGAGGGATATTAATGAAAATTATCTATTATTCATATCTAAGGGCAAGATTATAAGCCGTGAGGCGTCTTGATCTAACCAGGTACTCCTAATCCTATCACATAAGCCAAGAACCAACTTAACTACATAAGAGGTACCTTTTAGGGAATAGGTCTTTTGGCTATTTATTGTTACTACGACTCTAAATTCGTTACTACGAAGGGCCATAGCCTATGCCCTTCAAGACCACACCATTGATACGCCTACAAGTTCTTTATCTAAGGTATTCTTTTGCTATGCTATCGACCTCCTCAAAGGATGAGTTAGTTGCGGAGGGGGGAGCTCGACAGGAGATAAGCAGACTATTACCACTTGCTTTTAGTCGTGAAAACACGCTTTTTGATCTCATTCAACTAACTTGACCATTGTTCGAGGACACTATTCATCGCCTTGAGGTATGTGAGCTGCCGATCCGAGTGTGGTCAAGTCGATATATGCTATTAAGAGCACGCGATACGATGGTTCTACGGTGACTTCGAGGAATTCGGCCAGAACTGATTTGGTCTAAGATGGGAACTGCCTCGTCTTCGAATCTTAAGTCGCTTCGGCCTTCACCACTTCAGACGAATCTAGCCTCGCTATATAGGACCGGCGGTGGCCGTGCTACTAACTAATCGCCGTAAAGATTGTCCAGAACTACCTACGCCGGCCTATCACATGGCCTTGCTATGTATAATATACACATAAGGTACCTAGGTAGGCATATTAAGGTAACAAACAGACTTGCAACCCGATCACAACTCGAACTTCACTATTTCAAAAAGCCGCAGGGTTTATTTAACAATAGGTTAATATTTTATTATATTATATTATATTATATTATGTTATCCGTGTACTAACGCAATTTGCACAAGCTGGTAGGGTAGGTAACAAACAAGAAACGCTAAATAGCCAACTATCTCAGTCCGTAAGATCTACGTCGTCCAACACATACATACCTAGGTATAAGGTATATATATGCATGTATATATAGGTACCTATGTATATGAGGTATATAACGTCAACGACCTTAGATATCCCAACGCAATAACGAAATGTTATACTATATAGCGCCCCCCCACCATCTCATTGTATTTCATTCATCTCTAGCCACACGGCCAGAAGAAAGAAAGAACAGCTAACTTATCGAGATCACCTCACCTCGGCTGTCGCCAAAACGCAACACTATGCGAGTCTTCCGGCGCCAGGCCGTCATCCTCGTCCTCGGGGCAGGGGGACGCCGCGCGGGTCCGTGACGAGCTCCGGCTCCCGGCAGCAGCGTCGCTACGACTACGGGTGCGGCTATGGCTGTGACTATGACTATGACTATGACTGCTGCCACCACGGTCACGAGTATGACTGCGATGGCGGCTACTGCTGCCGTGGTCTTGGCCATGGTGGTGGCGATGATGATGGCGATGGCTACGATCATGATTTTGGCCACCACGCTCATTGCTACGACTATGACCATCGTCGTGGTCGTGGTCGTGGCTATCACGCTCGGGAGAAGGCAAATCAGGCACCGAACTCGCGAAGCGGCTCCGATGCGGCAGGATAGCCGTGTATCCCTGCGTATCCCTGTCGCCAACAGTCCTATTCCTCGGGCGAGTGCCCCTCGTAACCGTAACCTCCGATTCGCCAGTCAGAAATCTTCTCAGCAAGTTGCTGCCCGCATCCGCTCGTTGGTCCGAGGAATACACCGACGAGCTTGTGGATTGTCTAGGGTTTTGGCTCGGGCGATGGTGACCTAACGCGGTAGCAGGCCGACGGGTTGGCGAGCGGGTTCTTGGAGGACGGCCGTCGCCGTCGTTATTGTTGAGACGATTGGTACTGTTACGCCTGTACTGCGACGGGATCTCCGGCACGGGCGGCGCGTCGTCCCCCAGGTTGTCCGCGGTGTACACCGTAACGTCGGTCCAGACGCTGTCGGTGGCGGCAGCTTGGATTGACGGCGCGCTGCGCGAGCGATACCTCCGTATATTGAGAGGAGAAGGGGCAGCTGACATATGACTGAAATCTGCCGGAGGCCGAAATGCGGGATGGGCCATGGATAAGACCGTCCTGGTGTCGTCTGGTGTGAGATCGGATTTTGATACCTGAGAACTGTACCACTGCGTCACCTTTAGCCTACTTCTTTCTTCCGCCTCGAAATCTCGGTCGAGGTCTGGGTGGTCTCCCAAGTCATTCAGATCGTCCAGATCATCCGGGTCTTCTGGGTCTTCGTAGTCATCCGATAAATCGTGCTCCTCGTTAATAGACGGCAAAGGACCGCCTGCAACTGTTGGTTCCCCGAACTCTGAGTAAGGGCTCAGACTATCGGGCCTATAGAGACTTTTCACATTGTCTTTCAAGCTATACAGCGCAGCCCTCCTCTGATCTTCCGCGCCCTCTAGATCGGCTACAGCTACAGGAATCCCGTTCCTCGTTCTCCTCGTATAATGCTTGTTGTCTTCAACGTACCTCAACTCTGTTCCACCATCGCTTGTCTTTCTTAACTCGGTATAAGCTGGATTACTTTTATTGAGTTCTTTTCTCCGTTGAAGTCGCCACTCTTTAAGTTGAGGACGGACTTTCCTAAGCTCCTCGAGCACGCTATCACTCATAGCTATGCATTGCGCTGCCCTCTCCTCCGTGAGTTGCTTGATCCATTCGTCGACATAGCGTTTAAGCTTTGGTTCCCTAGTCCGGCGCTTGTTTGAACGTGATGGACGTGACGAACGTGACGAACGTGATGAGTGTGATGAACGTCTCTCGGTCCGGTCAATAAGGGTGGTCCGCAAGTCGGCAAGTACGCGGGCATTAGCACCCATAGCACCTAGAATACAAGCCTCACAACCAGACTGAACAAAGATCATGTGGCTCTCAAAGGGCGGTGTTCCGTAGCACTCGCGGTATAAGTCTGGATCTGTCCATAGGGCAGCAATAGAGTCCACTCGTCCGACGAAAGCAGCGAGAATCGGATGATTGTTCTTGCCCTTCCACGAGCGTAGCACGTCCGTATGAACCGTTACCTCGTAAGCGACGGCTAAGAAAAAGCGACGGATGAGCCAGGGGTTAAGAACGGAGTGTGTCTTACACAACACCGCCCTCGGGTCTACTGCTTCTGGATTAACCTTTTCGGCGATTTTTATGAAGAGACGCTTTAATACGCCCGAATTGTGAAGCAACTCATCTGGAAGATTTTTAATTTTCTCTCCCTGCCTAAGATGCCATCTCCTCGACGGAATCGCAATCCCATATTCAGGTCGTCGGGATAGGAGTTTTGTAAGGCGAGTAACGTTCTCGCTAGACGGATGGTGAAGGTCGATACTCATTCGTGCTGTATCTCCCTATCTCTGTAACTATAATGTCCTAGTTAAGTGATCTTAATATTTCTGATTTCGTCTATTTGGTCTGATAGTTAAGATAACTTTCTATAGCTAGCAGTAGTATAGTAGGTAAGGAAACCAATGGTTAAAATGGTTGTTGCAAATTGGCCGCGGAGCGTGAATGCTATGTACTTCAGAATTTCGAGCATTGTTCCAAATCATATCGAAAACAGGCAACATCTACGCGAACTCTCGAGCAGTTTTGCAGCAGGCTTATTGATTTACCATAAATAAACACCTCTTTTTGTTCCTTGACCGTTAAAAAGTCGGTGACTACTCGTTCGTAGGACAAAGACATTATTCTGGTCGCCGCTCGACTTGGATCGACACAATGATCAAAGAAACTTATGACGCTGCCTTTAGCTTCCGTCAAAGGGTTAGGAATTTTGAGCGGGTAGACTTACAGTAGTACTATCCTGCCAAGCCATAAACAGTCAAAGTGACTTTGTATTCTCTTTCAAGTGCCTATGTTCGAGGCTCACGCACGCTCCGAGGCTCACTTTCGGCGACTATGCGGAAATGCGGAAATACGGAAACATCGCGTCTTCCGCGGCATAATATGCTCCCTAGAGTTGGGTTCTATATTTGAGAAAACGTCCCAGAAGTCGTCCCGTCTACGGCGGCGTAGAGGTTATAGACTATTTTTTTAATGTAACGTATGCTCAATGCCATGAAAACTATTAGCACAAAATGCTGGCCAGAACGCCTTAGCCCCCTAACCGTTGCCTAAGCAAAGGCAATTGCGAGCTGTAACTGCAATGTCTGTCTGTATGCTAGGCCTAAATCCATCCCAAATATACAGGTTCGCCTTGGTATCACCGCCGTGTCATCGGAATATAGAGGAATCGTTATCCCATTACCATTAGCCCGCAGCCGGACCTCGAGCCGGGTGGTACTCGTGCTCCCCCCTCATACGCTCTAACCTAATCTTCGCCGCCTCAGTGCCATCATCTGGAATGGCTGGCTCTCGGAACCACTCATGCTCAAGAGCTTGCCGAGCTGTGATTCGTTTCGCCGGGTCATAAACGAAAATCTTCTGCAAAAGATCCAAGAAGGCCCTGAGAAATGGACTAGAGGCCGGTATGATATCCTAGATATATGTCAGCGACCGAAGTGAGAGGACAATGGGTTAGTAACTAAGTCTTACACTTAACCGTTTCATATTCTTCACGAATCGCCTAGATGCTCGTGTAGTTTCCGCGGTAGGATAGTCCAATCTTAATCGCTTGAAATATCTGTCATCTGGATTAGTGGAGTCGTACACAAACGTAGTGAAGAGAGCCAACCTACTTGGATGCGGCGTTGCCCGTGCTTCGTGTAGCCATCTTATTGACAGCTTGTACGAGGTGACTGTCTATGCGACTATCACAAACATTCTCCATCATGGCCAAGTGCTCGAGATTATCGTGCGTCTGGAAGAGAGCATCGCCAGTAAAAAACTCCACCAATATACACCCGATACTCCATATATCGCAGGGGAAAGACCAGCCTAACCCAAGTATAATCTCGGGTGCGCGGTAGTGTCTGGTCGAAACAACAGATGAATGATACTCATCCTGGAACGTTGCAGATCCAAAATCGATGAGCCGAATCTCAGTGTCAAGTAGGACTTTGCGCTGAGTAGCCTGTCGACTCACACCAGCCGACGAGGAAGGTATCCTACGATTGTAAGTAAACGTCTGATAAGCGCTATCACAAAGTAGGATATTCTCGGGCTTTAAATCAGTGTGGATGAGGTTTAGATCGTGGAGAACTGGGACTCATTAGTAACAGTAAAGCGGCGTCGCGAAGGTATTGATTGCTTACAAGCGACGCTCGTGAATAATTGACGAGCAAAGCTCTGAATCTGGCTATTGGGGAAAGGAACAAAGTTGTTGCTCTTGAGGAAGTCGAATACACTCGAGCCGAGTAGGTCCATTACTATGCAGATGTGTCCGCGGTAGTCGAAACAGTCCCGAAGGTGTATACATCGGTTTCGGTTCTCCTCGTCATTGGCCTTCAAAGTTTGAAGCACACGTAGCTCAATTCTGGAAGCGTCCCGATATTTCTGCACGGCTCGGATGATTTTGATCGCAACCAGCTTATTTCGTCTGCGGTCGCGGGCCTGAACAACTTTGCCGAAAGTACCTTGCCCTAACAGTTTTACCATTTGATCTGATATATATATATTAGATGAGTAACGGAATGGGGGGAGAGGAGTTAGGAACGCACATTGTGATGTGAGCTCAGCATCTGGAACAACAATATAATGACCATCGTCGTCGTCAACTCTAGCACCGCTTTGGTGGGAACGCTAAAACACGAATGTTGATTAGTACGCACAGATGCAAGAGACAGATGCAAGAATGGGACCACTTACATCATTGACAACCCTAACAGTCACATCACCAGCTTTCTTGACAGGCTTCTGAGGAGGGCGATATGTGACAAAAGCATCGCCGAGAACTTCAACTTCCCTTCTCTTCGCTTCTTGGGCAATCTGTTGCCTGGTCCTCTTCCTCTTTTGGCCGATATTATGATTCTCGTAATCATATTGACTATTCGAGGACAAAGACCCGAGCGAGGTAGCAGCTGTAGTATTGTGAGCCGACGTCGTGCGATCGGTGGAAGTAGAACCACTAGTAGAGGTTTGTTGGTAAGAACCATTTACACTTGGTTCGTACAAGTCATCATTTTGAATAACTTGGTCCTTTCTTCGTCTCTTGGCTGTATGACGGGGGGTAGCGTCATTCCCAACACCATTCGCGTATGTTCGTGACACGGTAGCGACCGAAATCTTCTGTTCCTCCGGCTCGGGGGTGTCATGTATGACAATAACTTCTTTAGGCAAGCCGTTTTTATAGAAACTCTTCCAATCCGGTTCCTTGGAACGACGACGTTTTCTCGGTTGGCTATCGGGGAAGGACTGGGCTACGGAGGCGGCGGAGGCGGAGGCGACCGAGGGAGGCATATTGGCGCTGGCGTGATTTGAATCTAACCGAGGAGTAGAATTGGTTCTCGAGGAATCTTTGGTTGGTCTCGCAGTGGCTACTGATGCTGATGCAGTTACTCCATTTGTAGAGGGTTGGATTTTTTGACTCGTGGCGTAGGATGTACTAGTAGTAGTATACGAAGATGAGGAAGAAGCGGCGTGGTGTCGATTAGAGACGGTCGCTGTCGAGGCAGTCGAAGCCGGGGTGGGGAGGATAGGGTTTGCAGAAGTAGCACCAGAAACTGCAGCAACTGGTCTATATGAGGAACCACCGCCCTGTAAATTTGAATAGGGCGGATAGTGATGAGTTGAGTGATGATGATGACGATAATGAGGAGGGAGTGTAGCCGTTGCAGTAGTCGGCGTTGACATTTTATTCAAATGTCAATAAATTATAAGAGAGAAGGGTGAAAGATCCCGTGGAGAGATCGATCTAGGATTGGGATGGTTGGGAATTGTTTCGTGTGCACTTTCCAAGAGAGGTACAACACGTACGGGGGGAGGGGGCCAGTGCAGGTTACTTTTTTTTTCCCCTACTGATATCGCGCTGTTTCGTGGCTGTTCAGGGCTAATTGCGCTGCCCTTAAGGGTCCTTTAGGTTAAAAGGCACTTGTTTTCGGCCCTGTAACTTAGGCGACGTTGGGCCTAGGATTTAAATCCCTACCGAAAAGAGTGCGGGCGCTCTTGACAGTGGCCAGTAGTAGGCAAGTAGGTAAGACCAGTACCAGTTTAGTCGCGAAGGGAATGGCAACCGTTGCGACCGAATTCCAAGATTTGTAGGCTGAGTTGGCAGCACCAATAGGTGACTAGGTACCACCGTTTAGGTACCTAACTTGCTGAGCAACTTGCTAAGCACAGTGGGTACGGGTACGGGTACCAACTAAAAAGAAATCGTAGTATGGTGACTGTGATGTTAGGAGGTAGCCCTTGCAATCCAAAGTAAACAATTAATCATGAATATTTCCCCAGAGGTGATATTTATTTTCCTTTTCCTCTGTTTCCTCCTCAGCTGTTTGTTTGTTTTTGGTCTGTAGCATAGAGCGTTCGAAGGTCGGGACTTCGGTTAACCGAGGATGGATAATATGGTTGATCGTAAATTGTAAGGTCGAAGTGCAAGTGCAAATGCAAAGCTGCTTTTGTCCTTGTATCGTCGTCTCGTCTCGTCTGCTAACCAAAGTGTAAATTTACACGTGATCAATGCCTTTATATTATTTAAGCCTTTAAAGATGATGATTGTTCGATCGAGTACTATTGACGGTTTGGTTTGGCTCTCGAAGGTGGAAGGACAAGACGTGCTTGTGACGAAGGTACTCGCTACTACAGGTGGTTGAAGCAGTGCATAGTAGGTCTTCGTGTCGACGGCAGCATTAAGAACGACGGCCGAAAATGTATACTTGTCTACCTCTGGGAGACAAGAATAAGCAATAACAATCTTGGTGCTTCGAGGCAATTCAAAGCAGAAAGAAAGTAAAAGAGGGATCTAGTCTCGAGCGTGAATTGTGAATGTAAGTGTGAATGTGAATGAAGTCTTGCGTTGCCTCAATGCAGGATGAGGTGGTGGTAATGATTTACTCGTGGGTTCTCTCATAACGCACCAGGCTGCGTATTACAGCAGATACAGGGCAGATACAGGCGAGATAGGTACAGGCATACGGTTGACAGATGCACGTATGTACAATGGAATATGTACATGGAGATACATGACGGATTCACGGGTTCTGCCTCTTGTTTCGGACTTTGCCCATGCTGTTTGGCTGTGTGGTGAGAATGAAGTAATCGGTGGGTCTTCTTCGTCTGCTAATTCGCCTTAGGAATTACTTATTACCACGCTAGGTATCGTTACAACTTAAACCCATAACGTCGACAGATAATATTAAGTACCTTTTTATCTAATTCAAGTACCTATGTGACATGTAAATATTAGTAGTACTTAACCTATTACATGTAATTTTTATAGTTGGTACCAAAAATACCCCAATAATAATAGATTAATAAAGCCTCCCCGCACGGTATGGGGGAGGAGCCAAAGATTGATTTTCTTAGATTCCAAAGGCAACAACTGTGGAGTTTCCACAGTGTATATTTTATCACTTTCACTGTCTTCGTCTTTCCCATCCCCTCCGATGACCGATTGCCAACTTACTTAAGAGGGCACTGGGCACTAGGTAACCTACATGGTTAAAAACAACATTATCTCACATTCAAGGATTAGGTACATACCTGATGTACCTGAACATTGAAATCGGGTCCATATCAGGTATTAGGTGTCATGGGCAACGGATATTATCTCCAGGGTATTTGCTATCACTGATTTCTCCCTCGTCGATACGGCAACCTTTTACTTGACTTACACACATACGTATGACAATAATAGCCAGTCATTTATATAGGTATCATATATCATATGTAAGTAATTACATACATTCCTTTTTAGTATTCCGTACCTATGTAATTACCAAAATGAATTTATATACTCCCCTAACATCCGGTGCTGTTTATCAAAATTGGGAAGAAACAAGTTGATCTCGCAGTCTCGACAAGTTTTTTCTTAATCCGTTTCGCTCGTATCCCGATTTCTTCTCTTACTTTTAAAGTAGACCCTTTCCTACACGGGAAGTGATTGCGCTGGATTGGCTGGTCAGTGGAGACCCGTTCAGGAATACTACCTATTCAAAGGACCCCTAAACCCTTCTGCCCAGCAATACCTACTGTAAACGACATCGTCGACCACACTCCCGAGGCGCAGGCGGCAAATGTCGCCACATACTATTGGTACTAAACATCTGGTTCGCCCAAGTTTGCCCTGCTTCTTTAGCGTCGCCTATGCATCTCTTGCATCTCTTGCAGCATTAGCTTTTTCCCCTTCCCCTCACCTCAGTACAACGCAACCAGTATCACGATTTCACTTGCAGCCTTATCGATTTCAATGGGTCCGGCCTTTGCTTCCTAGCTACACTAGCTGATGACTACTTGAAGGAACAAGTCCCCGTTCTGTCCGTCCCAGGCCGTCCGTAATAAGAGGTAGGTAAGCAGAGACAGAGAGGGTTTTTTTCTTCTGCCTGCGTGGCATCCCATGATTCTTGAGCATAAATCCCAGTCTAGGATTATTCGGCCCATGGCTGTTTTTGAACGACGTGAGTCTTCCAATTATCAGCCGGCAACTTGAGACGTGCGTATTTGGCTTGTTAATGACCAATTTTTCTTCATAGCATGTCTACTAGTTACCTACCTATGTAAGTGGAAGGTATCTTACAACAATATTTAATAAGCCCAATCTTGCTATTTTATCAGCACCTTGCATCACAAGTCTTTCCCACGGACGTTTTCTTTACATAGTAGTAGGGAATATCATTCGTCCACCGGCTGGACCTCAACCCTTCCCTGTTACCACGCTGCAATCCAAGGGAGTCGGGACAACGGGCCAACGTTTTCATCTGACGAGAAACTAAATTAAAATGAACCCACCGCTTGCCTAGCTTACACCAGGTGTACAATGCGAATCCACGGCTCTATTCCTGTGATGGCCGAGCTAACAATCGTCAATTACATTCCAAGGAAAGAAACGTTCAATCCTAACTTGTTTTCGGCTCGAAAACCTAGTGTAAAAATGGCAAAGCTTTTTTGATCGACAATTTTGAGTTATCACTACAGAAAGAAGATGAAGACAACTCAAACAATAAGGTCGTCCGGTCTCGAGACTATAAACTACCTAACGGTTAAGGTACTATGACTCGCAAAGTCTGGGTTTATATTTAGGTGGTTTAAAGAATTATTACGTTGCCTTACACCTCTTCCATGTCCAATTCTTACGCATCCCTTTGCGCAGTTAAGTACGCCCACGTCCTAATGAAGTCATCCGCTTCCCGACAAAAAGTCGTCCGCTTCCTACATCACGGGTTATTTCGCATCTTTTCCCTTGTAAGTGGTTCGGCACTAAGGCGGTTATCATGTCTTAAAATATTATTCTTTTTAACAAGTTTTCAATGCCGTACCTTCAATAATATACAGTAATACTCGCACCTGGGAGAACTTTTATGTAGGTATATACAATTCCCAGACCGGGACCCAGACCGAGCCAACTTCCAAATAATCCTCCAGCGGCATTGGCCAGATAAATAGGCCTATAAAAAGGCATCCAGTTTAGGTACCTGCCTACATATGCGTTTCGTCGTCATCAGAATAGGCGGGCTTTTTAACCGCACGCCGGGCAACCCGAATATATAATACATTTAGTAATACGATTATGTCTCGCATCTCAAAGCCGAAGCGTCTTTTACCATGGTGATAAAAATGACTATCGAGATTTATTTAGCGTAGTGGCAGCAGTGCCGCTCGTCAGCCCTTATTAATCCTTCGTGAGGCTCCATTGAAGACTTCGTATTTTCATTTCCCCTTTCGAAGTCTATGTGCGATGAATAAGATGCTATTCCCTACACATGACAATTCCATAATCCTTATCTCCGCAATTTACATACACTACGGTCCTTCGTCTTCCTCGCTATTCCTTTGTATATAGAGCTACAATATCTAATGTAATGTAATATACAGCTGTGTCGCGCTCAGACCGCTAGATCTTAGAAAGGATCTCTAGCTCTCCCCTGTAGCAAGCAAGCAAGCAAGCACTCCTCGTGGAATGGAAGGATACGTATTTAGATTCATATTATTAGGCAGTATGTAAGAGAACAGCCCCCCGAGGGTTCGACAGCGCATACTTGCCCCTCCTAAACCCTGCCGGGCCGTGGACAAGCCTTGCCGAACTCTGTCACATGTACCCCAGGCACGCGTCAGGAAGCACGCCAAGACAGTTTGACGATCGAAGCTGAGACCCGGATACCAATTTCCTTCTCGCATCCCGAAGGAGGCAACTGCTACGAGCTATTTAATAAGAGGGTTTAATGACTGTTTCTATTTCGTGTCCCTCTTATCTCCGCGTCTACCATGCGTCTCATCTATGGCGAAGCATAATGTCATGTAGGTAAGTAGGTACTATGCCTACGCCATGACATCGCACTATATGGTACTGGTTTGACGACTTCTTCCCACAAACTAAATCATCAAGACCATGTTAACAATCCCCCTCGACTTGTTTCGCTCCAGAAACGCCTAACGTGACTACCTAACGCCGCCGAACAATGATGCATTCCGTCTAGATACCACGATTGAACACGACCATCCCCCCATCTCCTCCACGACCGTGGAACTCCTCCTCTAAGCTCTCCGCGCTAATCTTTTGGCGCTGCGGGAATGCCGCCAGCGCAAACGGTAGCGCGAGGAAGCTCATGCCGAGGATCAAGCCGAGGTTGATAGGCAGCGTGTAGCGGGGGTTCTTCTTGAGCCACTCGGTGCGCTGAAGGCGCACAAGGATCAGCGGCGGGACGACCATGATGGGACTGCTATTGAAGACGCGGCTGAGCGCCGTCTCGCTGACCGCCAGCGTCGCCGCCTTCTTGCTCTTGCCCAGGCTTGGCACGTCGTTTTCGGCTTTGCCCTCCTTCGCTAGCCGCGCCTTGTCCGCCTCCGAGAGCACGGGGAAAACGTCAATTCCCGTGCGCATCTCTTCGCCGCGCATGAGGAACACGTTAAGCGCACCGGCAGACGCCACGGCCGCAAAGGGCACGAGCCGCCCGAGGACGAGCTTCGTCGACGGCGAAAATCCCTTCAGCCGGGGGATAATCGAATTCAGACCTACTGCTACGGAACAAGATGCGCCAACGGCAAGGAAGTACGACTGTGCGATTTTCGAGTAGGAGAGCGGGTTTGATTTGTTCGCGTTCGCGTGGTTGATGGCAACATTAAGAGACTGGTTGGTGATTTGCCAGAGAACAGTCCCGGTGTTCTGTTATTACGCTTTAGGTAAGTATCTGTTCAAGCTGATTCCGCTCGGGTCGTAGTCAAGGATAGTGCGCATACCTTTAAGCCCGGCGTAAGCATTCCAGCTGTGACGACCAAGTTCGAGAACACGAAACAGGACATGCGGAAGGGGAGGAGGACTGGCTCTCCGGTTTCTAAGGAGCCCGATTAACCCAGCAGTTCGAGACTACGGAACACGTCAAGTTCATCATGCTATCATACCGGGATGTAGTGTAGAGTCGACGATCTTCTTCGCCTTCCATAATTCCGGCGTCATATCCTTTATCTCGCCTTGCTTATATGCGATCAACAGCTTTTTGGCTTGCTCAAGACCATGGTTTCCAACGAAAAGAGTTCTATTACGAACGGATACGCGTTAGAGGAATAGTCACTGGTAAAAGGGTTGAATGCTAGTAATACCTTGGATCTGTAATGGTTGCCGTCTGTTTGACACGGCCCCAATACGTGCTTAAGTCATATTGCGACTCGGGCAGTTCCCGACTTCCAGGCAAAGAAGCCGACATGGTGAAGTGAAAGTAGTGAAGTAGTGAAAGTATTTACTCAGTTACGCGCGACCAATCGCCAAATGGCAAAGTTGAAAGGAGCGGACAGCTGGTCCTACAAGTCCAGCCGACGTGAGAAGGCTGCCGGCATAAACAGGTAGTACCCGCCAACGGAATTTATGCGAGGATGCGAGGAGTAGGTAGGAATTGGAGTATAAGCACTTATCCTCCGTGATTGCACCCTTTGTAAGTCGGACCCGGCGATGAAAGCCTTAGCTCACGGCTTCAACCGGCATTCTTTTACAGACAGGGAAGGCATGACTCTCACAAAGCAATTTTTTAGTGGGCCGATCTCGGCCGTCGTACTTTTTTTTTCAAGTGCTTGCAGGTAGATAACAGGGCAGCAGGGCAACGCGGGGTACGAAACGAGATCTAGACCTACACGCCTCCCAAATAATGAGAGAAACATAATAAGATGTTCGTTCCATGGAATCATGTTATATAGGGTAAGAGGTAAGAATAAAAATTAAATCCATATGTACCTATGTATAGAATTATAACGTACCTCCTATCGATGCGCAATCTACTCCAAGACCGAAGGAGGAAGGAGAGAAAAATGCAAAAAATCACAAATCCCAGAGTGGACTCCAGAATGAAGAGATGGCTTGAAGCAATTCGAGCACAGCAGGGATCGAACCTGCAATCTTCAGAGGTCGACGTAGAACCGAAATCTGACGCCTTACCATTAGGCCATGCGCCCCGATGAAGACCGATCAAGAAAAATAGCTTTATATTCTATGTGGTATTTTACAAACAAATCATTCAGCCATCCAATCATCTCGCTCGCACGTACTACCTAGGTACGTAGGTGGAGATCTTGGCGGCAATAGATTTAACAACCAGGCCCTGGCCAAAATAAGTGTGCCATTGCCTTAAGCAGCACTAGCGGAGTATATGGTGTAAGTCTTCAAAGCAATTACAGCTTACGATTATATGTTAGTATCTAGGAAAATAAATCAGAAAAAATTGTAAATATGAAATATCCATATTATATCTTATATCGATCATAATATTTTTCTTCTTCGTTATTTGCGTTGTGTTTAAAACTAACAATGAAATCTATATGTTTTGGTGAGACTTTCAGGTGTGGCACATTTATTTTAGCCAGGGCCTGACAAAACTTCCTAGGAAGTCGAGGAGCAACTTTATTACATAAGGTCTGTCACTTTTCATAGCGGCATCACGTTTGATCTTCTTACTGGTTCCAAGTTTCTCACCAAACCGTATAGGTAGTACGAGGTGAGCGTCAATAGAGGTATACATTAAGTATGATGACTACTACCTAATCTATCTATCCAAAACGCATGCTTTCAAATATCTCATTATTCGCATAAGCCATCCGTGCCATAGGTAGGTAACACTCTAAGCACCACCCCCTACACCTTCTTCGACTCTTTCCACTCCTCAAAGCCCCTAAGCCACTTCTTCACCGTCTTGATCTCCCACTTATGCGCCTCTCGGATGAACTGCGGCTCGGCTTCCACGTCCAGGATGCCGTACGAGTCCCAATGGTGGCCGGCCCCCGTGATGAGCAGCTCCGGGTGCAGGTCGGACGACGTGCGCGCGGGCGCGAAGCTGGAGTGGTAGCACAGGTCGTTCCACACGTCCTGGTCCCCGTCGATGAATGCTAGTCGGTCGGCTGTGAAGTTGAATGCGCCGAAGCCGTTGTATGCTTCCACGTCCGGAGTGGAGGGGATCGAGTTGTATTTCCCAGGGGCAAATGCCCAGCGGCACCATTGTTGCTCGTAGTCGGTATCTACCACTCGAGACAATAAAGCCGGCCCCTCTTTTGGTGCGGCGATGTATGCGCCCTTGGTTTGTTAGTCTCTGGTTCGCGCTTGGGGATCAAGTGGTATGTAGCGGTATCCTCACCTGTTCTATACAGCTTGTGTAAAGATACGAGCGTGTAGAAGTGTTTTCTATACTAGCCCATGCTGACGCATTTTGAGTTCCCTATAGCGATAGTTAGTTACGAGTGAGTTGATATTTTAGGTTGCTAGTGCGTAAGAGAGGATGAAATGGTTACTCACCCAGCAATCGTTGCTATTATAGTCACCCGAAGGGCACAGCGGGAGGGTATAACGCTTCACATAATTGGCATAACTACCAAGGCCGCTATAAGGAGGGAAAAGTATTAGCCACGAACACGATATACAGAAGATAAAGGTATGTTTTTCCCAGGTCTTAAGTGTAATGTAGTAGACAACTCGACGGAAAAGTAAACCTATAAGGAAAGTCTTACGTCCAGGGTTCACCATTGGTGTAGTTTGCCAACACATTGTCCACTTGAGTAATCTCTTCTGGGGCATCGATATCAGAAACATTGCCGCAGAAGTAGAAGAAGTCTCTCGATCCGAAAGTGGAATTCCAATTCAATTCCTGCCACGTGTTTGAGTGGTAGAATCCAGGATTTCCTATAGGGTCCTACGTATTCAGTTAGTAGCTAAGTAGTTGAAGTTGGGGACGAAAGTTGCATGCTCGGGACTAGCGTTTCTTAGTTACGAGGTTAAAGAAGCGAACTCACTGCAATAGCTGCTGCAAAGTCTCGGTGGTCTGTTAGAGATTCGAGACCGAAGAAAGCCTTGAATTGCTTGATTGCTTTGGTGTGGTTCTTGGCCACAAGGAGGTCGAACTTGTCCACGATCTTATTGATCCGCGTGACACAATCCTGGGGGGCGTATTTCTGGATTGGGTTGTACCATTCGGGATAGCCCACGTTCACCTTGATCGGAGCTGAAGCGGCAATTCCACCGTAGAGGATGTCTCCGTACACCTTAATCGATGCAGCCGTCTGCGCTCCCGCCAAGCTACCGCCGTACACTATCCACGGCGTGTTAGGCGCGGTGAGGCTTCCATTAACACCGGGGAACACAGCATTCTGAGCAAAGTGGGCGTTGTCAGCTATGGTTTGGTTTGTAGTGAGGAAGAGTAGCTCATCCGTGGTGCTGGTTTTAAAGGGGAAAGAATCTCCATAGTAGCGGTTCTCAAGGATGACACCTTCAAAACTCGTTAGTACCGATTCTATTCTCGCTTGCTACTTATACCCATTCGTTTATACGAGACATACCTAAGCCATTCGTAGCTTGCATCAAAATTTGAATAATTCCGGTCTGTAGATTTGAGAATCTACTCGGACCGCTGGTCTCTCCTGAGATGTACAAGTAGACAGGCCCGCCTGTAAAGAGGTTAGCATTGCTATATCAAGCATAGGACATCACGTAAACTAACCAGGCTTATAGTAAGAGCTGTCGAAGTAATATCGCTGCTTGAAGGTGCCATGGCTCAGATTAGACTTGGAGAACAGCTCATTGTCGGGGAAATGGTTGATCTTCTGATCGAAGTAATGAACGCCATATTGAAGCTTATCCCGAGGCGCTTCACGCTTTATTTGCATTGCTCCGGCATCCCGAGAAAGGGCGGCCAGGAGGCCAATCGACAACCAATGCAGCTTCATGTCCTTAGCTGAAACTATGCGATCGATACCAAGAGAACGGATAGCAAAGTGCCAAGGTTGGGAATTATATGCTATGGAGATCCGGATCGACGGGAGCTGGGTGCCTTAACCAAGTAACCTAAAGACTATCTTCTAGCACGTCAGCTTGCGTGCGCTACCCAGTCGGGTTCGCCAAATATGATAAGAAGTAACGCAAACAATTCCTCAGTTAGGAAAGTTGCACGACGTCGTATTGCATGCTGACTAGATACTATCCCGGTTTATTAGTGGAGGTGCCTGGCTGCTTACCTAGATGGTCCGTGGATATCCATCTAACCCCTCTTTATCTACAATGTCTTAGAGTAGACCCGAGTAGGCCTAACAAAGGCTTACACGATGCTGTATATAGCATTCGGATCGATGGTTATTTTTCTTTCTATTGTGGGAATATGTTCGTGCTGTGTCAACGGGCGTAATGTGAGCCCCTATAGGCATACAGATCGAGATTGAAGAGTATATACGTGCTTCTCAAAGGTATGTGATGAGTAGCAAACACTACGTAACGGTTATACGACTGGAATCATCCCGGCGAATATTGTAGAGTTCAAAAACTGCGGTACTTGATCTCGGAGGTTGCTTTAAATGGATGGATTTTCGTGCAACTCCGCATCTAGCACATCACATCCGAAGATCCTGTCACTCAAGAAAATATATATGATCTCGCCTTGAACCCGTCTTATATGGAACCCGAGTGTAGCTCTGTGATCCAGACGTGTGGCCATCACCGTATCATTCTAGAAGTTAGACATGAAGATAATTCTCTACGATCCCCCCTCATAGTGTATTACATAGTAGTATATTTTCTGAGGTAGTTACACATAGTACACTATTATACTTCATTACTCTCTTAGTTGTAAGACATTCTGCGAATACTCTAGGTAATACATACGTAACTAATGTAATATATGCCTCGAAAAAAAGGGAAAATACCGCACCATAATATTTACAACTTACCTAGGGTGAAGGTGAACGTACGAATGTTTTTACGACGTAAAATAGTCCAATAAGCTATTTAGAAATGTGTTGCCCCAGTGTCCGTTCCATAAGCTGAGAGTCCCCCGAATGAGCGTGCTGGAAGGGCGCTTTCAACCATCACTAACACTAAGACAAGGAACTATATTATCATCGTCATTTAAATACACGATAAAGTTTTTATTATAAGGATATGTCGCAATGGAACTCAGTTAGTCATTCTATAGCAGAGCCAAAAACAGAATATATATATATGTGCATTTACGTTGGTTCAGCCCTATCCATCTCGCAGCGCGCCGATGTTACGCTACTACCTATTTAAAGGGGATATGCCGAGGGTTTTCCCATTGCGGCGCAGTACCTCAGCTTATTCCAACTAATACATACATCCAACGGCTTCTTCTTCTTATTTTTATACCTATACCCATTCTGACTGTTCACTGGTAATAGTTTGTCCGTTGGCTACCGAAGCTATCCCGGTCGATTACGTCCGTCTAGGTAGTCCGGTGCAAGCGTAAATGCTACTTCTACTTCCACATAGATCCGCGCCATGCCGGCCTTGGTCAGGATAAGGCGGTTTAACTCAGGCCCCAGGGATACTTCCATCACTCTGTTGAACTACATACATAGTAAATCGTTATTGAGCACCCTCCATATCGGCGTCTTCGTGACCGCTTTCGAAGGCTTAGCGCCGTCATTATTACCTATCATCTGCAAATATGACGGCCGCGTCCGTACCTCGTATACGAACTCGCAAGCCCAAAGTCCGCTCCGGTAGGTCTCGTCTTATAAGTCTACTTTGACTATCTTGTCTGCTGTGAAGATATGCTTTGTTAACCCGGGCTGAAGGCTGCGCTACGTGTAAATCGCGAAGGATTAAATGCGATGAAGGTCGGCCGACCTGTGCTCGCTGTCAGAAAACTCGGTTGCCTTGCAAATACGACTACGACCAAAGCAGGACTCAAGACGGCTTCCTACCGGTATCTAATAGTAGCGACGCCGGTTCGCAGATAGCCCCAGGGGTGCGTTCACATGATTTTGAAGGGCACGAGGTCTTCTACTTCGACTTATTCCGTAACGTTGTCGTGCACAATCTCTCTCAGAACGGGTATAAGAATTTCTGGACTCGGACTGTACTTCGCGAGAGCCTTAGAGATGAATGCGTACGGGATTGCGTCCTGGGTAGTGGCGCATTGTGCCGGGCAATGATGGACCAGATTCATCGCCTGAAGCAGCCGGGGGCCAAGTTCCTTTGGATGGTCCCGACAGATGCTATTAATCCTATTAATACTAGATACCACAGAGACGCACTCCAGTTTTATACCACGGCCATCTCAAAGTTTCGAAGGCGGATACTGCTTGAAGGCTCATCTATTACGCCACGAACAATCCTGATTATCAGCATTTTGTTCATCGTGTTCGAGGCGATGCAAGGCAACACAGAGACCATCGACCGGCTTATGCACTCTGCCATACTCGCTCTGGAGAGTTCCTTGTCAGGTAGCATGACGTTTGGTTCTCGATTACCGCCGACTCTGGACGACGAGGGCGTCCGTGAAGCAGATTATTTCCTCGCGCGCCTGTCTGGGTTCAACTCTTTGCTATCTCCGTTTTATCCCGCCATACTGAGAAACAAAGCATATCAAAGAACTTGGTTGTGCAGAGATGCTATTCCTAGCAGCGACCAGAGCACACAGCAGATAGAGCACAACTTCGAAAGGCACACGACATACATGTTATTCTGGTGCTTTCGCACAGTCCAGACCAAACTTTTCAATAACCCGACGGATTTTATGAAATTCCAAGAGGAACAGACGCTTGCTATAGACCAATCGGAAATTTGGTGCGAATTTTTGGAAAGCAAAGTAGAACAGGAGAAGGATCCCGTTCGGTGCTGGAGTTGGAAGATTATGCTAGTAGAGGCAAAGATGTTCAACATCTACGCTCATTACCGCCACGACCCAGAAGAATGCGAGGCTATGTGGGATTCGCAGCTCCCCATCTGCCGCGAAGTCATCGCACTCGCGGAGTCGGTGTTACAAGAAGGAAGCCCGCTTACCGGTACTCTGCCGCCCCTTTTCGAAGACAAACTGCAACCGATGCTGCGTTCCCTAACATGCAAATGCCGCAACTACAACATTCGGTCGAGGGCGCTAGCTCTCTGTCAGAAGCTATCTGGGCCCTGGTTTGAGAATAAAGCGATGGTTGTCGGCATGAAGATCCTGATTGAGCTGGAAGAGCAGCAAAGAGACGCTTCTGGGTTCATCCCCTACCGGTCAAGATTAAGATGGAGTATATCATCGTGGAACGACGACCGGACAGAGCTACGGATGGTGCTCACAGGAGTTGTTTTTACGGGCCATCGGAAGGAGTTGACAATCCGTAAAGACGAAAGTATCGATGACATGATTGCGAATATATCTAAACAGGTATCTAGCCAGTAACTAAAAGTACAAAGACTTAGTTAGGAGGAGCACCACTCGGATCAAAGTCTATGTTCTACGACGTACATCGTGGGCTCCTCGGCTAAGCTAGATATAATAAGAAAGAGATAATAAAGACTCAACATCTAATATTAGTTAAACAAGTACATAAACACTAACTATCAAAACTCATAACTAATAGCTATCTAAAACAAAGGTTCTCAACCAGAAAACAGTAGGTATTCCACATGGCAAAACAAAACGCAGTAACACCACCAAGAAAAAACTATCAGCAGCAGTGTCTTACCTCCAACAGCAAGGTCCTGAAACGGAAGTTCCTGAAACGGCCACAACCAGCCGTGACAGTAGGCCATAAATAGCCTGCAGACACAGCACCATCCTAACATCGTACTTCTTAGCCTTAAACTGATAATAAAGCTCCTCATCCCTACGCTTCGCCTCCTTGCGCCTGCGCTCGGCAAGCCAAGCATCCCTCTCGGCGTCTCTAGCCTCCCACTCGGCAAGCTTAGCATCCCACTCCTTCTTCAGTCTGCGTTCCTCCGCCGCCACTGCCATCGTCTTCGCCGCCTCCGCCGCCTCCGTCGCGCATCTCTTAAGGATCTTCTTGCGCGCCTTTATCAGCCCCTTTACCCGTCGAGCCTCTTCCTTTGTCTTGATATATTCGAGTATCTTGTTTGCGCTGTCTCCGAGGCCCGCGAACCGGAGCATTATCGTCTCGTCTCGAGTCTCGGCGCAGAACTCCTTGTGCGTCCGTGGGCTCGGCGGTACCTCTTCCCCCGTCTGCACGTCGTGGGCGATGCCGAATGTGACTCTGTTGGGGGATGGTAGCTTGACGTCGACTGATAGTGTCTTTAGGATGCCCTTGGGACGAGGCTTAGGGAAGGTAGGGCGATTCATGGTTTCTTACTCGAGGCTTGGATATCTATCTTCGAATTGTGACTTGGCTTTTTTTTTATGGATCTTGAAATTATGTTTCAATAAGTGCTGGCTGTTACGTTTATTACACAGATACCATATTCTTGGCTAAATACTTATCCTGCAAAGCATTCCAATAATAGCTTGTTATGCTGTTATATTAGTTTGTTGAAGCTGCTTCCTTGTCGCGACTATCGTAGACAAAGAATAGCATCACAACTACAATATCTTGTTCTTAATCCCAATTCTATCACCCCCAAACAAGGCGTTGCCAGCTCTTTTGTTCATTAAACATTGTAAACGAAGACAACCTTCTTGATATAGTAATATATTTTCTAGACTCATGTAACATCGTGCTAGACACGACGTGGATTAATGGGGGGAATTTTACATTAGATGACTTTCATACTTAATTTTTAATAATAGATACATTGCAGGCTTTTGTAACGCACGCCAATGTTGTTGCTATGTACAGAAGCCCAGATACCAACTCCTTCTACACACAGTCTCTTGCCCACCGGTTTTCACGAAGCCCCCCTTAGTTTTGAGACTGCAGAATAGTAAGTATCAACACATTTCCGCTGTGAGCGATGCAACAAAACACATCAGTCCTCGCAGTACCTGCTAGGATAACTGGTGCTATGTCCTCGTAGAGGCAAGGCAGAAGAGAAACTACAAAAGTACAAGACTCCACAGGAACATACTAAGCAAGCGTATGTCCGTTCTAAGCTGGATCGACTCCATAGAAAATGGAAATATAGGTGACAGTTGCTGTCGGAAATGAAAAGAGTCGTTAGACTGGATGAATCTGAGGGTACAAAAGGAAATGCAGAGAATGCGTCGTCTTATTGGCACAATGGTGAAAAGAGGTTCGGGTATCTGTCATAATCAAGGAAATTTTCGCCATTCGGAAGTAGGCCGCTCGGTATAATAGAAAGACCTCGAAGAGTTTATTGTCTAAAGGAGCTGTGACTTTGGTGTGCGTCTTGGAGAGCTATATATGGTGTTAGTATATAAGCCAGCTAGAAAAGAGAATATATTGAATAGGGCTTGCGTTACTTACCTTGTAATATATTTAACTGACCGGCTCGGTCTTCGCAGGCAATCTGCAGACACGAACCTTCCACGAGATCCAAGACAACGCTGTTAGGGAGTTCCTGGATCTCGACATCAGGGATGTAGGGTGCGCGAAAGTCGCTCAGGTGATAACGCTTAGCACCGGCAGCGACAGCCTTATCCTTTCCAGCCACTGCGGCGCCTTGGATAGCACTCAAAAATAAAAATCCCTGGGTGTCTAGAGCCATGCTGCGACGCTTCCATAGCAAGTTGTCCGGAAACTGCACATTCACATCTCCCATATACGCCACAACCGCTGGTTGAGAAGACAGGGTGTCGTTAGTCGTAGGAGCGGCGAGCTGATCCGCATCTTCCTCAGCGACAGTAGGAGAAATGTGCGGGCTGGTGACTTTCCTGTTTCCATTAAGAGAGTTCGACAAGCGTCTCATGAATCGAGATGCTCGCGTCTCGGACTTTTTATCGCTCTTCTTATCATCATCACCAGAACCACTGTCACTTAGGACAGCGGGCGACCCGATCGAATTCTCCCGCTCACGACTGAAAGATGAACGACGGCTTGAAATTGACAAACGTCGCGCGAAACCACCACTGGTCTGATGGGTTGACGGTGGCCTACTTGGAGACTTTGATCCGTTCGGAGACATTTTTGCTAAGTTATCAGTGGATTTGCTAGCAGTTGATGTTCGGCGGTCTTTGATAAAATCCTTGACTATGCTCAAAGAAGAGCGCCGATGTTTCTTCTCACCATCATCAGAGTTTGACTTTTTATCACGTCTCTCTTGAATTGTCTCCTTGGACACCTGTACTAGTGGGGTTGGCACTGGCTCAGGAACAGGTTGAGATAATTCCGGTCTTTGCAGGTCTACAATGAGTGGTGACTGCTTTAATTCGAGCTGGGGATAGTCACTGGGGCTTGCATTTACTTCAGGTTGCGTCGGTAGACTTTGCTCAGGATCGCGGACGATTCTCGCAGTGACTTGAATCGAGTCGGGCCGCCCACGAGGCGAATTCTGCGTTGGCATTTCAAACATGGACAACCGGCTAGCCACCGAGCGAGACCTCTCACGCCTCTCCGCGCCGGAAAGTTTAGGTCTTTCTTGAGATTGTTCAGCTGTGGGAGCAGGTTGCTCTGGAGAACCGGTATGATCCAGCACGGAAGAAGGTCTTGGCGGTTCTCTAATGCTCTGCCTACGAACACTGAAGAAAGCCGAAGATGGTGCTGCGGTTTTCGGACGAACGTCTTCCGGACCACCAGGGCCTGAGAGCTTCTCTAAGGCTTTAATTCTCTGCGAGATGCTCGAGCCGAGATTGTTCTTCTTAGCTTGCAAACCAGCATTCGACGACTGTCGGGTGATATTGTGTAGTAGAGCTGCACCACCCGCCGATACACTTCTAGCACTGCTCTGTGATACATCACTGGGTGCCAGGAGAGGCCCACGCATCGGGTTTGAGACTGCACGCGATAGTGGCGGTCCTGGCCTGACGGAACTAGGATTGGGGAAAACAGGAGTAATAGGTGACTTGGACACGAGCATAGGCTTGGCTTCTTGCAACGTTGCTGACTGTAGTTCCTCCATCAAAGCATCGTCAAGAAGCGGATCAGAGGATTCAGAGTGAGGCGTGGTCTTCGTCAAGTCGGTTCGAATGGTTCCGACGACGGTCCTGCGCTTAGCTGATTTCGGGGGAATCGTGATCTCTGAGGCAGCCTTCGAGAATGATTCCCCTCCGGTCTGTTCACGGTATTCTACGGATGTGTTCGGTAGAGCGGGAACGGGCTCTGCGGGAAGAGAGATATCTGGTATAGAGAATTTTGATTTTAGACGGGGAGCTGTTGGTGATTTCTGTTCGGCTGAGTTTTGCGGCTCGTTGGAAGAGAATTTTGAAACAGGCAATCTCCAAGGTGATTTGGGCGTGTCCTCTTCGCTCGGGGGTTGCTCGTTACCCTTTGAATTGGGCGGCGAGATGATATCAGTACGACCATCCGCCTCGACTGAACTAGGGAGCGAATGCTCTGTTGTTTGTGTAGGATGGTTTGGACCCTCTTGAGATTTCTGACTGACTTCAGTATTTTTCGCGTCTAAAACATCCGTGTTCGTCTTAGTCTGTTCCAGCCCGTCTTCCATTCCCGGAAGATCTCTAGGCGCAACCTCCTCAGCCTCTTTCCTTATGTCTTTCGAGGCCTGGACAATCTCGTCAGTCGACTCGGATAGGGAGGATGCTTTCGTGGATGCCCCTATTTCAGATGATGTGCCACCCGTCGGAGAATTTGGGCGGGAGTAGGATGTATCCTCGGTATTGATCGTCATCGGGGTGGGTGGGTCAATGGCAATACCAGAATCTGCGTTGGATACGGCACGGTGACCAGTGTCGCCCTTGATTCGTAGAGAATCTTTAGATTCAGTATCACATCCTTCTTTCTCCTCGCCTGGAGGTGGAATATCTAAGGGTGCTGTCTGCTCTGGCGTTGTTGTAGTAGTCATCATCTTTTTCTTTTCCCTCAGCTTCATGGCCTTCATAAGTCGTGCTTTCTCAGGTGTAATTTTCACCTCCTTTGTCGGTGGGGGCGCTAGCGATTGAGTGGTTAATTTAATAGAAGCTCCCGAGCTTGTGGCGGGTCGCGGGGGCAGTGGAAGGCCAGTGCCTTGTGGAACCTCAGGGATGGGTTTAGATGGCGCCAGGGCGGTATCCAAAGCAACCCCCCCTTCAGCTTCTTCAGTCTTCTCGACGTGTTCCATATCCTGAGACTGCCCTTTCTTGGTCCCCTTGGAGAATAGCTTAAATCCTGCCGGCAAGGCTGCAGTGGGGCGAAAGTTTTCCGCGGTTGAAGGCCTTTTGTTTGTATCTAGAGATGGTCGGGGGCCGAGCTTCACTTTTGGTTTGCCATATGTATATGTCGCGTAGCCGTATAAATCGGGGCGCGTGGATTGGGAGGATAGACGTGGAGCACTTTCGGACAGTGTAGGAGATGTCGGTCTGTCAGCTCCTGTAAATTCTGGTACGTTGGCTGTTGAGGTAAAGCTGGTTTCTTGCGGGGCGGAGATCTGTTGACTATCGAGTACGGTAGGGCGTGCTATAGGCGGTGAGTGAGCGGGTACCGAGTACACAGATGATGCGCGTTTATCTTCCTCCTTAACCGTGGACTGCCTTTTCCTCTCCCTTTCTTCTTCTTCCTCTTCCTCAGCAATCTCATTCAGTCTCCGCCGTCGTAATGAACTCGAGGACGAGCATGCCGATCCGGAAGCAGTATGCAGCGAACAAGCTGCAGAAAGCTTACTATCTTTCAGATCTTTGGCTACCGAAATTTCGAAAGTGATATCGTACGGCGCAAACCGTTCACAAACAGCATTGAAATGCACTGCTGCACGAGCTATACATGACAAAATTCAAATCGAATTAGCAACTTATCCTGTTCAGTCTTCTATTTCCAGAGCCAGATTGCAAATGACTAGACAATAGGTGTATAATATAATTAGCTGAATATCTCACCTTGGATAAGTCTCGAGCAATCCTCAGGTTGGTATTTTAATAAGACAATCCTCCGCCTGTACTTGAGGAAGCCGTACAATGGCGATGCCTCTTCGTATTTTGCAATTGCGCCACGAACATCAACGATACCACCACTCCCATGATCAAGAAGCTCAACCTCGTCGCGATTGGCGTATTTGAGAAGGAACCTGTGTTAGTTGGACCAAACTTAAGTCAGCGGCGCAAGCTCAACGACAAACAAATGATCTGGGACGGGGAATAGAAAAAGATAACATATTGTGGTGGTGACAGTGACGTAGATCACGACATATTTACCACACGAGGAATGTTTTGGCTCAAGACAAGAAAAGATGCTTCATACCATCCGCCAGGTTCGGTGGTAGCGACTTCGTGGGCTTCTATAACCTTGGCATCGTCCAGTCCATTCAACGACATTCTTCTTAGAAGATGCCGTCCAATGCGACAGCTAATCTAGTAGGATTCGGATTGTTACGCTGGAAAAATCGTCGACTTGTATTCTTTTTTTTTCTTCTTTTTTTATATGCGATTCGAATCCTACCGGCCTACAACCAACTTATCGGCAGGCGAGATACAGGAAGGATCGGATGGTTGTCCGGAACCAGAACCAGGGGCCAATTCGAGGTACCGGCAATCTGGTTCGACATTGAGATAACACCATTCGAAGGTGATAAAGTATTTACAGAGATATCACCATAAAGATGGTGTCGACGACAAGGCGCATAACGTGAACCGAATTTCTGTACACAAATGAAGAAAAGTTGAAGCGGCCGAAACGAAACTAGGCGGGATAGCGGTATGGGGTTCGACCAGGGGGGCAGGAAATTTCGATAGGGGGTTGAAGGATAGTAATATCGTTCGCAGCTAAACTACCTACATATGCTATGTAGATAGACCAGGGATCAGGGGGTGGTGTCCGGTGCGGAAGCCCGAGCGCTAGTAAGACATCTACGGCTCAGATAATCTTCAGCAGTTATGTTATGTAGGACAGAAGACACTATTAACGACGATAGAAGGGAAAAAACTAGTGAATAGGATCCTAAAAGGGTGAATGATCCGTGGTAGCGAGGAACAATCTAAGGAAACTGCCGAAGATGCTTTCACCGAAGTTCGTACAAACGTAAGGTCCTTTAATGTACTTTGTAAGATGATATAAATAAAAAGAATTAAACGAGTGACGAGTGACAATAATTAATAGTAAGACAGAAGACAAACAGCCACCTTCTATCTTTCTACTTCTAGCAATGTGTATGTATGTAGAAAGAGAGACAGGATACGGCTGGGAGGTATGTAGAGTCTGGTAAAGAGATTCAACGGAGTGAAAATGTGGTGGTAAGCTTAGAGATGAGCCAATGATAGTCGATCGGTTGAAGAAAGGGGGAACATCGGAAGTGCACTTGGGATTTCACACTTGGTTTTCACACTTGTTTTGTGGAGGTACCTGCCTAACAGGAGATTACCCTACCCAGACTGCTAGATTGGGTACCTCTCTTAGGAAAGTGCGTACGAAGTACACCTATTAGGTACTTATGTAATCGGGATTCGATACATAGGTACATAATGAAGTACATGCAAATATAGGGAAGAGATATGTAATACCATCCCCTATTCAAATTCCATTCCATTGAAGGTCCAAGGTCGAACCCCGTATCTTAAACATTGGGGTTTTCCCATTGAAAGAAGCCTTGGAATATGTAAACTTACAATGTGACAATAGATTGCTGAAGCTGATCTTGGTATGTAGAGGAATACGTAATTTAGAAGGTTCAAATCTCGGCCAACACTAGCCTAAATCTGTAACAACAGAGAAGCGCTAATCTCGACCACCTTGCATTAGTAGATTGTGCCTGTTGTACATATGTATGTACGTGCATATGTACATAATATCAGGTTAGAGCGACGAGCAGCTTCGAGCCCCGCACCCTTTTTTTTTGCAACGCATAACCACGTTAGATCTTGCGCAATCTTCAAGGTTCATAGTTCCAGCATTGAGACATCTACGAAATAAGCCAATCAGCTTGCGCGACGCCAATGAATATAGTTTGGTACAGTATATCAACATTAATACTGTGCAGTATCCTCTTTCAGGGGCACAACGTGGAGGGCCGTCTCTCGCTTTTATTGATCCCCTTATTTAATATTCTGCTGGACTTTTCGGAAAAGGCGCCAAGATTTTGCTCGGCCATCTCCTTTTCATTGCCGTTAGGCGAAAAGGATCTTCAGTAAATTATCTTGAATACGCGGGAATGTATAAGGATACCCGTCAGAGACAGAAATACTATCGTATACGGCATTCAAGCTTCACGTGTCCGTAGATGACTTCGAACTAATACTTCTAACTACAAAAAAGGGCCTGGGTTTATCTAGTTATATACACTACGTAGATACATGTAGGTACCTAATATACCGCGTTCTAAGTTCGTAAGACATATTATAGGGTAACATCGTCGCGACCCGGGACAACTCGTGTCATTCAATACCTACCTCATAAATGTTCGTCTCGACGGATGAGATAACTTGTATAGCATATTCGGATGGCCGAAAACTTTCGTGTGCTCACCATCTGTTAACCAGAAACCTACCCGAAGGAAGCGTAGGCCGGACTTGTCAAGATGTCGCGTCCCATATTAAATGAGAGGATTGGCTACCTGTTAAGCAAGCCAAATTTACTTGAACCTCTCAGACAACCTTCTGGATTTTCTAGATAGCAAGTAACTAGATGTACTAAAACTCCGGCTTGTAATCGCATCTGTAATACTACGCTCTTGTTTGAAGTATCATCGAGTATGACGGTGTGGCTGTAGTTATGCTGATATAATACATACATGTAGAATTAATATCAACTGTCAGCATTGCTCCCCCAAATCAAGATAACAGACTGACCTACACATCCCATAATCCCGACCATACATGAGATGTAAGAACCTTAAGTCGTTTCCAGCCGAAAGATTAGCTTAGAAACACCGAGAGAGTTTTCTCGTACCTAGCAAGACCTTATTTACTAACGTCTTGTTCTATCCTGCGGAGAATCTTCCTATTAAGAACGAATGTCTAATCCAGTCTTAATTTACGCTAGCAGTAGAGAAAGAGATCTAAAACAGCTTTTTTCTTTCTCTAGACCTCTTATATCTAGTTGGGTGCCTACACCTACTTGCAATTTACTTTAGGGCTGACAACCTACTCGGGACGAGTAAATTATACATTTGCTCGTCTGAGACGGAAAAGGGTTGTTCGCCAAAGACGCTAAGGAGGGAGAGTCGAAGCTGAGATATGGGTTTAATGTTAGAAGAATGGCAAAAAGCCTAAATCTAACATCGAGGATGGACAATTAACCCGAATTGTCTCTAAGATTCTCATCTTTTAGTCTGGTCTTCCCATGGGTGAGGATATAAGCTTTCATATTGCCAGAATGTTATTGATTGCTGACCACTACCTTTTCATAAGTCCGTGCTAAGTTAAATCATCATTGTCAGTAGGCTTTACAGCCCACTTGCTATCTTCGTCCCCCGAAATGGTCGGGTCTTCGTTTACTCCATAAAGATGTCTCCCTAATACAAATATGAAATGGCCAACGGAACCAACCATCTTCGTAGGCTATCAGCTTGACTATGGTAGCATCGTGGTCATGTACTGATCAAGGTTCACCTGAAATATGCACATCATGTCAAAAACGTTAGACATGCCCCCCTACTGCCTCCTGAATAACGAAAACCTTAGTGTATCGCGAGAGTCAAGTTTGGCAGCAACTTTTGGAAGCAGGATGTAAAACAGGTATGTAATTGTTGGTGGAGAGATCCCAAGAACAGTACAATAATCCCATTATAAAAGAACCGGAATTAGTATTTCAACGGCAGGCCAGTCGTATTCGCAGCTGTCGAATCCGGAGTCGCGAGACCGTCTGGGTTCGGGATTGCGTGTGTAGTGACCTCCGGCGCGTCGCTGTCTTCTATGGACGAAGGCTCCTCCTCGACCGGCCCTTCAATGATGGTTGGTTTGAAAGAATCTCCGTCGTCGATGGCTATAAGATCATGGCCTCGGCCACTGTTACTAGCTGATACGCCAACGGCTGGCGAATCGCCTTCGGCAATTTTCTGCTTAGTAGAGTTTACAATCTTATCGGCTTCGCTTATCTTGCCTCCCGCACCAGAGCTGTCTCCTTCCACACCGATGAGATTCTCCTTATTGTTTTGATTCTCTAGCAGGGCAGCCTTGTCGAATCGGACGATCATGCATGACAAGTTGTCTGTGCTGAAGCGAGCCAGGGCATGGTCAACAAGCTTCTTAGCCGCAGCTGCCGGGTCTCGTTCGTCGCGAACGAGATTAACAGCATCTTGGTCTTCGCAAACGTCCCAGAGCTAGGCACTTATTAGTAACAGTGAAGTATAAAGAAAACACACATATATAATGGACTTACACCGTCGCAAGCAATGATGATGAACTCGTCTATTTCGGGCTGGATAACGGTCTCGGTGGTGTACGGATGACCTGTTACAAGGTCTTTCATGTATGTATCTCCAAGAGCTCGAGTGACGGCTAATACACCATTCACACGGTTATTGAGGATCAAGCCTCCAGCATTCGCGATCCGCTTTCCTTCATTCTCGTCGCTACCCTTGTGGTCATACGAAAGACGTAATGCTTTACCAGCTCTACATAGAATGATCCTAGCATCACCCACATTTGCCGTGTATAGAACACGCTGCCGAACCGCAGTGCCCTTCAGCCTTGCGTGAGCTGATTCGGCGATAGCATTGTTACTACTATCATTATTATCAAGCTTCGAATCCCGAGGTTTTAATGTATCCGGCGTCTTTGAAGCAGCTGCAGCTGCCGGGGCGATGGCTTGAGAACCGGTTGCGGAGTTTGAGCTAGGAACCCGGTCCTCCCAACGCAAGACGGCAATAGCTGCGGTACAGCCACTGTTTTTAAGAGGAAGCTTCTCGAGTTGTGCATCCACATTGGTGAAAGTCTGATCCAGAAGTTCGGGAATAGGCACGTTAGGATTTCGTCGTATGGTGTCTTCGAGAATAAGATGCAGCTTCTTTCCACACCAGTCTGCAGCGAAGGTACCCGCATGTCCATCAAATATTGCAAAGTAGCCGTTGTCGGTTTCTATTATGTCCTGCGCGCTCGACTCAGGCTGGCTGGAATCCTCTGATGTAGACCTTTGGGACTTTTGGCTCTTATTGCCCGAATCCGGGGCAATGAGGGGTGCAGGAGTATGCAGGAAATTGTAGAGGAACGCATGCGTGTCTTCCATTGTACGACGGCATTTTTTGTTCCTGTCTTCCCAGACACCGACGCGGAAGGTAGATCGTGGACCTGGAAGGGATTCGCCCGCAGAGTTATTATGCTGGCCTTGAGGTACCGCAAGAGATTGATCTTGCTTGCCTAATTTCTGTAGAGGAGTCTGAGAGCCAGCGTCACTATTTGTCCTGCCAACCTGGCCGAAATTCAAGCTATTTTTGGCGCTGGCTATAAGACTGCTGGCTTTGCTCCCAACGCCAGAACTCCTGCGCTTCTTCTCCGAATTGCCCGTATCGGGGTTATGTCGCCCGGGCGGGCTACCATTTCCACTGCGCTTCTCGCCGCTAGTCGCTTGATCAGGAGATTTTGACGGAGCCACACCCGAAACGGACTCGTGCTTTCGGTCCGGAGACGGGGATTTCTTCTCCGACTTCGTAGATTCGGCTACAACAGTATCGGATTTGGCCGCAGCAGAACTGGAGCCGCCGCCAAACATTCTATTAAGCAGACCTCCCTGCGAAGAGAGACTGCGTCGCTTGTTCCCTGCCAGATTTTCGGGAGTTGAAGTCGTCGATTGTGGAGGGGGGATATGAGGTCAATATGTAGGATGCGCCTAAGTCGTTAAGCGATGCGGAGAAATGCGCCGATCTTTTAGGAGGTGCGGTAGGTGGGAAAAAAAGATTGTACAAAGGTTTATGTAGATTGGCATCAAAGAATTGGGCGCACAAGATACTTGAGTCTGTATAGAGCTGTCGTCATATATGAGGCGTTTGGCTAAAGTCTTGTGACGGTGGGACGCTAAGAGTGACTAGGTTAGACAGCTGTGGTCATCATATATGTAGTACTGTATCGTATAGGAACCCTGTTTGTTGTTCGGGGATAGAGGTTTTAACCGTAAGGGAGTGATGAATAGTAGAGCTGAAAAGGAAGCGCCTAGCGCCGTAAGGTAGGCGATTATACCAAGTATAAGAGAAGGACAGGAACGAGGAACCGAGAAGAAGACAATACCGAGGATAATAGGAAGTGATCGGGCTGTGCAATAGTAAACAGGCGCAGAATAAGATACCTAATAAGATAGGTAGGGCGATAAGTGGTGTAGGGCAATGTAAGGTTAGATTAGGTAGAGACAGGTAGAGACAAACAGACAGGGATTGAGACTCGAATCAAGTCGAGTCACTGTTTTTGAGAGGATAAAGAAAGGAGAGTTTGCGACTAACCAGGCAATTAATCTATGTCACGTACTCATTGGCTCTGAGTGAAGAGGGTATCTGAGACGTGTAGAGTTTGTATGGTGTGGTATGGTACAAGTACAAGAGTTGTCGCGAAGTTGAACAGTGATGAATCGTGGGGTGTGTGATGTAACGAATGGTGGAATTGAGAACGAACGAGGGGAGAAATCTGGTGTATTGAGCAGGTCCACCCCTACCTGCCTAGGTAGGCTGCTGGGTTAGCTGGTTAGCTTGTTAGTCAGGTTGCTTGAAGGAAGGCGCTACCCTGGGACGGAGAATGCCAATTGGTCTGTGCACAGAAAGGCAGTACCACAGGCGCTGGTGCTTCGGAGCTACAATAGCATCCGGGACGCAATCGCAATCATCTTAGGGGCAATGATAACCAATGGGGAAATCCTATTGGGAATCCGATTGGGAGACTTGACGATCACTACATGTACCCACCTGAATTTCAGTATCTATCTATCTGCACGCATCTGTCCTCATAGATATATCTATTATCTTAAATACATACATGATGTATGTATATCTTAATATTTTTCCAATAGATCTCCAACCCAAGATGGCCTACTAAACTACTCGGATATGTGATTGTCGATATCATCTGTGGGATAATGTGTAAAAAGGAGGTTAGAATACATACGGATTCGGTCTCCTAAATCTATAATAGCGAACGCGAGCCCGATAAGCGCGCAGATGATATCATTTACCCCACATACGCGGACAGCTGCGGTAAAGCTGCATGGTCCGAAAAAGCCACGTCTAAAACGCCCCTTGTTCTACAATGTCGACTTAATTCATCCACCAAGGCGCCACTACCATAGTGTATAACAAGCTATCGCAATGGAATCTCATGTTATGACCTAGGTTAGGTTAGAAGGACAGTGTTGTTTATACTAAACCTTTTACGATATTACCAAACAACTACCCGAATCTTATTTACCATTTCTAGTATCTCAGCGTCTTACTAAAGAACTTACACCATCAATATTATTAATAGGTTTGGATGAGGACTTTGCATATGGATTGGTAATATTGTTACTGATATATTCGATATATCTAATAGCTTCGTACATATATTAGGTCTCATAGTGACATAATAATAGCATTCATAACTATAAGTAACCGCCTGTCTACATACCTTCTGTCTGCCTTCACTCACTTTCAAGGCTTAACGGCAACTATGAAAATTATCACAACTAAAAAAATAAAACTACATTGCCCAATATGACAGAGACATTTGGCCCAGCTTTCAGAGACCAGGAACGGCCGCTTCTAAGCTTCGGGTTGCCCTTCGTCGAATCGCTCTTTAAACACGCAGACGATACGTTTCATGCAACTAGAATCTACGTTATCTGCTCTAGATCTCTTGCGGGAAATACGGCATACCTCGATGAGCTTAAAAGAAGATTGGGCGACAAAATCGCCGGTGTTAGGATTGGCATGAAGCCGCATTCTCTCTGGTCTGAGATACTTGAGGTCGTAGCCGACACAAGAAAAGTCGATGCAGACCTAATCGTCACGTTAGGCGCGGGAAGTCTAACAGACTCGGCTAAAATAGTCTCATTCGTATGCTTATTACATCCCGTGGCTGGTGATAAAGGGGCTAGGATACTAACGTACACTAGGCATTAGCAAACGATGTCTCAACTCATGCTGAGCTAGACTCTCTCTGTACAACAAGCCCTAAAAAGCGTGATGATATCAAACCATCAAAAGTGCCGGTTGTTTGCGTCCCCACGTCGCTCTCGGGTGGCGAGTATTCGCCCTTTGCAGGTGCGACGAACGACGAGACGGGGCAAAAACACTCCTTTTCGGGAGCGCTACGGAGTCCTGCCCTGGTCATCCTTGACCCAAAACTTAGTACGACAACGCCCGATAAAGTCTGGCTAAGCACCGGTATCAAAGCCGTAGACCATTGCGTGGAAACCCTCTGCTCCCTGAAGAGTGACGATGCGGCAGATCAGGATGCTAGAGACGGGTTGTCTAAGCTTATCCCAGGTTTAATCAAGAGCAAGCAAAATCCTAAAGACCTTGAGGCACGATTGGGGTGTCAACTTGGTGCTAGAGATGCTATGAGCGCGGGTAGTCGGGGAGTGCCTTTAGGGGCAAGCCGTAAGTGAAATCTCAGACTTTCCTCTATCAGTCTACTCTGAGTAGGTAGCTATAAACTCCCGAGACTACTACCCGCGATTAAACCAACTCCAAAGCTCTCGAAGATAGATATTGCTAACTCTAGTTACTGCAGATGGCATCGGTCATCAATTAGGCCCAGCGGGCGTGAGTCATGGCGAGACGAGTTGTATTCTGAACCCAGCCGTGTGCAAGTATAACTACAAGAAGGGCGCGAACGTCGAACGTCAAAACGCCATTACCCAGCTCCTCTGGGAAGACTCTAAAGCCAGAGAGATATTTGCCCAGAAAGGACTGGAAAAGAAGACGGCTGACCTTGGCGATCTGATGGATGCTATCATCCGCGCTCTTGAGCTGCCGAGGACGCTTAGTGAGTTTGGTATTGGCGAAGATAAACTTAGCGATATCGCCGAGCACAGCTTGAAGGATCGCTGCGTACAAACCAATCCAGCCCCTCTGGATAAGGAGGGCGTGTTGGAGATACTAAGGATGGTACTCGAATGAGCTGTGTTCGTAATGTATATTATCCCGTATGAGATAAAACAATGTCCATAAAAAACAGATCCCAAGCTTCCACGCCTTACGCTCATAACCGCACATATTAATGTCTCAACAAGTCCAGTCTTTGTTAAATCCTTTGCTGTCGCACGTAAAACCTTACACCTAATCCATATTTATATTTATTTCCTCAAACTGTCAAGACGAGCCTGGAGATCATCATCCCCGGGATCCCCACCGCCGCCGCTAGGGCCACCGATAGCTTGGGCAATTCGCCCCTCGGGAACTTTCTCAGATTGAAGGCCTGTCGGGGTTTCTCCGAACTATTCAGTGTTAGACAGCGAGGCTTGCAAGTTACGGTGAGTAGTCTTCTACTTACGGCTTGATTTAGGTCGACACCAATTTCCTCCAAGACTTGTTCCACAACTTCATCGCCCTCCTCTTCTATGCCAACGTCCATTGCATCGTCAATCGCATCATCCATCATCTCCTGCCTTTCGTCCATAATAGCAGTCTCTCGTTCGAATTCCATGGCGATACGCTGTAATGCGGGCAAGTTCATCGACCTGTTCATACTGCCGAGGGCGACCGTAGCTCCTTTCATTGCTTGCATCATTTGCTCGTTGGTTCGATGGGTCTGAAGCGCGTGCTCGTCAGTGTGATGCAACTAATAGGTTCGCGACTAGAAGCGACTGACCTGTAGCCGTAACGATATTTTCTGTAGTTGACTCCTCATCCCGTAGAATTTCTCGACGTATCTGTAGAAGGGCGATCGGGTGTTAGTGGGATCCCCTACGTAATCGTCTACGATCCTAGAACCTCTTACCTTCTCGTACGTACAAGATCCTTCGCTTGGATCTTAGCTGCTCCCATTTGCCCCTTCTGCGCGCTCTGTTTAATCTGACCGACGAGAGTCTTTTCTTGCTTCTCTAGTTTAACTCGCACTTGATCTAGTTCCCGGATTGCTTTATCGATCATGCGCTGGTTCTTGCGTAGACGCTCGGCAGGCGTCATACGCTTACCGAAGGCCCATTCCAGGATCTAGCCGTAGATAGTCAGCTTTCCATTCCCATATAACCATTTGCGAGTTATTGTGGTCTGCCGGCTTACGTTCATCGCTGCGAAAGTCGGAGTATCTCACACGAGGCAGCTAGGAATCGTGCTCAAGCAGAGAAGGTATCGGATTGCCGGCGAACGGGGTCGTTGATGTCTAGCGATTTTGACGATTCTTAGTGAAGTACGCGGTATCGTTACGTCGATGGAGTCCAAATAGGCATAAATCTCGGTTGATTCCTAATAGGTTCCCAATAAGTTCCCAGCGGTCAGCGATGTGTAGCCTGGTAGCCTGGTAAATACGGATCCGTACCAATTAATGAGAACCTTGAATTGGATCAACCTCACATGCAGTGATGATGGGGGAAGTACGTAGGTACCTAATGTACATACCTCTTTGTACATAATGTCCAATCCCGCTACGTAATAGGCCCCGCTTAGTGCCCGTTACTAAACACACTTTTACACTAGTGTATATATGTATGAGGTATATATGCATATAAAGGAGCGTAACACTCGATTTAGATGTCCAAAAGTCTGATGTAATCCAGGGTTATGGGTCGATAAGGTGCTGCAACTCACTGTTAAGCGCACATCATCTCAACCAATCAGAGCTTTTTCTCTATATCACCATGCCATAATTTCCCGAGGTCGCCTCTATTCGAGAAAGCAAAAAAGCCAAAAGCCATCACCGCTCATCTTTCTACCCAAATAATCTTTCATTTACAACTACCCCGCGAATCACCACGAGAGCCAGAGGATCGATTCCCCACCATCGATTTCGAAGTCGGGAATACTTATGAGCTTACGAATTTAACGAAAGCGATGAGCGGCAATCAAAAAGGCAAGGGCAAAGGTCGCCGCGGACGGAACCGTGAGGAAGAATCCGCATCACCTCCGTCTTCTTCCGGAGCCCCGGGTTACATGACCGTCGGCAGCGGTTCCTCGCAATATGCTTCACGGCTGCAAACACTTATAGACGACGATTCGGGCTACGGCGGTAGCATCGCAGGAGACGATGCTGGTTCATCTAGACGACCGGTCGGCTCTTCTCGAGTTGGCCCGTCCTTGTCGGGGGATATGCCGCTACAACGTCGTTCTTCCAGCAGCCCGGATTCTGAACACCGAAAGGAAGCAGCAGCTATTCACCAGATGTGGTATAACCAGCATCGATCATCTTTAAATCGCGCCATCAGTAAGGTTGTCGATCTCCTCAAATCCCTCCAAGAGACAAATATCTCCTGGCCTGCGCACTACCCTTCAGTCCAGAGGGTGGAAAGAGTCTCTCCCGAACGATCCGCGCCACGTCCAGGAATACACCATACCTCTACTATGGGCCCAGAGCCCTCTTCGCACCGCTCGCGCCCATTGCGACGATCGATGACGACCACGGAAGACTACGAAACTGCAGAATCCAGTAGGGATGCCGAGAATAAAAACATAGTGGATTCGCCGAGATTAGTGACGCCGCAAATTGCACAGGAGTTTTCGATTCTAAAGTTGGACCTTAAATTAGGCAATCTACACCAGACCGAGCTTGTCCATTCTCTTGAAAAAGGATCTATTGCCGCATTGCTGGACGGAAAGATTAGCTCCAGCATCAAGCATTTACAGGTACTCCGTGAAAGAATCGAGGACACATCTAGCAAGGTTTTGGTAACTGGAGACCTGAACGCCGGAAAGTCTACGTTTTGCAATGCGCTACTGCGCCGAAAGGTTCTCCCGGAAGATCAGCAGCCATGCACGAGCATTTTCTGCGAAGTCTTGGATGCGAGGGAGAACGCTGGAGTTGAGGAGGTCCACGCAGTCCATCAAGATTCCATCTACAATCGACACGACGAATCAACCTATGACGTCTTCCCCCTAAGTGACTTAGAGGAGATTGTCCTCGACAATGTTACCTATATGCAATGTAAAGTTTACATCAAAGATGTACGAACGATTGACGAATCGCTACTCAATAACGGCGTTGTCGACATTGCTTTGATTGACGCACCGGGTCTCAATTCTGATACGACCAAGACGACGGCTGTGTTTGCGCGCCAGGAAGAGATAGATGTGGTTGTCTTCGTTGTGTCTGCTGCGAATCATTTCACCCAATCTGCAAAAGAGTTCATCTGGGCTGCTGCGGCAGAGAAAGCGTATATCTTCATGGTAGTCAACGGTTATGATCTCATCAGAGACAAGGAACGGTGCCAGAAGATGATCCTGGATCAGGTATATGGTCTAAGTCCTCGTACATTTAAAGAGTCCACCGAACTCGTGCATTTCGTATCCAGCAACGCTATCCCAGTTTCCCCACCCCCCGGCGGTCCAGACGGAGGAGGCAGTGGTAGCTCAAGTGGAGGTGGTGACGACCCTGGTGATGATCCCAAAGGAAAAGGCAAGGACAAGGAGAAGGTTCGGGACTTTGAGAAGCTGGAACAGTCCCTAAGGCGGTTCGTCTTGGAAAAGCGAGCACGGTCTAAGCTCGCGCCCGCTAAAACTTACCTCCTCAACATCCTCAACGATGTCAACGTACTTGCTACTGTCAATGCCGAGATGGCCACGTCCGAATTAGAGCGAGTGTTGAGCGAATTGGAAGTTATTGAGCCTCAGCTAGAAGCTTCAAGGAAAGCAAAAGCTGAGGTGAGTGAGGATGTGGACCAAACCATCGAGGAAACTTGTAAAGACATTTATGACCACACCCGAACCACGCTCAACTCGGTCATTGCCCACGCTGGTGATGGCAATTCCGGTGTACCTTATCCAGGTCTATTCCACGTTTTCCAGTACGCCGAAGAGTTGAAGGAAGCAATGCTGTCTCAGATCTCGGAGTCAGTCACGTCCTGTGAGGAGTATGCACGGACAAAGACTGTTGGCGGCGTAAATATGATCAAACAACTCGGCATAATGCATCTCGGCAACGAATTTCATGATCTCAACTTCCGCGCTGATGTCATGTTCCGAAGGAGACGTGACGTATTAGCGAAGCAAGTTGACGTAGCTACCGAGATATGGGACTTTGTCGACTGGTCTACAATTATGCAACGGCAAGAGAAATTGGCTGGTACTGGAATGGCCTTAACCGTTGCCACCGCCATCGGTGGTCGTTTGGTTGGCGGTATGGGATGGATGGACCACACTCTGAACATAGTGAAGATCGTCGGTAACGACAACCTTCGAAGGCTGATTGTCCCTGGCTTAGTCCTAGCAGGTATGTATTACTATGGTGTATTGATACGGAATTAAAGCTAACTCTTATTGTGCAGCCGTCTCAGCTGCAGCTTATGTTGTTCAGCAAATACCGCACTCGCTACCTCACCGCTTGTCTGAAAAGATCTCAGCGCAGCTAACAGCAATCGACTACGTCCATGCAAACAGCAACCGCATCTCGAGTTCAGTGCGCAAGGTACTCCGATACCCTGCTGACAACCTCCGGGTTGCCTTATCGCGCTCCGTCGAACAACTTGGCAAGCGTCAAGAGGAGACCATGAAGGTGCGCGGTGAGAGTGAGGTAGCTCTCAAGTATTTCGGTAATCTAGTACGCGAGAGTGCCCACCAACGCAGCTTAGTCGAGGAGATAGATCTCGATGCACACCCTCTGCCCTCTGCCGGCGTAAACATTGCTTGAAGCAAGACATATTTATGTACGTACGGCATGAAATGGCGTTGAGGAGGGCACACTTGGATTATCAGCATGACATCTCGTTTGTTTGAGCTCACGCACTTCCTTTTCTAATAGTCTTAGCGGATGATGGCGGGAAAAAAAAACTTGACGAGTGACGTAGAATGGCAAATGGTTTGGTGGCGTCCAGAGTCAGTTGTAAGCTGGACGAGTATGAACTCTACTCCCCCATTCTTTTTCCTCGATCCCTATGTACGTACGTACTAGTTTATACTAAATCACAAGGAAAATCAGGGCTTAACCGAGTTTGGATCTACGTAGAGCGTTAAGATAGCAGCATGATAGCAGCATGAATAGCGTAGACAATATAATATTACTTACGTCGTAATAGGTACGGTAGCATTCCGTTCCTGTAATATGTAACTGTATCCGTGTGAATTATTGACCACGATTAACTGGGGTAAACGTGAGCGAGTAGTATTAAGCCGCACTGATAGATATCTAACGATCCTAGTATCGTTATAGCATTAACACAGGGTTATATGACGATCACGCAAATGTTTGCTTTTAGAGCTACTGAGATTACAAACCTACATATAACATACATACGTAAAAGACAAACAGATAAGCTAGCTCTAGGCTATCTGACAGCTTGTCATCCATTTTTTTTTCCCGTGGAAAGAGTATACTATTGATAAGGTATCACGAAGTGGAACCAAACAGCATGGAAATAACTTCGTTGTTCCGCGAGGAACTTTAACCTATCTGGCGAGCCCGTGGCTCGTATATACATACATGTTCTTTGTCCTAGATGTCTCATCTAGAATTTTAACAGAAGGTTATTGAATATTTCGGCTTTCCAACAGCTTACCGACGACATTTGGCATATTATACTAACGTAGTAGGTAATACAGCCGAGTAAGAATATCGTTTATTAACTAATCATATTGATCTACCCAGATATCCCACTTTACATCTCACGTAGTTAACCGCGTAAAGACGTACGTAAGTTGATCACATCTAGGACCAGGGAGGCTAGTAGTGGGGGGAGGAGAGAGAGAAAACATGGTGCTGACACGTGTAAAGCAATCTCGTTGTTGGCCGATGATTAACATACCATCCCATCCTTGATGCACGTAGTATAGGTGTGAGATAACCTACATATCTTAATAACTTGGTAGCTACCTTGCTACATTATATACGTAATATATACAGTTAAATCTTGCTATAATAAATTTATTTTATAACGAATTTATTTTATAATAAATCGATATTGTATTTTATTAAATTTTATATAAAATTTAACGAATTTTTTTATATAATAAATTTATTAATTTTAAAAATAAATTACCATTTAATTTATTATAAAAATAATAAAATTATAAATAAATAAAGTAAATTTTATAAATTTAACTATTAAATTTAACTTAATTAAAATAAAATAAAGTTAATAATAAATAAAAATTATAAGGTTTTTAATATTTTAATTTTTAAAAAATTATAACGTTATTAAAAATATTAAATTTTAAACTTTAAATAATTAATTTAAATTTTAATAATAATATATTATTTAATTATAAATAAGTTAATTTATATTTAATTAATTTAATAAATAATTTATTAAATAACGTATTTTTTATTTTTTAAAATAATATTAATAAAAACGTAATAACGTAACGTAATTATTAAAAAATAACGTTAATTAATTTATTAAATTAAATTATAATATTTTAAATGGCGATAATAAACGTATTAATAATAAATTAAATATAAATTTAAGCGTTATTTTTTATTTTTAATAATATATAAAATTTTATTAAATAAATATATTTATTTTAATAAGTTTTATTTAAAAAAAATTAAAAAAATTAAATAAATTATTAAATTTAATTTTTCGTTATTTTAAATGACTTTAAATCGAGGTTCGATATTTAGTTTAAAAGGATGTACTTTTTATAATTATATTATTTTCCAGTTAATTACAATTTATATAACCTTTTTTTTAAAATATTTTATTTTTAGTTTAAAGTTATTTTAAATACGTGTTTTTTAAAAAATTAATTTACGAAAAAGTAATATTAATATTATTTAATTAATTAAATTATTAAATAATAACGTTAACGCGTTTTTATAATAAATATTAATTAATTATATAATCGTATTAATTTTATTATTAAGTTTATCGATTAAATTTATACGTTTTAAGTTTTTTAAAGTTGTTAAATGTGGTTATAACGGTTGTAACCGGTTGTAATACCGGTTATAATATCGGTTGTAATATTAATTAATAAGATTATTAAAAATAATAATGTTAATGTTTTTTTATAATAAGTATTAATTAATTATATAATTGTATTAATTTTATTATTAAATTTATTAATTTAATTTACGTGTTTTAAGTTTTAAAGTGTTAAAAATAATTAAGATTAAATGTAACGATTTTAATATTATGTAATATTTTAATATGTTTTTAAACGTTGAAACTTACGATATTATAACGCGATGTTATATAAATATATAAAAAAGGCGGGAAGGTTAAAGTTATTATGTTAAATAAAATATAATGCGTTTTATTTTATTTATACGTGTTATTGGTTGTGTTGTTAATGGTTGTAGTGGTGGTAATATTATTTATCGTAAAGTGATTTTAACGTTTAAAGTTACGATATAATAACGTAACGTTATATGGATATGTAAAAAATTTAAATAAATAAATGTAATATATTATTAATTTCGAGTTATTTAAGTTAAAACTATTTTATACGTTGTGATATTATATTAAAATTTTTATAAATATAATGTTTAAATTTATTATTAAAATTTTATCGTAACGTGAGTACGAATTTAAAGTAACTTTAAATTATAATTTATTAAAAAGTTTACTTATGATTTATAAATATAAATATACGGGCTATGCGTTATATGGCTTAAACGGGCGTAACCCTCGCGTTTTAACGAATTATAATTTAACGTATATTAAAATAAATTTTTTAAATATTAAAAATATTTTTTTTAAATAATATTAACGGTTATAAATATAACGTATTTTAATTATTAAAAATATATTTAAAATTATAATTTAAAATTTATTTAATTTATTTTTTTAAAAAATATTATATATAAGTTTTATTAATTTTAAATAGTTTATTAATTAATTAATTAAATTTAAAAAACGGTATAATATTTAAAAATATATTAAATATAATAAAAACAAATTTATTAATAAATTAATTATTAAATTTTATATGGTTAAAATTTAATTTATTATTAATTTATATAAGTTTAAAAATATATATAACGTTAATAAAATAATTTTTTTTTAAAAAATAACTTTTAATTATATTTTAATAATAATATAATAAAACGGTTAAAAAAAAAATAAAAATAAAATTATAATATTATACGTATATAATTTAACGGAATTTTATAAATTAAAATTTTAATTATTTAATATTATAATTAATTTACGTTATTTTAAAATAAATTAACGATTTTTTTTAAGTTTTTTATTTTAATATAAATTTAATAAAAAAATTTAAATTATTAATATTATATTTAAAAAATTTTTATATTAATTTAATAATTAAATAATTAATTATAAAATTTTATTATTAATTAATAATTTTAATATTTATAAAATAACTTTAAAAAAATTACATAATTATTTAAATTATAATATATTTAAATCGAATTTTTATTTATAAATATAACGTTTATTTATTAATTATTAAATTAAAAGATTATTTATATTTTTAAAACTTTATATTATTAAATATAATTTAATTTTATAATAAATTATTTATTTAATAATAAAAATTATATATAAGAAATTTTATTATTTAAAATTTACCGTTAAATTATATAAATTTAATAAAAATTAAATTTTTAAATAATTAATAATTACTTTTATAAATTAATAATATTTAATTTTATTAAAAAGTTATTTAAAATACTTTTTAATTAAAATAATAAAAATTATAAAAAAATATAAATTAAAAAAAAAATAATAATTTAAATATAATAATTTAAAAAAATTAAAATTATTTAAAAAATTATAAATATTTTTAATTTTATAAAACTTTTTTTTAAAATAATAAATTTAATATTATTATTTATTAAATTATTAATTAAATTAATCGAAATTTATATTATTAAAAACGATAATAATAATATAAATAATAATAATAATAATAAAATTAAAATAAATTAAATTTAAAAAATTTTAATAATAAAAATTTTATTAATTTATTAATTATTATTAAATTAATATAAGTAATATTATTCGGTTAATTTTAAATTAATTTAAAAATTAAAACGTAAAAAAAAAACTTTATAATTTATTAAATAAAAAAAAAAACAATAAAAATTAAATAATTAATAATTAAAATATATTTAATATAAAATAATACGTAAAATTTATTAATAAATTAAATATATTTATATATAATTAAAGTTAAAAATAAAGAATTATACTTTATAATAAATTTACTTTATAATAAATATATATTAATGTTTTTTAAAATTCGTTATAACAAGACTCGATTGTAGTATACGTCGTAAGCCGGCGTACGGGGGTATTAAAACAAGAGGCAACCCCGCTGGCTTGCACAATAGCCCTGAGTTTACGACCAGGCCAGGCAATTGATTTAATTGGTTAAATCCCTAGGTGGCCGCCCTGCCTCGCCGCGCCGGGGGTCACGGGCGCTCGGCACGTGCTTCGCACGTGCCTCGCACCCGTGACCCCCCGCGGCTCGGCGGGCGGCCACACACAACCCCCTTAACCACGCTTCGATTCCTCGACCTCGCATCCCTTCTTTTCTTTTACGCATTACTATGCAAGCAAAAGCGCCGCGCTTTTGCCTGCTACCTTAGCGGATCAAGCTCGAAACGCTTGGCTAACCCCTTATTGGCGCTGTTGCAGCCGAAAGCCGCAACAACGCCAGGCCAGGCCAAGAGCCTTATGGCTGTGGCTAGTCCAATCCCCATTACATAAGCAGCTTTCGTCGAAATCTCAACCAAGTCCACTTTATCTCAAGATGCACCCAATCAAAGCATGTAAAACTGACAGGGGCACTTCCATTTACAGTAATTTTTTCAAAATAGGAAGGTGGGGCAAACTCCCATAGAAAAAAAACGCGACACAATAACCCTTCGTAAACTCAGGGCACCAATTCGGGCCGGGCCGGATCATGTTAAAAATCGGATGCGCAATCGCCAATCGGCAGGAAACCTTTGCTGCGCCGCACGAACCCTCAAGGGTCTTGGTTTCAGAGCGGTGACGACAATTCTATAATATTTCCAAATACTACATTATGTACTTATGATGATGCGACGTCCAATCTCAATTCCTCCTTATGTCCGTCCGGATGCGCGGATCCGCTTGGGGACTATCCCACATCCGGGACGAGCCGCGTGATATCGACCCGAAGTTTAGGAAAAAAGGTGCCCCTGCAGCAGAGCAGCAATTACATACGCGTGGTGTACGCATGCGGGCAGGGAATACTATGTACATACATAAGTACCGTACTTAAGGTATGTGTAAAAAGGTGCTAACATGGATCCTGGCCCGGGATGGGAGCGCTCAGCTGATGACACATGCGAAAGAATGCACATAAAGCTTTGCCCGTTGTTGTATCCGAGCCATCCGTCGGCTTGTCATGGGGTATATGTATTGTGTAGAGCTAAGCTAAAGCATTTCACCTCCTATAGGGGTATGGTATGTATGGAATAGGTATCTGGCCCGTACAAATGAGACGCCTACGTTCGTAATGTATAGAAATAAAACTTATGCAGACTTGCTCAGAGCACTATGCTGAGCGAGCCGTCTTTATGCAAGCAGTCTGCCATCCCATACCGTTTCGACTCCAGACTCCATTGCAGCACCCCTGTGATGAAATGTCGACACCATTTGATAAACGCCTGCACGTCCCTGCTTACTTCGGCGTTATCTGACGCCATCTCCCCAAGGGCCTTCGCGGCCTCTTCGAACCCCTTCATAGATTCCCGCAGAGCCGCTTCGATGCCGCGGGTCACCGTGTCTAGTGTCTGCTTTTCGGGACTGCAGTTTTTGTACATCACCGGTACGAGATTGAACAGTGATGCTTGTGCCTGATGGTCTCGTTAGCACTTACAATGCGTTTTTGTATGTTTGTTCGTGGGGGGCTTACTATTTCTTTTTGTACCGAGTATATGTCGTTGAGGATAAGACACATAACAACCGTCTCCTTCCAGAGGTCCTTCATAGGAGCACACTCCATAATAGTCTCGGGAAGTCTTACTTTAAGCATGTGACTAGAAGATATATTGTTAGCGGTGTATCTTTATGATATCGATTGATTGCTTTCTCGTCGCTTACTCTGTAAGTGCAATCTGAGGAGCACAGCCCACAGACCCTGATCGGATCTTGAGGTAATTGTCCACAGTAGGGATGATGCCTCGCACTCGTTGTCCATGTTCCACACCCACACTGACCATGAAACCTTCTAACTCGCGGTAGAATCTTTCTCGTTGTATCCTGTCCGTTGTGTTGCGCAGACCTCGACCGACATCGGCAAATAAAGCCATGTTGGGGTGTAAGGCCTCTTCTTCCTTGGCGATTCTCTCCTGAGCTCCCTCGCTTTCGTCGAGGCCCAGGAGGGTGTGGACTGTGCGAAGAGATTTCTGGTAGTAGGCTCGGGCGAGCTCCTCATCGTTAGACACGTCAGTATCTCCGGCATCGACCTCGTCGTCCCACACGAAAATCCAGACTGAATAGGCGGTGGCGATTTCAAGCTCGGGCCATTCCGCGTCGGGATACCAACTATGCGGAGAGACTAAATTAGTCGATTGTTTAGGGCAAATATAGGCTAGGGGATATGCTAACTTACAGGGACATAAGGCGACCAAAGTCTGCCTTCTTTAAAGCCTTTAACTTTTTCTCATTGGTGATAATGCGTTCGAGCATCGAGTCCACGAGGCCCTCGAGCCTCTCTGCGTGTGGGTTGGCAGCGAGCGGCCATTCTGAGAAGAGTTGCCATAGGTCCGGGAGGTGAAAGGTCTTTCCATCTAGCTGAGTAGCTAAGGTCAAAGCTTCATCGCGAAGCTCCGGGTGGGCGCTAGGCTTGATAACTTGCGGTTCGGGACTTCGACTTCGAGGAAATATAGATAATAACTTGTACTGCAACCGCTCTACGAGGCGTAATAACTGTGTCTTCGTTTGGGACTTCATCTTGTCTATCTTGTTCTTGACTTTTGAAGAACCTTTTAGAGGAGAATAGCTGGTGTTTGTTGAATAGACATATTGCCCTCCTCACGGCTACCCTCTTCTTATAAGTGAGAGCCGATGTTGGCGTTCCGCTAAGTCGGAAATATAGTCTAAGACTCGGCTAAAGATTATAGCAGGTTGGTGCAATGCCAACTCAAAGCTAGGGAGGAGTAGTTACCAATATTGGCAAACATGAACGATGAGGTCTAGCTTCTACTACAACCTAATGCAGTGATGTCCAGAAACACTAGGATGGTGTGTCACTTTTGGAATAGATTGATCGAACGAAGCCTAGTTTGTTATAGTTAGGTCGTAGAAAAGCCGCGGAGGGAGGCATACACGGGAGGTTATCTACGTAATCGGCTTGTAGGTAAGGGTTATGTATGTTGGTCCACGGTACGCCAGGATAGCAATATCCGCGCTTTCGCCGGCTAGTTTCATGAGCTATTAGATGATTGTCATGAAGTCGTATTCGGAAGCTCATTAGAGGAATGTAATGGGGAATGGAAATGTCCAACACCATTTGGCGTTGTAGAGAGAGGTAGTAGGAAACCCTAGATTGGGTCTGGAATAGGACTAATAACTAGAACCAACTACAAACAGATAACGGTTCCGGCGGCTCTAAACTACTGGCGTGATGCAACACAAGAAACCCGATATTAAACTAGTATTTCCTCCCCAGTTTAGGATCTAGTAAAACGTGGAAAACCACAGGAACATCCACTTTGATGGTTCATGTACCATTCTACCCACAAGGTTCCGGATCCGCTAGATTATGCCTAGGACAGAAACGCGAATATTTTCGGAAAAGACCAAGACGGATAATCCATCCGACGTTGGAACGGCATATTACACGGTAACATGGCTAATACGCCAACGGCTAGTATATCTGATCAAACACATGTGATAGTAGTATAAAAACAAATATATTTATGAAGTTGAAAGAAGCTTAAATCAGTGGTCAGGTCAACAATCTGCAGTCATAGCGGTGTTATCTGATTGGTCGTCTACTATAAAATCGGAAGCTTAGCTAGAAGAACAATTTTAGAAATATCATGATAATAAGAGGAATAAGAGGATGATCGCATATGATGATCGCGGGTGAAACCCCAACCTCTGATCCTCAGATGTCCGATTCGGTACGAGGTTTGCTTTGATGGTCCTGCACATACGCAGTGCTATGTAAGTCGACCAGTCAGCCTCTAGAACTTCTACATATGTAGTAAGCCAGTCTACCTAAAACAAGAAAACAACCTGGATCATCCATGGCTACAAGTTAAATAATAATCGGGGCCGGGACTCTAGCAGGGTTTTGGGGGTTTGGGGGGGGCTCTTCCAGTTCCCGTGATCCACTCCGAAATTTCACGTTGTACGTATCAGAGGCTTGCGTGGGGTGCCTTGATTTTTAAGCGTTAAGGTGTACGTACTATGTAGGTGATTATGCAAAGGAGTGTAGAATAAGAACATGGTATAAACAGTATGAAATCGCACGGTAGAGTATAGTCGTCGAGACTGTTACACTATAGTTATACCCACAATTGTATGTAAGGAATTGAAACTTTCGGCCTGTCGAGTTATTTCAACTAACTAGCGAAACTAGTTCTATTATTTTGCTGCTGTCGGTCTTTTTCTTCTTCTTTTTTTCCCCTTTTCGCCGGCGCGGTTATCGGAGTTAGACGTTAAGGTCTTAAACCCTAACTTTGCAAATAGGAGGTGAGGTTTATATTAAAGTACACTACATACATACTAATGTATGTATGATGCACGTGAGACATGACAGTTTTGCTGCAGACATGAGCCGCGGCTTAAAAGCGGCTCTCGCTTGCGCTTGCGAAGCAATAACAACTACATTAGCGTTAGTATATAAGATCCTAGGACCGTATTAATACCGTAAATATATGATTTATATATATGAATGGTTCCGCAACTTAGTACGAAAGAAGCACGGTAGCCACATCTACCAACGGTATTGATATTAAATGGTATTTTTGCGATTAAACGGTTGGTATGTCGAATGGTTTTTCTTTTACGAATGGTTTTTTTTAACCAACGGTTTTTTTTGGAAATCAACGGTTTTTTTACGGTCGGGGCAGGTGCAATAGTCTTAGTACGGTTGGGGGAAGGTAGGTAAGTAGGTAAGTAAAAAAAAATTACTTACATATACTACTATACGTACTTGCCTTAATACAAGTACGTACAGTAGTCAAGTCATTAAAGTAGGTAGGTAGGTAGGCATTATTACTTTCGAACACTTTACGGCTACGGCTACAGCTACGGCTACGAGGTTATTAAGCTACGGCTACGAGGTTACTATTCAAATAGACTATTACATACAGGCGCGTATAGCTTGTAATTACTTAGGTATATAAGGTGGCATTCGCAACTTCCTTAATTACTTGATTACCTATTACCTACCTATATTACACCTTCCTTACTTAATTACCTACTAGTATTACACCTTCCCGGACCGTAAAAAAACCATTCGTCAAGAAAAAACCATTCGCAAAAGGAAAACCATTCATATACATATAAACCGTTCAAATAGCCAACCAAAGATATACCATTTAAATTAATACCGGTTGAAATATCAAAACATTTAAACATTCAAATAATATTAGAGCCTCAAACGGTAGATCTACGGTTTAATCCTTATTTACTGTAAAAGTACGGTACCTAGGACTTATATCCTGACGCTAATGTAGTTTAGTATATGCACCTGTCGCGCTACCTTCCCAAAGGTGTGGAAAGGGAAAAACACGACCTTAACCTTACCATAGTAGGTTAACTAAGAGGTATGGAATATATGGGTACCTTAGCTATGTAACCTAACAGAAGGCGCTTACTTACATAAGTATTTATATATGTACATAACTTACATAATGTTATGTACATGCTGCAGATTGATTATGAATATAATCCGTACCTAAATTCTTATTTGCAGGAAGAAATATTACAGGAATAAAATCCCGGACTGGTGATCTTAACACTTCCCCTTCCTTGGGTACGGGCAACAAAGAATAATATGCGACGGATGAAACATGACTTGCATTTTTTTTGCCTTGAGTGGTGACAAATCTTTAAACGCAAAACGCAAAATGCAAAACCAAAACCACGCAAAAAGCACATGGCCGCCCAGACAGTTATCAAGTTATGTCGAGAAGCAGGGCTACTTACCCAGAACAAGGGTCTGGAGACAGGGACTCAGGATAAGACCTGGATAGGAAACAGGGGTATGAGAACGTGTCAGTATCATTTTTGCAGCTCCGCAGGACCACGAATCCCAGCGAGTCTGCATGTCTATTCCCAAAGCATGCAGTTTATTAGCCCACGGCTCCAACGGCAGCCTTCCGGTAGCTATCGAATGGACTCGGCACGGGTCGTTTTCCTATGCCCTAGACCCTATGTAGGTCAGCGTCCACGACTAAAAGCCCACCCCATCTAACATCGTGCAAACTTCACCCACTTAGTTTGCTTTTCTTCTACCATTTGCGTCAATCATTTCTTGACGATGTTTAGGATGTAGGATGTTTAGAGGAGGGGGAGATACCGTCGATGAACAATGAATAGGATCAAGGAAACTCTGGCTAGAATAGCTCGTGCCGCTCGTGGATCGCGCGACCCGGCTTCTTCTTCAAGCTTACGCCTAGATCGCGTAGGCAGGTCGAGCAGTTCGACACTCGACTCTCGGGAAAAGGTCCTAGTACGTGCGGACGGCCGAGGCCCCCTTATCCTCTTTGATGGCACTCAAAACGGCGACGACGGCATCGATTTTGTTTTCGTTCATGGACTATACGGCCAACGCAGCGGGACCTGGACAAAAGCCGGTGTCTGCTTTCCTCGCGACTTTCTCTGGCAGGATATCCCGGGTGTTAGAATTATTTTATGGGGATGGGTTGGAGGCTTGAGTGCTAGCGGTACATTTTCCGAGCAAGCAGAAAACCTCCTGGCCGATATTGCTCGTGTCCGTACTGGGACAAAACGTCCCATCATCTTTGTAGGCCATGGCTTAGGCGGCCTCGTTGTCAAAGAGGCCTTGGTCACGGCGGCAATGTCACGGATATACGGCGCACACGTCGAGCTGGGCAACGTGTACCCTAAGACTATTGGATGCGTCTTCTTAGGTACACCTCACGTAAGGGGTGGAAAGCGTTCCCTAGGTGAATGCATTGCTACGACTGCTCTGTTATCACCGACTCCGCCGAGTTCTCAGCTCCTGAAGGCTTTCAAGGAGAGTGACAAACTCTTCGAGAATCTTCATAGCACATTTCTTATGATCTCGAGAGACATAAGAATTATATGTGCTCGAGAAAAGTTGCCAACGACCATAACGGCTTCGGCTGATGTGGTAAAGGATGCTGATGGAATGGAATTGGGAAGGGGAACGATCCAGATGATGGTCCCGAGGGACTGCGCGGCCTACGAGGGCTTCAACGTATCAAAGCTCGACATGATGTCAACCCACCAGGACCTCGCAAGGTGTAAAAGCAGAGACGACCCAGGATATGCGCAGATTGTTCAGTATCTCGTTAAAGCAGCAACTGCTCTATCGCCCGCCGAAGTCGAGGCGAGGGAACCCCGAAATCAAGGTACATAATACCCAGCATTTCTATCTTACGCATTTGTTCCGTTGCTAACTCTTGGGGTTTAGAAATCCTTAACGCTCTTTACTTCGACACTATGAATGAACGCGAGTCTCGAATAGATCCAGCTTACGGTGATACGTGTGACTGGATCATGAACCCTAACCAGTCTCCCCTCCCCAAATTCCTTAGATCTGATGATACCGTCCTAGTAAGTACCTTGATTTTATTATTGCCCTCTTGTCGTTTTCTTGGTCCTCAGCTGTGACTATATAATTTCAGGACCAAGATAACCAGCCAAGCTGTTTCTTTCCCCCGTAATATTCTTTGCAGCATTGATTAACTCTGGCTGTGTAGTGGATTAGTGGCACCGCCGGATCTGGAAAGTCGACGCTGATGAGACACCTATGGCGATCCGAACAGTTGAAGGAGCAACTCCATGAAGGCTGGGGAAGCGGAGGTGATTTGCATATGGCTTGTTTCTTTTTCTTCGAAGGTGGCGGCCCGATCCAGAAATCCTACGAAGGCTTCCAACGCAGCATTTTGTACCAAATCCTATCAGCAAGACGTGATCTCATTAGAGTTGCCTTTCCTAGCTTTATGGATGGTCCTTGGCCACCTCCAGTACAATTCACCAGCAACCGTAATCTCAACCAAGCTTTCTATTCTATCTTCGCTCAGATGTCCGACGACGTACGCCTCTTCATTTTCATGGACGGACTTGACGAATATCGCATTATAGATCGAAAGGATCAATACGAGCCAAATGAGCTTGACGTTACTTACAAGAATACGGGAGATGAGTATTGGGGTCAGAGCAAATGGGCCATGGATTCTCACGTGGAGATCTCGAAACTCGTCAACAGTATGGGCAACAAAGACAATATTAAATTCATCATCACCTCACGTGAATTATCGGTGTTTGAGGAAGCTTTTGCTGACCATCCAAGAATCAAACTCCAAGATCACACAGAACGGTCTATTACGCAATATGTGGCGGGCCGACTTGAGGATGAGGCTCCCGGGTTACCGGATACCAATAATCTCTGTAGGGAGATAGCCCAGAAGAGTCATGGCGATATACTATGGGCGAGGCTAGCGATCGATATGGTGGTCGGTTGCAGTTTGCGCAGTTTAAGGGGCATGTTAAACTCTTTACCGTCCCACCTCGGAGGGCCCGACGGCCTGTACATGCGTATGCTAGAAAACCTAAGCCACGAATATCAGCACAGCGCATCTAGGATTTTTCATATTGTCCTCAGAGCGCAGCAGCCGCTGAGCTTAATTACGCTCGCATTTGCTGAAGAAGGCTATCTGCACCCCGACACGGGCGAGCTGAGGATGGTTTACGATAACCAGCGTCCGTACGACAACGATGCCGTCGAAAGTCTGGCCGATGAAATGCAGAGGCGGTTACAAACCTATTGTGTCGGCCTCCTAACTGCCGAGACGGGGGTATCCACCAACTCCAACACTGTAGAAACGGGGAAACGAGTCGTCTTTTCTAATCAGACAGCTAAAGAATGGGTACGGCGCAAGGATATATGGCAAAAACTCCCTGGTGTCAAACCTGTCAGTGATATAGAGCTGGACTTCTCACTACTAAGTGGATTTGCGAGGCACATCAAGGTTTTTGGAGTTACGCGATCTCCGGTACTGGCATGGCCAAGCTGGCGAATCCGGCCTGATGCGTGGCTGTTGGTTTCAAATGTGATGCGGTATGCCGAGAAGATTGACAGCAAGATTGACGATTTAGAGAAGTATTGCGAGCTGTTGGACGAGGTAGACAGTACATGCCAGCAGATCTGGGTCGCGTCCTTGAACAGTCACAAACCTCTTCACGAGGATCCCGACTGGTACGAGAGTCGGCTTCCGAGTCTTCTCAAGAAACACTGGTCCAGTTACGAACCGATGGATATTGGCAAGCCACCTAAACGGAAGGACTTCCTAACCCTCGCCGTCCAGGCTAGTCTGGTCCGATACGTCGATACAAAACTAAACAAATTAAGTGGAGAAGCGAGAAGGAAGAAGGCCCAGGAGCTTCTACCTTTTGTAGTCAGCCCCAAGGCTGATGGTATCAGCGCTTGTGCCGCTCTCAGTGGAGATTATGCGGAGTTCCACCACGATATGCCAGACACCCGCTTATTAGATATTCTGTTTGACGCTGGAGCATCCGCACGCGATGAAGAGAGGCTGTGGACGAAGGCATTGAAAGCAGGCCGGAATTACTTCTCAAGGGGTAGCGTTACGATGACGCACTTGCTGGAGACGTCCTCGAGCGCGAGACTCATGGAGAATCGCCAGAGGTGGGTTGCCGCCATCAAGGCATTACTACAGCACGGCGCGGATCCAAATACCGACGTCCAAGTTACAACCGGAGAAGGAGAAAATCAGTCCACGACGACAGTAGCGGCTGTGGACCTAATACGAGATACGCTAGAGGGGGAGCCCGAATATGCCGTCGAGCTTGTCGAGATGGAAGTACTGATGGGTAGAAGAGGAAGTGTCGGCCTAGCGAGATGAGATTGACGATGACGTGTGACGAAGTGCTTCTAGCTCGGGAAACGAGGGAGGGACGGGACATAAGGTTAGGATGGCGCGCAGAGAAAGGAAAAGTTTCGGAGGTAATTAGGATCAGACTCCAGATTGACTATAAAGTGGTTCACGAGTTTATATAACGTATCATGACTAACTAACAGCATCCGTCGACTTGTTCGGCGGAGACTCAAATCAACTACAGAAATAGCATTGAAGCAGAACGATAATATCACTCGAAATCGGCATGTATCAAGACTGGATGGAGGATCATAAATAGAATGGCGTGTCGGGAAATCATATAGAGTTGATATTACATTTTTTTGTAGATAGTCAAATATTAATACTCTAGTTATATTTATTCAGTACCTCAACGTCTGGATTTCAGAAGTATGTATTACTTGCATTTATACGATGGTGATGGGATTACACGTACGATAGATACCTAGGTAGGTACCTACTGATGTTGTACTTTGGTCGATATGGTAAGGAGTTTAGTCGAACTAAAATTAGTATTCTCTTAAGAGATTGAGCTTCGACGTTTAATGTATGGGGGCCATCATATTAACATTTGTAATTTGAGAATCATTTGAAGATCGGAATTTTAAATAATTATAACTATGTTCATTTAACTAATTAAAGGTAAAATTAAGCATACACTTTGACATCGTAGTCTCGAGTCATAACTTAGACGTTTTACATGCAAAGCAAGCGGAGAAGTATACTCTATCTACACAATCACAAGTAGAGATTTCAGTAAACCAGTTCAACGAATATATTTTACAAGGAAGAAGATAGTGAAATAGGTAGACATAATAAAATAAAATAGATAGCAAAAGCAATCATCAGGGCTCTCTTTGATCCGCATATAACTACCGCCAAAAGAAAGGGGGCAGCTAGCTCAGTACGCATTCCAGCTAAGAACCAAGCCACGGTTATTACCAGGAGCTGGCAAAAACGCAGTGGCCAGCCTAGACTGTGCGTTTGAAGATTTCGTCATATGATTGCTAGAGTATTTTGGTTTGTGGGTTGGAAAAGTACGAGATTAAACGACTCACCTCTTCCGAATACTAGGACACGAAGAACTATGCATGTTTAAGGGTATTAACGCTGGTATTTATATACTAAATGACAGGCGAAACCCCCGTTGTTGCTTTTTTTTTACTTTGACTGTAGCCTCAGATCTACTTGTTTTTCCTGGATGTCGCAGCAACTAGGCGTTTCTTAAGATGCTTCGGCATTTTTTCTTTCCGCTTCTCAGCCTTGGCCTCCTTGGCCGCTTGCTTGCGTTGCTATAATTCGTCAGTACGACACGTCCCTAACTTTAGAATAATATAATAAAGCGGATATACATGTTAGAGGAAAGGGGGCAATAAAATGAAAATAGGATATCATGTCAATGAATAACATACCTTCTTCTCGTCCTTATCTTCAAACCTTTTCCCCCGCGGTGTCCCCTTCTCAAATCTACTCTCGTCATCATCATCGTCGTCGTCACTATCGAGAGCTGCTCCTTCGTCCGACTCGTCCTCTGAGCTCTGGTTTGCCTCTCTCGGCTTCGTCACTACCTGGTCCGCGAGGAGGTTCTTGTAGACGAGCTTGTCTCCCTCACCTTCCCCGATCTTCTGTGCATCCTTTTCGATGTCGTAGACCTGTTCTAGTGTCTGGGGTATATATTGATTTCGGAATACTTCGTTGTCGACCTCCAGCTCGGCTGCTGCCGCTTCGTCGTTAGCAGGTTGCGACCTCGAAGCGTATAGTTCTTCTATCGCTTCTGATAGTCTTGGCTCCTCCATCGCGCCCTTGGAATCCGTGATGAAGTCAAAGATGGTACGATCCGACAGCGTGTCGATTCCTTGTCTGCGGAAGAAGGCACCTGTATTCTTGATATCCATCCGGAGAAACTCCAGCGAGCGAGGATGATCATGCTCCACACTTTGAGACACATCGATGATGTAGAGTTGTCCGCCATTGTATAGAATATTGTATTCACTCAAATCTGCGTGTACTAGCCGCGTAACCTGGTACATGCGTCGCATGATACTCAAGAGTTGAACGTAGAGTTTTCTCCAGAGTTGATCCGCATCATCGCGGGGGATGTTAGCGTCGCGCAATCGCGGATACGCGTACCCCTTTTGATCCCCGAGGAAGCTCATCACGAGGACGTGATGTTTAAGCTGTAGGGGTTCAGGGCAAGGAATAGCGGCGGAGTATATCCTCTGCAAGTTGCGATATTCCTTTTCTGCCCATAACTTTACCATCTTCCTGCTGTTGCCCTTGTTGGAGCCGGACTTAAAGCGGTGCTCGCCAGTGATGTATCTCTCGCGGTCTTTGAAGCTTAATATGGCTGTCTTGTAGACCTTGACAGCGCGGTGGACGGGCGGTCCGTTGATATCAGGATAGGCGATAGCACCATATACATTGGCCTCCTTGCCCGTACTAATTGCGCCATGTATCTCGTTGACTATGCCACGATTGATCATCTGGTAAAGAATCAGACGGGTTCTCTGATCAAGGACCTGGTCGCTCGTAGCCCTATCGGCCTTATCCTTTTCCCGGTCTTGTCCCTCCTTGACATCGTCTAGTCGTATCTTAGCAGCATGTCTCGAGAGAGCCGTGATTTGATCATCCACGCTAGCGACGGTGTTAGCGACAGGTTTCTGCTGATTAGAATGCAGCGGTTGTTGTCGGTTAAAGTTTCGCGTTATGTCTGGTTCCCCATCTGAACCGAGACCATCGTCAATATCATCATAATCGTTGAAGATGGAGTCTAAATCGTCATCGTCGTCCGAAGTTTCTAGGGCAGCATCGGCATCGGCTAGACTTCTGGGAACTTCCCGGTTCGCTATTTCGTCATGAGAATTGGTACTGGGTAAGTGAGGCGATTGCTCGAGTGGTATCGCCGTGGGGTTTTCGGTCTCCATGATAGATATTTGAATAGATAATCGCGACAGCGCTATCGGAGACGGCAGGTGGAATTTCTTTTGTTGGAAGTAATATTGGCTTGATATGTCTTAATATATGTATAAGAGTGTATAAGAGCTACTTGAGGAATTCTGTTTTTTCGGATTGTTCTCCACGGATCTGGCGAGGCGTCTACTTATATACTAGTACGGCGCTGTGTCAAATTTGATGAAGATGAAGATTGTTGAAAAGTAATAAAGTTGTTTGCAAAATTAACCTTTGAGTGTAGAACTGCGCTTTACAATTCTGGAGGTGACACAGACTCAGACATGGTCAACCCCACTAACCTTGAACTTAACCCCACCAACTATCTTATCGAACTCATAGATTAAGAAGAGGCACTTTCTTTTTGACGTATTTCTACGAACCTTACTTTAGGGCATACCTGTGCCACTAAGCCTTCGCGTGATACGCTACATGTGACTTGCATTAGTACATGTACCTTAATAATAAGGCTTAGGTACCTTACATACAATGTAGCTCCTAACATACACAGTACTCAATATGTATCTGCATCTCAAATTATAATCAAGGTCAAGCAAGCAATAGACAGACATCCCGTTACTACCCTGCTATAGTCTATAGATCAATACTATTAACTATTCCTTCAATTCTTATCAACCCCGCTCCCCAAGGTTACATGAACCTTCAAGTGATCGTCAAGCCCGCCTTGCTTTTTCATCAGCTTAACAGCAAGATGATTCGTTCATCATCTAATATGGCGACGGCCAAGAAGCAGGCCTTCCTGCAAGCCATACTACAAGTAAAAGTCATACATAAATATAAATATAACGATAAGCCTGCCACCGCATGTAGTGGTTTGGGTGGAAACAGTATTCGCCCATATGATGTCTCGCTGATCTCGACTCCTGTTCCTGTTCCTGCAGATATAATACCAATAGTAATTAGCTAACGTGATGGTATTTCTTCGTCCCTATTATCTGTGGCTCACCACATTGTCCAATGGTTCGTCGATACTAAGCTATGATTCGAGTCCTATCAAATAAAAAACTAACATTCTCTAAGCTGTCCTTGCTACCTCAAGGATTGTGGGAATACCTACTATTCCTTTTACCACTTCTAATGACGGGGCGTATCCAATTGCGTCCCTTAAAGGAGTGTTGATAGACTCCAAGTTTACCGAAAGCCGTGATGAAACCGGAGAGACGTTGATTCCACCAAGTCTACAAGAGTTCGCTAAAACATTCGTAGACGACTTACACAGTGTCTTGGGTCTCGATATTAACGTCTCCATTGGCGATGAATTTACATCAGATAACATATTTCTTACACTAGGTGATCCTAGCAAGTATACTGATGCCAGCGGCTCTCCGACTTCCGAGGGGTATACACTCTCAGTCAACTCTTCAGGGGTTATCATATCCGGTGCTAGTCCCCTGGGTGTATGGTGGGGTACGCGAACTATCTTGCAGCAAGCAGTTCTCTCAAATGGCTCCTTATCCTACGGGGAAGCCGATGATGTTCCTGGGTGGAAGACTCGAGGTATGATGCTCGACGCGGCTCGTCATTATTATCCACCAGAAGTATGTATAGGCTCAATTCGGCGTGAACTTGAGCGATTGAGCTAACGGGAGGTGCTGGTCAGTTTATAATTGAATTATGCTCTTACATGAGCTTTTTCAAGCAAAATACGTTCCAGCTTCACCTGAGTGATAATCTATATAACAATGTCGACATATACACTAGAGAGCAATCTTTAGAACTATACGCTAGATTCCGGCTATGGTCTGAGTCCGAAGCTCTGGCCGGCTTGAATAAGTATAAGAATGAGTCTTACACGAAAGAACAGTTCGAAGAGATCCAGTCGGCTTGTGCTTCCCGAGGAGTCACTATCATCCCGGAGATCGAAGCCCCAGGACACGCACTAGTCATAGTGCAGTGGAAGCCAGAGTTAGCACTTGAAGGCAGATTGTCCTTATTAAATATTTCGCACCCGGACTCAATACCTACTATGAAAACCATCTGGAGTACTTTCCTCGACTGGTTCCATTCTAAGACCGTTCATATCGGCGCGGACGAGTATACCGGCGATCCTAACGAGTATAATCGATTCGTCAATGAAATAGCAGATTACATCTACCAAGAATCTGGGAAGTCCATCCGCATCTGGGGTACTTTCCCTCCCAAGCCCGAATACAACAATATTTATAACAATATCTCGGTACAACACTGGGCCTTCTTCGAGGACGACCCGTACCACGATTACATCCTGAACAACTACTCCGTTCTAAACTCCGACGACACCTATTACACCGTCCTTAAATATTCCGGAAGTTATCCACAGGTCGTAAACGTCGCCCGGACATTCAACGGTAACCCAGAGACAGGCGGGATATGGCAGCCCTACATCTTCGACACGAAAGTCGCCGCCAATAACCCAGAGAAGTCCAACCCCCTAGTCCTCGGGGCCGTCACGCCCTTATGGAACGACTATGGCGCAAACGCATCCGTCTTCTCCGAAGCTTATTATGCTTGGAAAGACGGGATCCCGGCACTCGCGGACAAGCAATGGGGAGGTGACCTCTCGGCGTCGGAATTTGCGGAGGCGTTTTCGGCTTTACATCCTGTCATACCGGCCCAAAATCTAGACCGGGCGATCCCATCCGTTGGACCGACAATATTCAACTACACCTCTCAATCGGTCCTACGTAACCAATACTTCACACCCCTAGCCGCATGGGCCGACACCACCACCACCGTCACCGACCAGTCCGGAAACGGGTACGACGCACTAGCAAACTGCCCGCTCACCGCAGCTTCCACCTTCGCCATAAACTCCTCCTGCTCCCTAGCAACGCCCCTCTCCTCCAAAGGCCGGGACTACACTCTCTCCCTGCGCCTTCTCGTCGACGAAGCAGACAAAGACAAAGACGCCACTCTGGTCTCCGGCCGCGACTCCGCGCTCATGCTGACCCCGAACCTGACCCTCTTCGCCTCGGGCAACTACTACCGGCTGAACACCACGGTCCCTCTACAGACGTGGATCGACCTGGACGTCGTAGGGCGGGGAAACCGGACGTTTGCGCGCGTGAGTCCCGACGGCGGCGCAGTGGGGGCCGCGAAAGAAGAGGAAGGAGAAGAAGAGTTCTTGGCTGTATTAGGCGTCAACGGGGTTTCCCTCGTGTGGACGCCTATCGCCATCGAGGCGCCGCTGGAGCGGGTTGGTGGCAAGGATGCCGGGTGGGCGGGGCAGTTGGCGGCGATGAGCTTGACCTCGGAGGCTTGAGTGGTGGGTGTTGTGCACATAGCTAGGTTAAGTAAACAGATACATAGATGATTAGCTGACGGGGACTGCCATTCAGTCGACTGCTGCTGCTCTTATATATCCACCAACCAGTTCGAGACGGATAGGCAAAGCAAAAAATAATATTATCAGAGTCGTGATATTGTCATCATATCCCGATAGTATAGTAAAGCTAGAATAGGGTGCTGTGGATCTAGTTAGGTAGATGCTCTATTACTCAATCTACGGAATTGGTTGATGTGGGCAATCAGATGGCTCAGGCTAGTCTGATGCTTTGTTGTCGGAGATTCATTGAGTATTGTCAAATTTCTTCTTATTTTATCTAGCTCCTGTTAGAAGACGGCTAGCTGACTGTGATTGTGCTAGTTTGTACTATATAAGGTGACGTCTTCACCTTCATTGATTCTTCCCTGTCCGCCCCATTGAGCGTACGGCGAATATGTTACCATCGGAGCGGGGATTGTCTAATATCCAAATCCAAATCACGAGGCAAGGGAGCCGCCATTCCCTTAGATCATAGACAAGGCCTAATCGTGGTAGTATAGTATTTTTTCTAATATCCATGCACTTATCACTGATCATCCAGCACGTCCTCAAAGAGCTTCTGCAAGGTCGGCAAGAAAGCCTGCGCCTTTCTGAAGTCCCCTAGCTTGACTCGCATATAGTCAAACGCCACTAGGACCACCTCATCTAGCTCTGCCTTCTTGCTCTGCTCCGCATCAGCGCGAATCTCCAAGTTTTCCTCCATTACAGGCACCTTCTGATACCTCTGCGAGAAGTGTGTCAGCAGAATCCTCCTCGCGCCCATGCGGCGGCCGACATCGATAGCCTCAGACATAGTCGAGTGTTTCTTAGCAATGGCATCACCCTGGAGCTCGTCATCGAACGTGCTCTCGTGGATGAGCAGGGTGGCCCCCTTTCCGATCTCGACGAAATCGTCGCTTGGCCTACAATCGCCCGAATACGCGACCTTGAGACCAGATGGGAAAGTAAAGACTGTTGCCAACGCCCCGAAACAATGCTTCACGTGACAAGCCGCAATTCGTTCCAACCCGAAGGCACTTGTTTCCCTCTCCGAGAATACACGAGAATCCCTTTTGTTGAAAACGATAGTCACAAGACGGTCGAAACCGTAGTTCTCGATGTCTGCGTATTCTCGCAGCCAGTCTATCATGTGCGTGTGGGACGCGACGAAGAGCTTAGCGGAGGGGTTTGACCGGGTCGTCTCGTCGTGCCACGCCTTGATGACGGAAGCGGTGCCTAGGTGATGGTCTGCATGGAGATGGCTAATCCATATGCCTTTGAGATCTCGCAAGACTTCGGGGAGCTCGTTGCCAAAAACCCGCTGTAACTGACCAATCGTATTCTCGCCGCAGTCGAACAGGTAGTTACCGTATCCCGGGACGCGAAGGAGCGTAGAAGAGACGTTACGATACTTGGATGGTAGAGCAGAGCCAGTTCCTAGAGGAATTATCTCTGCGTCTCGGTTTGGGATGTCCGATTCCACTTTTTCGATTTTGGCCAGAAATTCAGGGTCTGAAACCCTCAACTTGGCTTTTTGAGCCATCTCTAATATTTCATCATTCAGATCCGCTCGGGCTAACTTTTCGATATCCGGGAATGGAATAATCTTGTCATCTTGATGCACGTACTGAGGTGCAAATTGCACAACCTTCCCGAGCTTGCTACTTTCATAGGTAGAAGAGATATCTGTCGTCGAGGTGTTCGAGATTGAGACGTTATTATTGTAAATTGGCAAGCGGAACCGGTCAGGGTCAATACATCGTAATTTGAAAGTTTGAGCTGTGACCGAATCAAATACGAGCCTGTTTGGACAGTCGTCTGGTGAGGACACAATGTGTCTGATGGCCGACTTCTTTTGCATAAACTCTTGTAGCCGGGGTTCATTCACGACTCCACGGCCAAGAATCCAGTAGATAACGTGAATACCATCCATAAGACTATCGTTTGACCACTCCGTACGGTTCACGAGCGCATCAATATAAGAAGGGTCCGGCAAGTCGACAACAGCAAACCCATTCCCGGGAATATTCGGTTCCAAAACCATGTCTGGAGTTACTACAACCCCATCTTTACCCACTGCATTCTGGCCACTCGTGAGCAGGCTGTAGGATGGCTTAGGTACGCCGTACTTTATAGCTACTTGGGGGTTGAACTTTCCTCGTCGTTCATGGGTTTTGAAAATATAGCACATGGATTGGTTCGAGGGTTTCGTACGCGGCAGTGCGTGTACCATTGCTCCGGGCCATGGTTGACGTATTAATACAGGTATATCTGAGACCGCCTCTTCACTTCCCGGTAAGGGACCTGTGTATACTTGGATGTGACCTTCGTCATCCCGGACGTATATTTTCGCAGGTTGCTTCACTTGGTACAAAGTGGTTTCTACCAGCGCGTCCATCTTCCAGTCTGAGTCAAACATCTGGGTGACCACGGTTTGAAGCAGCTTCCTGTCCTCTTCGTTGTCCAAGGTAGGCTGCTGCCCATCTACCTTGGATGCCTCTGTGAATTCCTCGTGCGTCCGTTTCCGAGGGCTAGTCGATGCAATCGTTGTCGACTGGATAGGTATATACCACACCTTGACGTTTTTATCTTCCCAATCCGGTTTAGATTCTTGTTGTTCGATTAAGCGGGGATCGTCGCGGACTTCGTGAGGGTCCAAAGGCAGTCCTTTCCGGAAAATGAACCTACGCGCCGTAGCGAGTAGGTGTGTCAAGTTCTTGCCTCCGTGAATTCTAAGCCTCGGCATGACAGTATCGTCATTAGCACGGAAACGAGCCGTGAGCCCTTTCTTCTTACGCTCTTCGATGTTTTGTTTGAGGCTATCTATCTTAGTAGCCAGGGTATCGGCAAGGACGAGGATAGTGCCTAGAAGGCCACCGGCATTTTGCCAGTTAACCACACCCGTTAAGAAAACATCTTCGACCTTATGTAGGCCAATATTTCGCTGGACGGCAGCACGCTGTGTTCCCTCGGCGATATTCCCAATTATATAGCGCTTATTGTCAAAGTGAAGCAACAAGCAACCGCCGTGTGTGTCGGCGGTAGGGGTCGTAATGACCTGGACATAGTTGTACATACCGGTCTCCCGTATCGTCGTGCGCTGGCTAGACGGAACGGTCTTAAGCAGTAGAAATTGCGCGCAGTATTGTTGCTCTTTAGGAGACGCTCGCAGTAAGGAGACGTTAGGCCCTCGAAAAAGTGTAGTTGGGAGAGGCGCCTTTGCGAATGCAGACTTTGGGAGCGGGTCGTAATACTTTGGCAATTTTATGATATGCGGATTTGAATTCGGGCTGAAGTGGAAATGCCACCTCGGGGTCTTAGAAATAATATTACGATGTCTCATCAGATTTTACGCCGGATGAGCCTATCAGGAATGACTCTTACGGCCAATTCGAAACGCATACAGATGCGTATAAGTGAATTAATTCTTGATACCCATGCATCGCAACGTTAACTAAGAAATTATTTCTTATCTTATTCTTATCGCTACTATTCTGACGTAGGTACTTCGTACATGTATATAGGTACCTAATGTATCTACATTACGTAACTATTCCAATGCGGGCAGTTATCTATTAATGAATTATTATTCAGGTAACTTATGCTACGGGTAGTTATACCAAAACAACCTTCCTTAGACAACATCTCATGGTGCCGGACTTGCAACCACAATTCCTGATAGGGACGTGGCCTTGATATTGTCGCCTCCCTTACACCAACACGTACCAGCAACCTGCCCGACTACTCCCTTCTCATTCCACTAATGATTCGTCAGTAAATACCTATCTATTTTCGAGTAGGGAGAGGGGTTCGAGGTATATCACGTACAACACAGCCAACATCGCTGCGCTTCTGAACCCAGTTCAGCGAGTCGCATAGTGCAAGACACTCCTCCAGCGAGTTCACTACTAGTGATGCCAGGGTTGTTCCCGTCAAGTCGCTGTCGCAGGATATCTTGTATTGCCGGTTGTTTTCCCCCGATATCAGACTTCCGCTTCGGCTAGGACACCTAGAATCTACTAGGACCGTCGGTGTCGGCTCGGCTACAATTGTCATATCGGCGCTGCTACTCTTTGGGCTGGCGCTCTTAGTGGTGCTGGAACTGGTAGTTGGTACAGTGCTCGTAGATGAGGTCGTCGAGAGGGCAGCATGCGGTGACGAAATAACGCCGTTGCTTGTAGCTTCGCTATTCGCAGAAGCACCTAGACGAGCTATTAGAATCACCATCTCTAACTACTGCATTCGTCCACCATAGTTTGTCTAACCTGTGTTATTAACCGCACTATCATTACTTCTCAAACCTAAGCCTAGCCCAGTGCCTAGGCCAAGCGCCAACGCCACCACCGAAAACAAAGCTACTAGCAACCAGAAGGTAGGTTTCTTCAAGCCGGCTATCTCAGCTTCACGAGGCGCCGGGATGGTCTGCGGTTGCGCCACGCCGTAGTTCTTATACTCGTAATACTGCGGGTGGTAGGTCTCGGGAGCTACCTCAGGCGCCAAAGAATCCGTCGCGAGCTGTGGTGCGGTGCTCGATGCGACCTCCATCGTCGAGTGCATCTTGGTTCTAAGAGGCAGACCTACGACAACTATGAAGACGGGCTAACATTTAGAGCCATTCTCATTATATTTGCACTTATATGCACCATTGATGCTGCCTACCTTATAAACCTTACGATGTCCTGTGCCGGCCCCTGGCTATCGCTATGATACTACTTACATTGCATCTGCATGTAACCCCAAAATTCCAGGGGTCGGCGTTGAGTTTATACATAGTAGATATGGGAATATATGTTACAACGTCCCTATTATAGATCTTTAAGTACCTAGGTAGTCACCGTTGATCTGACACTCAATCGTGTCTTGCAATGTGAATTTAGTAATGAGCATAAATATAAACATATATATACCTAATTACCTAAATTAAGTAACTATGATTATAAAATCGTATCGGCTTTAGATATACTATCCTGAGGTGTCTACGATATACAAATTGCGTAGTAAGAATGTCTACTTGTCAGCGAGTTTGACATATGAAGTGATGGTACTCTGCGCTGTGACCTATCCGGGATTTCTTCCTACGCAGAAAATGAGCTCAGCCGTAACCAGTAAAACCCAGCTACAATTGATCAATTGAGCATGCTATTCTGAAAATGGCGAAGGAATGCGACTGGCGTGCATACATAATTCTATTATTAGCGAGTAGGCTTACCTCTATTTAAACGATACTCAAAACGTTTCCCGCGATATATGACTATAGTTTTCGATCATTAAGAGCTACAGATATCTATTTAAAATCGTATATTTACCATTATACGTCTATTATGAAGTAGATACCGGTAGTTATATGTACTTATGTTTATTTATTACTAATGTATCTCTACGGCATCGTCGGGTCGTACTGGCTGGGTAGTGTCAAGGAAGGTCTACCTGCAGGTTTAGAGAAGCAATTCCCCTTGCAGCTAATGTCATAAATGACACCCAGGGGCTCTTGCTTGTCTGTTTTCGAATTGATGTTAGTTGACTTTTATTGGGTGGCTACGTGAAGGACACATGAGTTTATAATATCCACGTTCCTCGACCCAATGACACTGTAACCACAGTCGATCATACTACCTCAAGCCCATAGCATCTCCGGGACTGACCATTTCGTCAAATTGTACATAGTATTCCAGATACTTCGTCTGCCTACCTCATTGGCTACCTAATTTTCTTTTTTCACAGGGTTGGAAATGGGAGGTAAGGATTGCGTCTCGTGAGGAAGTACCGAGCTATTAGATTGCTCACGCTTTAGCTGTGGCGATTCACGAGGTGTGATGAGCGACATGAATGCTTCTTCGATGTCTGGATCATCATAATTGTCACCATCGTCCTTTTCAGCCGACGCTTCGGCGGCATTCGACTGCGTCCCACCAACTTCTAGTGACAGCCCACTACTCGGTAGTTGTGATAGGATGATTTCCTTCGAACGACCAACATTTCTGATCCGGCTTTGTTTGAATGGTCGATCACCTAGCTGTGGTTGTTGAGTATCCTTCGCAGTACGTGAGGTCTCAGGCGTGCCGGTAATAGCCGGCTGAGGGGATTCAGATTTGTACTCGGCCTTGAACTCTGCAATTATTTGGAGCCAGTCAGGCCCATACTCAGCTGCCTTGCTTGTTCCTACACCACGAATTTCTAGAAGCTCACGCTGGTTCGAGGGACGCTCCCGAGAGAGGTTTTCTAGGAGTGAGTTGGATGCAACTATGTACGGGGGCCAGTCCTCTATAGCGGCGCGAGCTGTCCGGTGCTCTGCTAGACGCCTATATAACTCCTTGGATGGCCCAGATTCCTGCTGCTTCTGGTAATCGTCTCTTGGCTCCAAAGGCAGATTTGTCTGAGTAGTGCTTGTCTTGGGATGCTTAGCAATGTCCTGTGCAATTATCTCTAGCCATTCGTCGCCATATGCCTCAGCCTTCCGATCTCGGATACCCTTCACCTTTAAGAGCTCGAACTTATTAGTCGGACGGGTCTTAGCTAGCTCCTCCAGGACTTTATTTGAAGCTACCAGATAGATGGGTACACCCTGTGCTGCAGCAACCTTTTTGCGATGCTCGACCAACTGTCCAAAGAGTTTATGCCACACTTCAGGTACGGATGAATTTTCAAATTTGCGATATGTTGCATGGAAATTTCCTCCTGTTGGTGGGCCATGTGATGAATCCATTATGTTGTCGTTGTTGTGTTTCACTTTGCTCACAAAAGGTCGAGAAGTGAAGGCATCGTTAGTGGTCATAATGAATCTTGGGTTAAATTTCCATAGGCATTGGCAGCTGACATATCGACTAGTTAACGAGAACATGATTAGGTTAGTACCTGTTAGGACAGAGTCCCTTTTGACACATTTTGTATAGAATAGATATGACATAGGTACCTCAGGTACCGTACTTGATCTAGTAAGTTCGGAAAGTTCAATGTTGCTCCTACCTGTCCGAAGATGTACCTTAGTTATACCTTAGGTAGGTACCTAAGTATCTACATATGCATGTACCTATTAATGCGGCTTTCAGTAAAAGCATAAATGCTACCGCATTACGTACTAGCGTACATACACTAGGTTGGTCGTGTGGATCCCTAGCAACAGTGACTCAGGCACTCATTGTAATGAGGCAGTCGCTGCCCTGCGTCTGTGCGATAAACGATAAACAATAAAGCGCGGCTGCAATTTAGCCTCGTCGTTTCAACTTGCGAAGTTACCTACATCTATCTCACGTCTGCCTTTCCAATTGATCTACACCTTCTAAACACAGATCGTAGCTTTCATTATTCGGAGCTTGTTTTGGTGAAACATCTACCGATAGTTCCCATTATGGCGTCTACGCCGATGGACCTCGATGTTCCCGATAACTCATCGCCTGCTAACGGTACACCATCCACCTCCCTCAACATCACTCGTACTCTAGGCGGTGGTTTACCTAGCACATCAGCTATCTCCGACACCGTTCACAACTTCAGACCTACGAAGGTAACCTTCCTTGAGTATACCCGCAGTCTAACAATCTTTTCTTACTCCAATTACAGTTATTTAAGCGCGACGATATTAAAGATGGACGTCCTCAACCCTTCATTCTTAGCCTCGATTATGACGACCCTGGAGAGCTTCTGATGACATCCGAGAGCGACGAGACCATCCAGATCTACAAGGTCCGAGAGGGTCGCCACGACAAGCAGCTCCTTAGCAAGAAATATGGAGTCAAACTCGCCAAGTTCACGCACAACAGCTCTAGTATAATATACGCGAGCACGAAGCAGAATGGTTAGGATACTATAGCTCTCGACGCCTCTGTTATTGGTTGGAAACTTGCTGACAATGGCGTTTTATAGATGCGATCCGCTACCTAACAACCCATGATAACGCATTTATACGTTATTTCGAAGGCCACCAGGCTGCCGTTACATGCTTGGCGATGCATCCCGGCAACGACGACTTCATCTCCTGCAGCAAGGACAACACTATACGGCTATGGAATGCCGGAACGAAGAACGAGACTGGGATTTTATATCTGAACACACCACATCTCGCAGCTTTCGACCCGAGTGGACAAGTCTTCGCCGTAGGATCACCTAGTAGCGGCATGGTCTTGCTCTATGACCATCGAAAGTTCGATAAAGGACCATTTGCAGAATTCGACATCGTGGAAGCAAGCTTTGTAGTTGACCCGCATCATGCTATGCAGGGCTGGACTACGCTGGAGTTTGCCAATGACGGACGCTCTGTCTTACTAGGCACGAAGGGAGGAGGTCATTTCCTTTTGGACTCGTTTAATGGCCATCTGAAAGGATACCTACGAAAAACTGAAGGCGGAAGTGATAGGCTGGCACCTGGTGAAGAGTACATGCTTAATGGAGGTGGCCCGAGTGGTGCTAGCGTGGAGAGTAGCGGCGACTGTTGCTTCACACATGACGGAAGATTCGTCATCGGCGGTGGGAAGAAGGGTGTTATGGTGTGGGATACACTAATTAACGCGTTCGATAAGATTCTGGACCCGGTTCACGTGCTAGAAGATGAGAGGCCCGCGGCGGTAGTTGCCATCAACCCCCGGTTCAACTTCTTCGCGACGGCAGATCAAGACTTAGTGTTCTGGTTACCGGATCCGCACGCCTAGGAGGCGGCTGACGATTCATCCGACGACTCTGATATGGATGGGTTGATGTTTGATATCGACCGTATGCACTTGAATCAAGGCCGTCACGGATTGATAGCGGGTGGAAATAACATCGGTATGACCTTGAATGAAGACGATCACGGGTTGATAGCGGATGGAAATGACACCTGTCATGTAGTATAAGTAGTGAACGGAGAGTGAGGATGCGGCTGGTTTAGGTACGGAAGATACCCCCCATTTAGCATTGCGAAAGGCGTCTAAAAGGTCATCGTCTTGGCAACGTCTTGTTAAATAGATGCTTGCATGAAATATAAAAATTTGGGTTGTCCCACAACGTAAGACATAACACTTATGACGATTAATATTTCGAAGTACCTAGGTTAAAACATTTGGCTATGGTACCTTATCTAGGTGCTTATGCGATGCTTCTAAAATTCTATTATTAATTAAATACGTTGGTATGCAATTATGAAGTATTCATATGACTCTCTAAATGAGGCTCGAGCTACCCCGCGAGACTTCATACAGCTCTAGATCCCTGTTCTAGCTGTTTGGGCCCCCACACCGCCCACCACCAACACCAAACTTCATCGTCATTCGATTGGGCGAAAGTGCCAAAATTCAAGTCCAGTCCCACAATCCACTTCAACGACACGAAATCGCATATCTATAACCACCATACCGAGTATAGGCTGTGCCTACATACTATTATACAAACAACCGACGACGTCTATTCCGCAGCAAGGCAGCATTCACTCGCAATGCCATACTTCGCCACGAGCCAGGAATGGCTGCACCAGTCTTCGCTCCTCCTGGAAGCGCGACCAACTACCGTACGTCCATCTCTATTATATTATATTATATTCCTGTATACACCCCATTCTTTATATATATATAAAGCAGCAACGCTTCCGTCACCATCCACGCCACTCCATCTCAAACCCTTAGCGCTAGAAGCCCTTCCAGCCAACTAACCAACCAACTAACTCTCTCTCATATACAGACACGCATAACAACCAAATACCACATCAGCAAACCCAAACCCCGACGCACCAAAAAAGCCCCAACCTCCCCCCCCTCCACAACAACAACAACAACAGACACCGCTCCCACCGCGGCGCCCCGCGGCTCCCTCACCCTTAAAACCTACGACCCGCATTCCGGCGCCTGCCTCAAGTACCGCACGACCAAAGCAGCCGAGGTATCGCGCCTGATCCAGAGCCTAGGCCGGCCGTTGGGAGCGCGCATGGCCGCGCTGCCGCTGCCCGAGGCCGCGGACGAGGTCATGGCCGATGCGCCGCTCGCGGCGGGGACGCCGGCGGAGGAGAAGAAGGGGGAGGATGTGGTGGGGCCGGCTGCGACGGAAGGGAGTGCAAGTGGTGGTGGAAAGGCGTCGGGACAGGGACAGGGACAGGCGGGAGGTAGTGGTGGTGGTGGGAAGGGGAAGAAGAAGCGTGGGAAGAAGTGAGGAAATGGGGTAATGAATGCAGATGAAGGGAAGAGAAGGATTGGAAAGTCTATATTGGGCTATATCCGATTGAAGGGAGATCCTAGAGGGGAGTATAGTTCCTTACACTACATCATAGCATTGCTATAAGGTTATAGTTAGGATCATATTCAAAGCTTGATTGCGAAGCAGGCTGGCTATAAGAGAAAGCCCAGCGCTTGGACACAAACCAATAAACCTATAGATACAAACTTCGCATTATAACAACATTATCAACAATTCAAATATCACGCAATACCATGTCACACTACTAGGTAATATAGTATGTCTTCATCAATTGCATCAATTGCTATTCACTACGTCCGCGTCTCGTGCATCAAGTCATTTGCCCCATCCGTCCATCCATTAGGAGCCTATTGTTTGTTTCATTTATCCCTCCGTTGGCCATCTCTTTCTTTGTAAAGAGGCCAGCAACGCCATAACGCCCAGTGATGATGATGACCGTACCGTGACAGATAAAAAGGGGGGAAATAAGGTTGAAGATCCAACGGGGACCGCCCGGTTAATGGATCCAACCGCAATTGTACCGCCGAGACAATTGCTCACAGGTCTATAGTTTCGCATTATAAGACCCTCTAAGCTCTACCCTATAGAAGTGGTGTTGAGGGTAGTATAGTAGCGTGGATATAGTATTACACGGGGGCGGATCTAATCGAGAATGAGAGAAGGGGGTATCGAAAAAAGACATAAGAGAAAGAGGCGCGAGGTTATAAAGCTGACAAGCTTAGAAGTCCTCGTCGAAGGTGAAATCGCCTCCGTTCTCGCCCTCTGCAGGGTTGGCTACGTCGTCGGTTGGCTTCTTAGTGCTGGCCATGACACCTGCCTTCTGGTAGTCACCGACACGCTTCTCGAAGAAGTTGGTCTTGCCACCCAGGGAGATGTTCTCCATGAAGTCGAACGGGTTGGAAGAGCGGTAAACCTTCTCGTTGCCGAGAGCGACTAATAGGCGGTCGGCGACGAACTCGATGTACTGCTTCATCAAGTTGGAGTTCATGCCGAGTAAGGCGCAAGGTAGAGCCTCTGTCAAGAACTCCTGCTCTATGGTGACAGCGTCCGTAATGATCTTCTCGATGATTTCTTTGCCGGGGCGGTTCTTAAGGTGTGTGAAGAGCAGGCAGGCGAAGTCGGTATGCAGACCTTCGTCGCGCGAGATAAGCTCGTTGGAGAAGGTAAGGCCAGGCATCAGGCCACGCTTCTTCAGCCAGAAAATAGAGGCGAAAGCACCGCTAAAGAAGATACCCTCAACAGCAGCGAAGGCAATTAAACGCTGAGCGAAGGTAGAGTTCTTGTCAGCAATCCATTGCAGAGCCCAATCGGCCTTCTTGCGAATGCAAGGGACTAGACAAAGGTTAGTCATGTAATGATTTATATGCGGATTAAAGCGAACTTACTAGTGTCAATAGCATTGAAGAGATGGGTCTTTTGGGCAGGCTCCTTGATATAGGTATCAATGAGCAGAGAGTAAGTCTCAGAGTGGATATTCTCCATCATGATCTGGAAACCGTAGAAGCATCGTGCTTCAGGGATTTGAACCTCGCCGCTAAATCGCTCAACTAGGTTCTCGTTGACAATGCCGTCTGACGCGGCGAAGAAGGCAAGGATGTGAGACACAAAGAACTTCTCGTCATCATTGAGTCTGTTGTTCCAATCGTGAAGATCCTTGGACAGGTCGATCTCTTCGGCAGTCCAGAAGGACGCCTCATGCTTCTTGTACATCTGCCAGATCTGTGGGGTAAATTAGTATATGACGCGTCAAAAAGCACTTTACGCGTCCAAGACGCGTTACTCACCTCATGGTACTTAATGGGGAACAGGACGAACCGCTGAGGGTTCTCTTGTAGGATGGGCTCATCAGCCTCCTCAGGCCTAATAGTAGGCGCAACAGGGGCCTTCTCTTCTTGCTTCTTCTCAATTTGGTGGTGTGAGTCGATCTCTTTGGCGAGGGCATCAATGTTGGAATCGAAAGGGGCATTTTCCTTGCCGGCAGAGAAGTCTAGCTTCTTGACGGGGGAGTCCATATTCAATGACTCCATGGCAGAGGCAGCCTATATAGTTTAATGAATTAGCAAAACTTGTTCCAACTGATATAAAAATAACTATGAGGCAAAGTCATGTACCTTCTTGGAGGGCGTGATGATGTTAGAGGCCATTGTGAAGATGTGAGGTTGAAAGTAGGAATTGCAATTGTATATTGGACAAGGGGAATGGACAATTGACTTGCAGTGATCACCGAGTAAAAATGATAATCACGCGTTAAGTGGAAGTAGTCGTTGTTGATGTGATGCAGGACAAGAAGCGTGTTTAAAATAGGTCGGATCCAAGATCTTTTAAAAGCTGTCTCTCGCCGAGTCACGTGTGAAAATTTGCTGGGATGGACGCGGTGAAAAACGCGACTCAAAACCCCGCCACTTTTTTTCACGCGTCACCCAGGCCAGGGGTTTGCAGTTTCCACTGCGAAAAAGTACATGACCCACGTCGTACCAAAATACCATATACAAGGTACGTATTCCGTACAGTGCAAGGTACCTAACCTCTAAAACAATTGTAAGGGCTGTTGTTGCAATTGGCCTATAATTGACCCTACAGCTAACCCAGCTGTTCCCTTTTTTTTTTCTCTTTCTTACATAGAAATGTAGCTCGGTCTTCTCGGCACTGACTTCGTGTGTCACAAAGCAGGGATATTCACAGATCCGTACACCAACTAAAATTATCAGATCACAGTCATCAGATAAACAAGCAACCCAAAGGGGTATAAGTGAGATCCCTAGTTTCTAGCTGATTCAAGATCAGCTAATGATTACTTGATACTGCGAATCATCATCGACTTTGGACTGTTTGATTCCGGACCTAATATCGGTCCTGTCGGTTACTATCCTCGGATTACGAGCCATACCATATACTTATACCATACGATAGGCTATGTTTTTCAACACAGTGTTGAGTCATAACGATCCAGAGTAACAAGAGCTTGTCGTTTCATCAGGTCCAATCCATTGTCTCATAAAAATCTAATACTACCTAGCTGCCATCTCATTAAATATGAACCCCCCTCCATTATGACATAATGTTTGTATGGTATCTTGATCTCATCTATCCATCTACCTTTTTTGCCGTTGCACCTACACCCGCTATGATCATCCTGCGTTATGAATTATCAACGTGTTCCAATTTCGAAACCGTCGAGAATCATTAAAAGCATAAAAGCCAATCCGAACAGTAATAGTGAACGGTCTCGTGCGGAATAACCAAACTTGTGGTAGCGTGACGCGTAAAAGCCCCTCCAAATTAATTAACGCGATCTGATCTTCTTCTTAATTGAACCCCACAGTTCGTAATTCGTAGCGGGTCCTTAGTTCCGTCTACCAGTCTCGATATCAGCTGGACGAGATCTCTTGCTGCCTAACCCAAAGAAACTTCTGCTCGAGCCTCCTCGTCGATCATCATGAACCCTGGCTTGAGCGGGTTGTGACGGCTGGGTCCATTCGGTTGCGACACCAGTTTCCTGGGGAACATGGTCTGTTCGTAATTGACCTTCAGACCTTGCACCTTGACGCGTAGCTCGAGATGACGCGTGCTCAGGTGATTCCGAATTAAATCGATCGAACTCGCTCGGATCGCTAGGGTCCACATCTGGCACCGGCAATTTACTGGCGCGGAGATTCTTCTGGCCTTTCTTTCGTAGATAATCTTCTAATGCCACCGCATTGCGCGTGTTGGCAAGAATGATGGCATCGGCAATGTCTCCGATAAACGGGACCAACCCGGCGATAAGATCTATGAGCACCAGCACATACATCCGGGCCCATATATGAAACGGAAGTCCTCCTTCAACCTGCTTAGCAGTACGGACAACCATCATTGCGAGGAGGGCATCCACGACATCTCCAGCGCTATCGGGTATCTTTATTAGCACTCGAATATATCCATAAATGAGCCCGGTTACTCACAAAGGGAAGAGACCGATAATACTACCCCAACCAAACTTCAGTCCCATGAAGCTACCAAAGCTCATATCTAGTCGGTATGCTCTTCTCTTCACTTTGGTCAAGATCATCGCATCGTGTTCTGAAAGGCCAGGCGGTAAGGCTTTGCGGACCTTCTTAGTCTTTCCTGTTCGTTTGCCATCAAGCCTTGTCGCGGGAACTTGCTCGAAGTACGGATCCTTTAATTCATGTCATGTTAGCATCGGTTGCTTTAGGATTGATTTGACGCCGCGTTTACGGTATTAAATCAATAGCAGTAACAAAAAGAAATTATGGCACTTACCGCCGCTCCGAACTGGTTCCCTGCTGTCTCCTTCAGGATCTTTTTCGATACGAATTTTGCAAGAACGCCTGCCATTCTGTTCTTGGGATCGAAGTAGAACTGACTGTCTAATGATAAATGTATAAATGTATAAATAGAGAGCCGTTAAATATTCTCGAAGGAGTAGATTGAATAAGGAAGACACGATTGTCGTATCGTTCGGCGAGTAAAGAATGGTTGATGAATGCCGATTAGATAGATAATAGACCTCTTTTGCCTATTGACTGCAAGTGACTTATTATCTTCTAGTTGCGCATTCGTAGCCACGACACTTTTCGAAACATTAAACTCTCCCTCAGAGCAGTGGGACAAAGGGAAGATTGAAAGACTTTTATTTGCAATGACAACCAACGAGACAATGGCGATCTATCTAAGGTACATACGTAACCCTGAATTTGGTTGTGACGTTTTTCAAGTTTTCCCTTGGTGATTGGTGCTGTTATGCGCCAATACGAGAGGTAGCCAAGTCATTCAAGTTAGAGAAGTGATGATGTCAAACGGCAGATTAAATGCATTAATCCATTTAAGGTTAATCGATCTACCGTGCTTTATGCGTAACATGGATGTACCTATCTAGAGAGTGGGACCCCCCTGTCTTGCCGGCGGCAATCATCTCAATGTGGCTTGTGGCGCAGCTGCTCAGCCACACAAAACTCCAACTCATATCCGCCTCGTGACCATCTCCCGTCCCAAAAACAAACCACACGATATGTATAAGTGCCTCGAGGCCTCCCTCTGTGATGATATCCTCGCCACTAGGATCAGTCAGAATAAACTGTAGGTGTAAAGATGTTTCCTTAGTCTCTAACAATGAACGTTAGAAGAAACAATCCAAAAAGTCAACTCTATTTTCAAGAGGTAATGTAATGTGTGCTCCTCTAATCTCTAGTCTATCATCAGCTATTATGATTAGCTATTATGGAGAGATTTCCCTTTTCCATCTATTTATTTAACTCATAAAAACATATAACCTAGTCAGTTACTATAGATGTATGACCTGCTTCAACCTCCGCAAAGATTTGGGTTGATATTCCACACCCATCCTGTTTTATACCATGCTTCTCTTCCCCGACTTCCGTACTACCAATCTAGATGTTGCGAGGATTATCGTGCCTCCAATAACAATTGTTGATCCCGCCCAAATCTGCCCCCATATATATTTACCTCCGCTAGCATCAATGATGGCACCCATAGTGGGAGGTCCGGCCAGAGTAGCAAAGCCGCAAAGGCCAAATGCCATCCCGATCCACGTACCCATCTTCCCTACGTCTTCGACAAAGCTGCTGGCTGCACTCGAAAATATTCCCTGGGCACCTCCGTTCACAAAACCCATAACGACAGAATAAGCATACATGCTTGCCCGATTACGGATACCTATCCAACCAAACGCCATGATCCCTAAGGCAAAGCAATTCAGGCCGTAAGTATTGACAGGGCCGACGTAACGGTCAGCAATATAGCCGAATATGGGGCGCGCGGGCATAGCAACTGCATTGGTAACGAGCACGAAATTAACAGACTCCAAGTCGCTTAGCCCAATGCTCTCGCGAGCAAACGAGTTAAGCTGGTGGAATATGGTTAGCACATAAGCCACATCTTGTTACCAAAACAAATCAGTTAGAAACTCACGTATATTAACATTGTGAACAGAGAGAAATAAATGAGGAACGCGCCCGTGGCGAACAAGGTGTATGGGATATTCCTAAAGGCACCCAGGTCGAGAAGGGGCGCAGGGACTCTCCGCAGTTTCCGCGGCTTCAAGAGGCAGAATCCAACGAGAGCCAAAACGATGCTTATGAAACCGCATAGTCTGACTGTCCACGCGAAGCCAAGCTTTGGTGTTAAGTATTGGACAAGGGCTGGGTATAGGATAGCGCCACTACTCGATCCGCATCCGTTGAGAGCCACGGCAAGCGAACGCTTCTTTTTGAAGTATACAGCGACATTTGCAGTCGCAGGCATGAACATCAATCCAGCACCGATACCCTGACAGAACCCCTGCGCAAGTAGAATCTGCCAGTACGTGTTCGCTAAGCTGGTCATGAACATGCCGAATATGCATATTATAGCTCCTATACCATACAAGTGCCGCGGGTATCCTGCGTCTGACAGTCGTCCGGATACCATACCGAGGAGGAAACATAAGAATATTTGGATCGAGCCTATCCAAGCCACCTGCGAAGCCGGTAGATTCATTGTCTGCTTATAATAGAGCTGGAAGACTGAGAAACCTGTGCCGTAACCCCAGGACATCATATTGGCGATGTGGCCGGGTATAATTTGAGACCACGCAAGCCACCCTCCATCTGGTGGCTCGTCGTCAAGAAGCGTGGTCTCCGAAGTATCGTCCATTTCTCTGGCATTTTGTCTTATGAGGACTGAAGAGCTATTCTTTGATTCGGGTTGGGAGCTCGAGCTTCCCTCTGAGGAGGATGTGAAGAACATCATGTTTATTGAGGAGGTATGATCAAACGCAATGATAATTTAATTTTATTGGCAAGATTTAGGGATACCTGCTTTATATAACAAAGATTCCGACTTAGAAACGGGGCAAATCATGGGCTAAAGAGGTCATAGCCAAAACTTTACGGCGCGATGAGTCAAGCGTTCAGACAATATACTACGTAAGCTCCCCAAGCGATATACGCCCCCAAACTCAAAATATCACAGTATTTGAGACGTTCCGACATCGCTATTTACAGTATACTGTTGCTCATGCAGTCTACATTATTAAATATTGCAACTCCACCGCAAGGGCGTCCTCAGAGGGATATAACATATAGGTTTGTGTGTGCGTACGTCCGATCGTGTAGGCGAACCAAGACTGCCGACATCTTGCGGTCAACTATTTCGGGGACTGGAACGGGAACGGAGCACCGATGTCCCCCTTGGGCATTGATGGCCTAGTTCTATCCTATCAGAAGGCAGGTAATTTCTTGATAATCAAGGTCGCAATAGACTAATCGCATCACGTAGAATAGATACATGTCAAAGAAATCAAATCCGATAGCGCTACGCATTACTCATAGCATAAGGTTTGCGATATAAGAGTTATGAAGCCGTACTGTAGCTGTAGCGTCGTCTCGGGCCGACGCAATGCTACGATCCCAGTCGATCGTTAAAAGTGTTGATAATTCGTCTAAATTTTCCATACTTTGGTCTCTGCGATTGATTCTCGGTGGAGTATTGTCCCTAAGCTGTCTATTGTGACGCTATCGTCGATTCGACCGGTGTCGCTAGAACTTGATATTCTAATAGGGGCTTGGACTTCATACGCTCCCCAGAGTTTGCTTCTTTGCATCCTACTTACGGAGGCTATCTTGTAATGGGAATTCGATACCAACAATGTCGCATTTGTGATAGGCTAATTGCTCAGACCGCTTCTCCCTTTTGAGAAAGGTAGATGAAAGATGAATTTAAAGCCCCACCCTTAGTCATCAAGCTTTAAAGACTGGCCAAGCGGAAGCAAGCTAGGAAAACGTAAAACTGCCGACCAAATTGTTAAACCTACAAGTACGCTAATAATGGCGCAAAATCTTAACAAGTCGCGTGGTCTAATGGTTATGATTTCTCGTTCACATTGATGTGTGCAAAGTTCCGAGAAGGTTCCGTGTTCGATCCACGGCGTGACTATATTTTTGCGTCTGTTTAACGTTCGCTCTAAATGACGAATATACTTTCTTTATCTTTACTCTATGTTCGTTCCCCTACCTATCTCCGTTTATTTAATTTTTGTACACCGTGCCCAGCTCAGCTATGTACGTTTAAAAACTTAACTATTACATCTTGAAACTCAGAATTGGGCCAGCTAGTACCGAAATATACCTACAAAATAAACAGCATATAGGTAATAATCAATGGATTGGAATCAGATGGGGGGTTTTTTTTCTATACCCCTTTTCGGTTAACAGCAGCAAAAAGGGGGCGATGGATTAAAAGTGAGACTTGATGCAAGAGGCCGTTGTCAGCGGTAAGTACCTAAGGTAATAATTGTCCGACAATGCGATGGGCGTTCGTTCTTCCTTCTTGACGCTCTGTGGTAAGTAGGTATGATCATGGGTATGATGTGCTCTCTCTCTCTCGAAAAAAAAAAAGGGGTGGCGCAGCCAGTGTCTTCGAAAATGCCAATGCCCGCTGTCTGTATGCCAGCCGTCGAATACGAAATGGGCGCTGACAGAATGGCGTCTATCTATATAATCTCCGCGTCGAGAGGCTTTATAGTGCATGCTAGTTTATAGTGCATGCTAGTTCGTATCCCAGTCACGCCATTCCGTGGGTATAGTTTCGGCTCGCGGCAGGGGATGGGCGCGTACAGTATGTCTATGTATATCATATCTATGCATGTGGTATGGCAATGTGAATGAATGAGTGAGTAAGTGAGTAAGTTAGATATACGTCATAGTATTATTGGATTTCGATGGATAATTACTGAGTGAGTTCAGAAGTTATAGAATAGAACGATATAATAAGGGAAGTAATGATAGGTCATGACTTTGCTGAATCTCCGTATCCGTGGCTTCGGTGCGCGCGGAGGCGGAGCACCAACCAACGGATATCTGGGGCATTGCGTTGTGGTTCCTATGTGGTAGGCGAAGTGAAGTATGATGTAGGGCTGCTGCACTGGACGACCTGACATCTTGGCTGGCATACTGCGATCGTTTCACATATCTAGTAGTGCACCACATATCCGGCCTGTGATCTCGAACCCTGCAGTGTTCGAGCGACCTACCCAGCTACCTACCCAACTATCTAGCCTACTTACTTACTTACTTTTACTAACTAACTGACTACCTCTACCTAACCTCTTACACAAATCGGTGGCTCCGTTCGCATTCGCCTATGTCTGCCTCGGTAAATCCAAGACAATACGAGCGAAATGGCTGGCAAGGTAACGAGCTTACTCGTCGGCTTGGAGGGTTCTTCCCCCTGCCTGCATGTAGCCGGCGACAGCTGGGCTTGGCAACTAATAGACTATACGTGCTTGTGCATTGATTATCGGGTTAATATTTGTTTTTGGTGGGTGATAGAGGTAATAAATATATATGGGCGCGTAGGGCAGATCAGATCGCCTGACTCTCATGCGAACTCGAGGGCACGTCATGTGTGATTTGCCGAGGTACGATACGATGGCTTCGTACGCGGTAAGAGGCTCGTTTCGAGGACGGGGTGTTTTTTTTTTCTTTTGTTAATATTCTATATGCGTATGACTACTACTTCTTCTATTCTGGGGAGTGTTTACATATTGGTGTTTACGTCTTATCTGTTCCTCCCTATCACAAGTATCCCGCTCTCGTCTACGAGCTGTGCGCCCGTTATTATAATTCGTAGTTCTACTATGGGGGATAGGGGGGAGGTTTGGTGGGACTTGTGTGCGAAAGCTGACGAGTCTGTCCTATGGAGAACAACTTTTTGATCCTAATACGTTATTCGTGAGATAGAAGATCTTGTGGTGAAACATCGTGATCAATTTGCTTGCCACAACTACCAAGTTACCTCTATCACACAAATGAGTTCATGCTGGCCACAGACCACTATACTCTAGCCCCGTGCCCACAACATCGAAATGGGTTATCAATGATAGGGTACAAAGGTGGGTTGAATCGGGTTATCCAATCCCTTCGGTCCCGACTTGATAGGTCCGTATCACCGCCATCATCTTGTTAGGCTATCATATGCGATCTCGTAGATTAGATTCTCCTTCGTCTGGGTATCGGATCACGTGTTGGTTCTGATGTTGTGCACTTGGTGTCTGCCCAACCATATTCCCCTATCCATATTCAAATGTGATCCTTTAGTTCACTGTGGAGATTAGGTGCTTATGCTTCGAGGAACTAGTTCTTTCGTCTATTCTTGAGGATTTATAGCATTAGGAACCGTTAGTTTAGTCTTTGATATGTTTTGGTATAAATTACGCTTAGGAGACATAGATAAATTTAGAAACTTACTACATCGTCTATATTATGATAGTAAGAGAGCGCTACATTGGAAAGTGTATCTTCGTAAGAGAATAGCATACATACATGATGCTATTCTCTTACGAAGATACATTTTCAATATCACACTGGGGATGATATCCTTTAGCTGCTCACACATGCAACTTTATGCAACGCTAGCTACAACTAATATCACGACGCCCGCTATGATAAAAAAGGCACGATAACCGCCGCTACTGCCGTGTGACCACATTAGATCCTTCGTAAACCATCAGTAAGCAAGCTTCCGTTTGGGCAACAATATATCAGGCATCCAATAGAGACTCGTCTCTCTCCCAATGCTCCCAAGTGGGCTTATCATAGCCATTTGGCCGTGTCGGCCTCACGTAGCCAATCTGAATTCCACTCACTGCTAGTGGCTCCCCCGGCCACGCTACAATGCCGCCGAATCCCTCGCTATACGTGCTCTGCATAATATGGTTAGCAAAGAGTGCCGGGTGTAGCGATTTGACACTGGCTAGAGCTCGCCGGCTAATCTCGTCAACAGAATCATTGTGACGTAGCTCGAAGAAGTTAGGATCGTGCTCGAGGCGTAGCTGGTTCTGGACCTCAGTCGGGTAAGTGCCGAGGGATAGAAGGAACATGTCGTACTGCGAGAGACTGGTTCGACAAATCCAGCTACCACCTTGCGTAGCCCTACGATAGATGCCCGAGAGCGCCGCAACAGTACCGACGCACCCTGTGCCATAGTCGGACATGGGGAAAGGTGGGATGACCGGCTCGTCGAGGCCCATGAACCTACCTTGCTCCCATGCCACGCCCGTGACGCAGTCGGCGATTTGCTGCCAACCCGGACGGCCCGCCCATTCGGCGCCAATTTCGATACCGCCAAAGCAGTCTTCTGCCACATAGACGATACCCCTGCCGCGTTGAGCCGCCTTCGCTGCAAGATCCTCGGGACGATAACCGAGCCTCGCGATAACACCCGGTCGGTACCCATCGATGATCACATCGGCTGTCTCAAGGAGGGACTCGAAAATCTCGACATCATCTGCGTTTTTGAGATGTAATGATGTCGTGTGTTTCCCGATATTGACATCCAATTGGAAGAATGGGACGTCTGGTAACTGCGACGATGTAACCTTCAAGACAGATGCGCCATGCGCTGCTAGGGATCGACCAATGGTTGGTCCTGCAATTACCCGACACAGTTCGATAACACGAAGTCCCTGCAGACACTGACCTGGCCCGTAAATGGATTGCTCCGTAAATGGGACAGGTGGCGTATCACTTCCCAAGGGTTTTACGGTAAATAATGGAAGAGATGCCATCGATTGGCCATGACTACTCTTCTGGAACTTTTCATTGGTGAGGACAGGGACGCCTGCCTGGCGGTATTCTCGATTCAGCTTCTCTAATTCATCTCCGGAAAACTTCCTGACCGCTCCCTCGATAGTGCTAATACAATCACGGTAATCTGTTAGACCGGGGGAAAAAGCAGGAAGACCAATCATCTTTAAGGTTTTGGTGGCTTCTAATGATCCGTGGATGTGATAGTATTCGCCCCGGTTCCTTGTTTCGTATAGGCCCGCTGATAGGCGCCGATATAGATTTGACTGAGCCTGGTTTAGATCGGTGTCTTAATATTGTAGTTAGCTAGATATATTCCAAATTTTACCTAACGGGGATCATGTGAGACGAACTCGGAATTCGCTCCTTAACTTTGGGGTTGCACTTATCTAAGCCGTCGATATTGGTGAGATATGTAGACATTAAAAAGGACGTCACACGTTCTAGGGTAACGCTAATCGATCGTTCACGTTTTACCCCCCGGATATCTGCGATCGCGGCAGCGGCACATCCTTCCAGTGCTTTAAGTGCTGCCACTGCTTCTTGTTCACGCAAGGGGCATGGAAAACACGCCGTATCCCCTGTGCGAGAATATCTCAAGAATTTGATATTCTCGGCGTATCGTAGAAAACCCCTTGGAAGCTCTGTCTTGATGGACTTTAAAAGATGATTGAAGGCATCCTTTGCGCCTTCACTTACCGAATGAGATCCGGGCCTCTCCCGGGTAGCGGATAGCGCCGTCTTTGGTTGTCCAACGGTCATGATAGTGGCAGCCGGGTGAGATATGAGACAAGAATGTGCCTGTACTGAGGATGGAGAGGAAAACTCCCAAGAGAGTACGCCACATTGCTATTTAAGTAGAAAAATCTAGTGTATACAAATCACAATGACGATACTTATATTACAACATATTGTGATTCATCAGATCTGGGTCCACTCACCAAACATGCCACCGGTAAGATCGTGACTCGGATTTAAATAAGCAAGGGAACCTTTCAGCCTGGGCATAGGATAGTTGACGCGAACGACTCGTCTGGCCAGAGTGTACATGTCGACGCTGACGACGCTGACATGTAGAAGAAGCCTAGAAACGTGTCACGGACACTATGGTACGGTGACATATCCAATGCCCTTCAACCAGACATGCGCCGGACTGTCTAATAACGGACTGGGGGTATCCAAGTCTATCGACAGGTTAACTCGAGCAGTACACCCGACGATGCGGGAGCGGTGAGTGTAAAATTGTAAAACTGTAGAATTCAACCCATTGGGATGAGTACGTAAGTATGACCTCGAGCGAATGCTAGGGTCTGAATGAACCTAGCGGACTGTCAGTTTCCAGATCGAAAAGAGGACAGAAGATCCCGAGTACCTAAGGAATATCCAGCATCTCCGCAAAAGCAAATTAAGCGTCCAGCAAAGGAAACCCCGACTTGCCTTTGAAATGCCGAAAGGGAAAAAACAATACTGCCGGCATTTGAAATCGGCGTTGGTAGATTAAAAAAATCCATTTGAGTGCAAGTCGATTCGTGTCGACGGTGAACGGTGACGGTAGTATGAGCTACGAGATGCGTGAGGTTGTAGAATTCTTAGTTAAAAGGGGTTACATGCAGACTGCGAGTACAAAATTGATCTCACTTGGAGACGGTTTAAGGCCATATAAAGCCATATGCAGCGACGGTAAAATGTTAGACATATATCAGGGAAGTTATTGACGAATCAGCCGCAGGACATTTAGTGAGAGGGCTAAGTGCATTATCCGAGAAATGCGAGTCATATAGGTAACCTAGACCTTCTTTAGATTCTGATATCTAACGGTCTTCGGTGGCACGTTGAATTTAGAACAATGATGCTGACGGCCTGTCTTAGATGATTCTGTAACGTTAGGGATTTGAACGTCGATGCATAATTGATGAAGAAATGATTGAAGAGGTGTTATGAAGTAACTATTTTAGTAAAAGTTTTAGTACATTAGGTTAGGTACATTTTAGTAGTCAATTATAGTATGGTTGAGCCGCAAAAATGGAGCACTGCCTACAGGTAGACCCTGGCAGGTATTATAGTGTACATCTGATTGGATGGGGTACAAGAAAGTACTTAATATTCTAGGGGTATCACGCATATGACTACCCCTGCTCTTCATGTATCCTTTAGTACCTAATGTATGTTAACATGACCTAACCATACCTGTCTTTCTACCCCAGACGTTCTAATTATTTAGGTGCATTATCCGACAACCTTAACTGCTAAGAGGTAGCGACTTCTAGCTTTAATCTTCACCTAACGACAGGTACGCACGTTTTGTATTTGCGGAGTACGGAGTATTATGTACCTTCTCCCACGTGGAAACCTAAACCGCTTCTCAAACCGCTTCTCGACTCTTTTCCACTATTTTTGCTAGTTCCATATTCGAATTTCGAAATCTGGACAACATATGAACTTCTAATTCGATGTCCCTTGTGCTCTCGTCAGATCTTAGTAACCTTATGTCATACAGTCTATGCGACTTAAATCAATATGGAAAACCAGATCCAATAATTGATGGCGCTACCGAAACATCTTACATCTGCCACCGCTATGGTTACGGAGTTGACCAGTCATTTTTTAATATCCCGTTCAATCTTCAAATATCATGACAAAAATAAAAGGGGGAAAAACCTGGTTCTAACCTTGGTGATCTTCGCAGGGGTTTCTATCTAAGATTTTAGTTTCTACCAAGGAAAAAAAGTCCGCACTCCTAATATCAGTCAAGTTCCTACTACATCAAGAAAGTCCACGTCGAAAGAAGAAATAAATAAGCCGCTATCTCCCGTATTTAAGGCGGCGTTAGAACGCCACTTAAGTGCTAACGGAGTCTCACTTGATTGATCTACAGCCCAACTGCCCAATCACGGCGCCATTCCCTCCCAGCCCTGCCACGATTTTCCCACTACAATCATGGCTAGAACAAGTCAAAGGCGGCCGACGCCGCCCTTATTGTCCGGCTCAGGAGGAAGAAGCCAAGCCGGCCAGTTGGAGTGCATGGCTTTACGTTGGCTCCTCTCGAGGAAAAACTTAGCAAGCCGGCCCTTGCGTTCTCTTCATTAAACCTTTCGTGATAGCTCTTTTCATGTCAATCTCCCGCTTCCGACACGTTCCGTCGGTCTCCAAGGTCCTTTACCTTACTTGCGTCTATTCTCAGTTATCTTCTGTTGTGGCAGATCACTATAGCTCTCCAGTGAGCTGCTAGGTACGATCTGTATACGTATACTCAGCTGTGCTCTTCTCCACTTAGCCTACCATTCACACGGCTCGAGCAACCTTGGCGGATGCCTTTAGTTGTCTACAACCTATGCGGGTCGACCTCCATACTCTGCCGGATATTCGAGTACTCAATTGCTCATATCATCCCACGATTCTGGACCTGAGCCCCGTTCGCTTCCCGATAAGGCTGAATCTAGGGATTTGTCCGTACCCGAGACCAACGTTCTTGTGTCCGTAAGACCGGCGCCGCCCCCCCGAAGTCATTATTCGCTTTTATTCTCTCCATCGTCCGATTTGTATTTTGTCACCTTGTGGCAAAGCGTCGGATGGCGGATGTGACCTAGATCCTTTGTGGCTCAAACCATCATGACACGACCTAAGGTTGACCCTGACAAGAGGCAACGTACTGCCCAAGCATGCGACTCTTGTAAGCGCAGGAAACAAAAGGTCAGTTATTTCAATTAATTTCCCAACCTCATCCTCGCCGTTTCATCTCTCTCCTCATCTATACCTCTTTATACCGCACCCACACGTGAGATCATCAGGTTTCCAACGGCGTGCACACGGACCAGTAAGATGATGTATTATACCGGCAAAAGTTGTCTTGTAGTTTCTTCTACCTGAATAGCGTACAGCATGAGCGACGACGACGTGTGCTATGGTGTGCTATGTCACTGTCTTCGGATGGCTTTCTAGGTCTCACAATGGCTGGTGTAATTGTGTAGCCGTGTGTGGATGGGATACTTCGAGACTATCGTACGATTCTAATGGGAGTTAAGGCTTGTGGTCGTTATGCTTGCTAATGTGGACATTGTCGTAGTGCAACGGATTAAAACCGTGCAGTACGTGTGATAAACGGAACCTAGAGTGCCTGTACACGCCGACAAGCCAGGAAACCGGTTCGCAAGAGCCCCTTGGATCACCATCCAAACGCCGACGTATCGATCAGTCACCGAGGGCGTTGAAGTTAGAATCTGGTCAGACAATCGCGGCGCATACTCCGTTTTTAGCGTCGTGGGATCAGTCTACTAACAGGTCGATGAGCCTAGCAGAAATAGAGCCGCTTGAATCGAGCGAAAAGAAACTCATGGGGACGACACGTCACTTACTCGCCAACAATGACCGCGAGTTCGATACTCGTTCGCGGATCAGCAATGTTAGTGGAGCTGCAGACGAAATCAGTTCCATGTTTATACCAAGGATGCTTCAGGATAAGACAGGAAAGCTACGTAAGTGAGGCTATATGAACGAGCCGTTTCTGCCTACATATTCTCTCTCCAACAAGCTCCGCCATATTGTTTATACCTTGCGTATCATATAATAACCTGCCGAGAAAGCTGAAAAATTGGGGTGAATATTCCGACTAGCTTTCGTACACGGGCTTCGAGACCCACCCCTTCTTTTATACAACTAAGATGTCGAACGTACTAATATGCTACATAGAATACGTTGGGGAGTCGGGGAGTCTTGCTTACTTGCAGCTCATTCGCTTAATCGTTGGGGACTGTTCCGGGAAGTCAGGCTTCACTGAGGATCCGTTCAGGCACCACATAATGGAGAATATCGTCCAGCTCCCGCCAGGCACGAGGCTAACTGGGGTTCTCCCAGATAGAAAGACAGCTGACATATTAGTCGAGTCGTTTTTTGTAAATGTATGTATGCCAACCCTATGGCTGCTCGGTTTAACTTAGCACATTGCAGACGTCGGGGCTTGTGGAAGTTTTCCATAAAACGGACTTCCTCCAGCTAGTGGAAGAATGCTACAGCAATCCTCTAAGTGCTAGCTCGCCAGATTTATGCATATTGAACCTGGTTTTTGCTATCGGCCTAGTTATTGCTCGTCCATTGCAGGGGACTGATGAGGCGGCCGTGATTCAAAGCCTGCACTCCGAACCCGTTAACCGTGCTGAATTGTTCTTTCGAAATGGCAAGAAAAACGGTCCAGAGTCAGGATTTGAGGATGCAGACTTTTGGTCAATCCAGGCCCTCATTCTCATGTCCCTCTATAAGTTATCAATCTCTGGAAGGAATGCGTCACATGCCTACCACGGTGAGCAGCTTTTCCTTTTTTTTTTCTCTCGCCATGTGTCCGAATACGTTATTTTTACCCCTATTTTGTGATTTGAGTCTGATTGTAGTTCGCAGGAATGGCAGTGCGATCTGCGCAGGCGTTGGGTTTACATAGAGAAGAACAAAGCATGGAAGTCGTCTTCACACCCCACATCATTCATCTTCGGAGAAACGTGTGGAAGACTCTATTCGTCCTCGATCGTATTCTCGCAGCGAGTCTAGGTCGTCCTATGATTATACGAATAGAGGACTGCCCCGAATATATGCTTAACTATTCGATAGGCGCTACAACCGACGAGCGTATGATAGACGAGGTAACAGACTCGGCGGCGCTAGATGCTACCGTCAGGAGTTGTCATTTGGTCGGGTCAACGCTTAAGAGAGTTTACGCCGAGAGAAAGGCATCGACTCTTGTTGCACAGGAAATCGCAGATCGCCTCGAAAGTTGGGAGCGAGAGCTACAGCGGGATTTTAATTGCCAACGGCTCTTGGATGGTTCGGTCGACTCAGCCCAAGTCATTGCCTCTCTTCATATCAACCTCCTACACTGCCACTCGGTGCTGCTTCTCACAAGACCTTTCTTCCTATATCTTCTCAAAATGGGCTGTGATGACTTGTCTAGGAGTTCTAAGAAGCCGCCTCATGTCAGTTCACGATTGGAAAAGTTTTCTCAGGCCTGTGTCGAGGCTTCGCAGCGTACGATAATTCTAGCACGGGCCGCGTTCGATGCCGAATACTTGCCCCAGTGCAATCCTTTTGTAATGTCAGCTTACCCCTTTTTACTTACAGTAGAAACTTCAGAAGAGAACAGAGAACTAATAAGAATATACTTTGCTAAACAGATATTTTGTTTTCTCGGCCGCTCTTATCCTCTTGAGTAATGAGTTTGCCTCATTGTACCATAATCCCGATGCGGAGAATGCGATTCGCAGCACCTTAATTATTCTCCAATACTGTAAGGAGAGGGATGCTATAGCCGAGAGATTCTTGGAAATCGTCGAGCTCTTTCACGAGGCAAACATACATAGGCCTGAGACGGCCAAGAAAATAAATTTGCCTGGCCGTAAGATACCGACCATGTTACATACCTTTCAGGGCGAACCAATGCCACCCTTCTTCCGCCATGCCAAAACCGAACGACAGGAGTTCTACGTGAGTGATGTGGCACCGATAAAAGAGCGTCAAATAGTCGGTATACCGGCGGCGGCTTCGGAACAGAATATGCGTCCCATGATGGCACCGATGCTCCAGCAACCTAGCCCAGAAGGAAGTGTGTCGTTAAACAGCGGCATCGCGGCCGCGAGCATGGCACCGGGAATGGAAACGCTCAGTAGCGGTGATCCGGAATTCGACTTGGAGAGCTTATGGCAAGGCTGGAAGCATCCTCCGCCTCCTGGCGGTATGGGTATCCCACCGCCCTTACATCTTATAGAGCCATTTGGATCTTACGGACTTCATCATCAGCCGCCGATGCCGCATGGAAACGGTCTCAATCACCACGTGCAGCCATTTCCACCTTCAAATTTTCGCTAAAGGCCGGTTACCGCCTCACAACGAACATAAATCGCAATGTAGAGCAGTGTAGCAAGGAACAAGATATATCTCATAGGACACATACGTACATAGGGGGCCGTCCGTTGGCCTATTAGGGCCGCGCATTCGAGTTATACTGGCGTTGGAATCTAGACGGATAATTTTCGTGCGATATTTATTAGTGGGTTATGTTAAAGGGTATAGGAGTTGCATGAGCGATACTGGAATTATTACCATACGCCTAAATACTTCTATTGGTAATGTCGAGCAGGTCTCCTTTGTTAGGCTCTTGAGCGACGAATATAACACAGGTCCTCGGATGATGGCATAGCTAGGTAATGGGAATTTTACATGTATTTTTCCAAGATATTATATACTCTATTTAAGGCAAGTTGGTAGCTAGGGGTCTACAGGTGGATATTGTATCGTTTCTTGCGGCATGCCGGCTCTACATATATTAATACTAAGCGTAAGTTTGCTTTCTTATATATACTTGTCGTTAATTAAGTCAGACTTACATTGCACATAATAATCGAATTATACTCGAGTGCCTGTGTATACATGATCTTTGTTGAATAGGCCATCTAGAACCGAATATTGTTGCTACTATTCTGACCCAAGACTGTATTATATATGTGTACGACACTAGGAGGTAAAGGGGTAATCTTAATCAACTACATTCACACTCAGGAACAATAGAGCTGAGGTACTCCCCTGGTCAAGTTAACGATACCGTACCAGAAGTAAATCATCCAAACTGATCGTCACAATGGGCACGTATTCTCCACAGACCCGCACTAAGCACATACACATCTCGCATTGGGCTGGGCTAATTGTTCATAATCCTCCTAACCTGAAAGTGTTCCAAATTGCTTAGAAAATCGGCTGCTTTGTTAAATATTCGAATCTCGAGGGATAGGGGCCGAGCTCGAGAGGGTGGAATAATACGGCACAGTCGAGGACCTCGTACGGTGTAGTGATGTATGACTATGTAGTGACAAGACCAATACTTGGGTCGACATGCTCGTCATGAATTCCAAAGTAGGTAGCAAAATTGGTATACGGGCGATTCAGGGTGCCGTCGCAATCTGCATCAGCCGCTAATATCAATATCTGTATAGACCCTGCTCGACATCAACGTCGTGCCGACGGCATTGTCGATCCTCTCTTCGTGCATGTGTTGGGCAGCGCTCCATTCGTCAGCATCGGCTACTCCGTCTCGACTAGCGATCTCGTCCCAAGAAAACCGCCCGCCAATGTCCCGGGTGCATCCTCATCCTCATCCTCATCATCCTCATAATCTTCATCACAACACACACATATACATACATACCTACATATATACATACATTAGGTGCCTACATAGGTTAGTTAGTGTAGTATCGTGTAGTATCGTGTGGTGTACATAGTGCCGCACTTATCGCCCTTCGAACGAAAAAAAAAAAGAAGGACAAGGGTCACCGTCATCGATCCGGGTTTTCAAGACGCGAGATTAGCAATCCTCGCAGATGAATGTGACGTGTTATTGTCGACCTATCTTTCAGATCGGGCTGAGCCGGCACCTCTCTCGCGCCATATGCCTGCCTGCCTACATCCTCATAGAGACAACCATTACCACCACCACCACCACCACCTTCAATACAAATGAATATACCAACCAGCACCCGGCACGGCGGACCAACGACGACGAACAATTGATGCCTAACTACCGGGGCTGCCGGTACATCACCTAGGACTTCCTACCTATCGAGATTCGAACTTGCGGTGTAGAAAAAAAAGCCAAGCTCGGGGAATATTCGTGGGGTAATAATATCAAAAGGAGGGCAAGAAGTGAGGAGAAAAATTGATGGGAGTAATTATTTTCCCTCTCCCTCTTCCTCTCTTTCTCTTTCTTTCTCTCTCTACCACAACTACTACGTGTGACAGCCTTGTCGACAGAAGGATTGTTACTACCATATGGTCGTCCCGGTACCGTCGCCTGGCTTCTCCTCCTGCCGGTAGACAAAAGGGCAAGTTTTAACGGTGAGGCGTAGTAGAGCATCATCAATACAACCACAGCTCGGTCTCGAGCGGTAGGAATGAGAGGTTTGAATTGGGGCCTCACGAATCCTACATGCCTTGCCTAGACACCGAGGCCCTGCCCCGCTCTTATACATATTATTATGTAGAGATGAAAAGAGAGATAGATGTATTTGTCCGCAGTGGTTGCGAAATGTGAGGATTCATTTTTAACTTTTCTTTGCTCGGTGTCTTTTTTTCTCCTTTGTTTACTTTTAACGGGCCGAGGTTTCAGCACGACAGTTGCAATTCAACTATATAGATAGGTAAGGTAGATATATAGATAGGGGCAACATTATCTAATCGGACCGGCGCAGGCCAACCAGAGGCTATAAGCCAAGGGCCGTCGTGATAGAGAATATAAACTAGTGAAAGTCGAGACGGCAAATTTACACTAGACGCAAGAAGAGCATTCTCTGGTTGCTCCCGTAACGGATCAGCGGTTCTAGGCCGCATGTTTCGGGTCCCTTATGCCTCCATCTCCAACGTCTAATTCGCCCCAGAAAAATCCTCCGGTATTTGCTGATCGACCGGCACTCTTGGACCTTGGTACGAGGTCTATCGTTGCCTTTTCTGGCCTGGCCACATGAAATACGGCTAGGGAGATGGGGCCCCGTAATGGATCCTAGATGGAGTTGTTTCAGTTGTATGGATGTACGTCTAGGTATGTATGTGTTGATGTATGTATGTATGTATGTAGGTAGGTAGCAAGGTAGCAAGGTAGCAAGGTAGTCAGATAGGTCAGTAGGTAAGCAAGTAGGTAGGTAACCTACACACACATCAATAATCATACATACCTTACATACATACCTAACGGTGAGGCCGGACTGCATCCCCCGCTGTAAAGAGGACCGAGGAGACTACATACGCAGAGGCAGGCAGGAAAAAAGAAAAGCGTAGACATACTGTCATACATACATACATACATACATCAGCTCATACATACCTACCTCATACATACAGGAAGAGAGAAGATGATGACTCACAGAGGGGAACGACAAGACGACGAAAATCACTACCTAGGTAGCCTATCTGACAGGAACACGCCGGCCGCAGTGCCACCTACCTACCTACCGACATACCAACAAGAGCCCATCTCCCTACAGACCATCTGCTGCAAAGCGGCGAAGACCGCGCCATGTGGCCTACGTACCCGGGGCCCGAACCCTGATCTGCAAATAAATATATCCTACGTACATACATGATACATGATGCAGCAAGACCAAGCCATTGGGCGCCAGAAACGATAGTAATTGGGAAGAGGAGAGGAGGGGCGGGTTAGTTAGTTAGTTAGTCCCATGAAGGTGGGAATACGGGCAGAGACAGAGACAGAAACGGGAATTAAAAAAGAAAAAAAAAAAAAAAGGAGATAACTACCTAGCCAAAGGTTCGCGTTCGAATAGAGTTTAGCCAAGCAGCGACGAGCAGTTAGCATATGCATATATGGGATGACGCGGATGTGATGTACACTACGTGCTTTGCTTTGCTTCCCTCGGCAGCGATACCGAGGGAGAGCGGCGCTGACGTATAGCAAGTAAGAAAGCAGAAAGCCTTTATGAGCCCATCTGGAGACGCGGATTGGACTGGCAGACGCGCTAATAAGGGACCCAGCTACACTTACACTACACTACGCTACACTAGTCCAGGGCCCTTCCCCCTCCCCGTTCTGATCCTCAAGACACGCCTATCACGGTCCAGAGGATATTATAATCGGTGGCTGGGAGAGAGGGGGAGAGAACCGTCCCATCGTGACTGGAGAGATGCGGTCCAAAGCATGTATGTAAGCAGACAGACATATTTATTAAGTGCTACGACTCTACCTACCGTGCTTGGCTGGCTAATAGACGAGTTATCGAGATCTGGAACGAACTTGATGTAAGAGCTAGCAAGGGTTTCCTACCTATCCAGTCGCCATCGTCTGTTGGTAGATATTAGGGATATTAGGGTAGTCTAGGTTAGGTAGTCTGATGGTGTCTGATAGGGTTACACGCAATGGTCTGTTTACTTTCCCATACTTCCCATATTCCGGATCGGCTTTGCATGTTACCCAGTCTCACGTCTCATTCGGATTACGCCGTTGCGTCTATTCACCTTTTCTAACTCGACCAACGTCCGCCCTTGTGTCACAGCACGTCTATGTCCCAATAGTCTATGTTCCAATACTAGGTTTGACTTCCGCTAGGATTCTTTGATTGGATCTTGTTGATCTCGAGTATTAACCTCTAGTTTAGCCGCTTGCTTTCATCCCCTTTCTCCCCCTTTCCTAAAGCGGGTAACGGCCTGATTCTATACCGTTTCTTTCTACAACTCGTCAAATTCGCTAATATCCGTCTTTGTCTCCCTGATATTTTTGGACTCCGTTGAACAGCACCCCTCCCATAGTGTAGATGTAGAACCCTAAGGTTCGTAAAATAAAATTAGCCTTTTCCCCTATATCTGCTCCTCATCATATACCAACTTGTGTAGACGGGATCAGCTGGGTATTTAGAGTATCCAAGATGGATTGAATACAGGCAAGTTTCTGTAGTCTGGTAATTCGCAATTTGGTATCGTGTAGTAGAGACGCCCCAAGAGAAAGGAAACCAATTTAAAACCCAACAAGACACCAACCATTACTCCCGCGTTTCCTTGATAACAAACTCCAAAAAATCAACAAGAGATACGAGAACCACAAGCCCCAATTATACCCAATTCCCAGCAGGATGATGGAGATGAACCTGTGTACGTTGCAAATAGACAGGACAAAAGAAAGGTAGAAACGGAGGGGAGGCATATTTGGTGCACAGCTCGGTACTGGGGACCCGTAAACCTGTGGCTGATAAAAGCAAACTGCACTTATTCCCGACACCTAAACCACGTGTAAGCGACAACATTGTGAAGCTTTTTTTTTTCTTCCCTTCCTGCCCGAAATGTCGGTTGCCCGAACTATGCGAAAATCTCTAATGACCGTTTTTGTCCAATGCTTAAATGATATGCAGGACCCTGGGGGTTTCTACCTCGCCTTTCGTGCGAGGAGTTGATATTAAAAACTAAGTATAGAATAAAATATTTGCTTCATAAAACGAAAGTAGGGTAGTGACCGATAACTCTGAAAACTTAAAATTCGTATTCTAACGCTGGCTTGGATCGTGCGGCGCACTAGATCGTGTCGCCCAACCGGTTTCGTATGGCTCCCGCTTGTATGCTGGGAAGCTTTGCACCGGAGTGCCTGAAGTAGGCGGCCCGCTGCTTGGGGCTCCAGCCGGTTGATCCAATCGTAAAGGAGGCAGTCGCGAGGTTCGAGCCATAGATGAAGGAGTTCCCGGCTGTGATAGAGGAGTGTGCACAGGCTGGGACATGGATGGCAAATTAGTCTGAGCCATACCATAGGATGGACTATAGCCCTCGAGTTGAGGATCCGTCCGGCGCCGCCGTGCCGCCCTTTCACCAGTTACGGGGTCGGCACTTCCATAAGAAGGCATTGGTAGTGTAGGCTGATTAGAGGCGAGCGGACTCCTCTCTGCGAAAGAGCCGCCACTTCTTGTCGAGATGGGACTGGGAGGACCTTGGTAGGCAAGCTCGCTAATTCCAGGAGTTCGATAAACAATATCGCGAAGTCGATCCCGGTCATTACGGTACCTGTCCCGCTCGTTCTCTGCTTCTTGTTGTCTCTTTAGAAGCTCGCGGTTTTGACTCTCCAGCTCCTGTATCCTCATTCCTTGTTGTATTTCCTTGTCCTTCTTCCTGGCTCGGAACCTTGCAGAGGCACCCGCGTTTCTCTGTCTCTTCTCGTCGGCTTGTTTTGACCCATTGTACATGTCTAAGGGGACAATCAAGGGTTCACCACCTACATTCATTGCCGCATGCCCATCCATGCTCATCATGCCCCGAACGCCCGGCGAACCCATCTGACCCGCACTTCCAAGTATGCTTGACCATCTCGAATCTCCTACCGGAAGAGAAGGTGGTGGAAAACGTGCACTGGGTGGAACACCCGTTGAGTACGGCGGGGTCTGTCCGTATAAGTGAGATCTCATATGGTTACCTGCACTTCCTTGCGGTTGCTGTGGTTCGTGTCCGGGAGGATTAAACTGGCTTGCGATTGGTTGAGAAAGGGACCGAGGCGGTGGTGTTGTTAACGGAGCCAAAGTGGTCGGAGGACCAACTCCAGATGGGTGGACTCTTCCGAACTGAGAACCTAGAGGCTGGGGGCCATTGATTCGCGGTGATTGAGCGTGTTGCCCTATAGGAGACTCAGCTGGA